TGTATACATGTATTTTTACAACCGTTTCCTCACCTTTGTGCGAATTTGTTGTTTAAGAAAAGAGAAAGGAATTGTTACAAGTTGGAAGGAGAGGACAGTGATGATGGACAATTTTCTTTCGAGATTCATTAATTATACAACCAAATGAACAACTGTAGTGACGGGGGGCGTGTTTCGAAGGTAATAGAGTTGCATAACGTAGTACTACGCGTCGATTTTGGCCCAACGAGTTTTCTTATTTAATGAAGCAAAGCATGAAAAATGAATGATTTCATAACCAACCAACCAACCACCCCGCCTATCCTTTTCCTTACAATGCCGTAAGGTAGATTCCTGATTGACAAAAACTCTTTGTGTGACAGTCATCCGCGAAGGGAGTCGAGTATGGCAAAGTATAATGATAAATTATGTACACATTTCTCAGACTTGGTATCACAAATAGATTTTGCCAACCCAGTTGGAGAGCAAAACTCAAAATCAGTACATAATTGAGTATATAGTACATAGACTACCGAAAACTTACCGATTATCTCGTAAAACTCATTGTTTGTCAAAGTCAATTTTTAAAACTATTTACAAAGCAAAAAATAATTGGGATAATAATGCAGCTTGCTTGTGTATTTACTTGGTGCCAGCGCGAATTATGCAGAATTTGGGGACAAAGTAGCTTGAAACAACTGGAAGCTATGCCTGTGGTGGAGGTGGTGGTGCTGTGACAAACGTCGCATCTATTTACTTGATGGATGGGGATAGTTCAAAAGCAGTTTCAGGTCAATATTTCAGCGTCAACTGGGACCCTTTCCTCCATATTCAAATGCAGAGAAAAGTGGCTTCAACTGTCCAATGTTCTGTAGTGGATCATTTGAATCCATAAATCTTTTGTGAGTTTGTAGCATCTGTTTACACACTCGTTCAATTGGCTATCAGACTTTTGTGACAGTCGGAGGAAAACTATCCACTGATTTGTGAATACTTTCAATTACGCTGAAATTCAATAGCATTCGGTTAGGTCATAAATATAAAATCTTCATATAAGCATGTACACGGTTGACGGTTTGTACGTACGAACAAGTCATCAAAGACAGACAACATAATACGTTAAATGTCAGAACCACCCACAACGTCCTGCACTAGCGTTACCCAAAATGTAAGTATTTTTGGAGCAAATTACAAATTAAGCTAATTATACAATTGGTTTAGGACGCTTACTGTAAATTTTGGTATCGTATACTCAGTAGCGTCAATTAATTAAAGGGAGAGGGAGAGTCTGAGTGGCTATTAATATCAACTCTGCTCTCATCTCGAGTCTTACTACCGGGAGCTGGCGACGTCGGTGTAGCATGGAGGGAAAGTCGTCGACTTAATAGCGAGGAGAAAGTGAATTCCAGGCTATTCGGTTTAGGGAAGAAAAGATTCCATGGTATTTCTTTGGGAAGAACTGCCTGGAGTAAGTGATGTAGGTTCTCTGGGGACGGAAGTGGATCTGGTCTGGATGGAACTTTGCAGCAAATGAAATTTGTTTGGTATTTCAAATAAATGATACTTAGAGGAGTAGGGTTGAAGGTTAAAATGCTAAAGGATTGGAGAAAATGTGTCATAAAATTACAATAAAACCATTCCAAGAAGTGCTAGAATCTCCTACGATATACCCTTTTGAATTAATGATCTGCTTTATTTGCTGCTTCAAATGGGGAAAGTTGGCGTTAAATTGAATGCTCTAATAATACCACACCAGCCGAGCTCTCAGTTACTCATCAAATTTTATTCAGGTTTTTATACTGTATGTTCAATAATAGCTAGAAATTATTATTATAGGGATTAAATTTCTGAATTTTCTCTTGATATATGCCCATAACCGTATGCACATATCTGGGAAACTCGGCTTTGGGGTACATGAAGTAGTATATTTATAAAGAGTGAAATGGAATGAAAAAATTCAATTAATAAATCGAAAGCATCAAAGAAGAAAGCCAGGAAGGTTTGGTGAGCAAGTATTTGACTTTCGTGTTGCTTGTGCATTCATGAAATAAATGTATTGTGTGGTGGCTGAGATGTAGCACAAGGTTCCTTTCAGCATCCTGTAGTCCTGCATTGTGGATAAGACACTTTGTTTATCCTTTGAGCAAACTTTCAGTTTTCTTTCTGCAAACAGACAAAAATATTTCTCTTGGCTTCTACTGCAGTCAACCTTTAGAGTGATGTATTACCTTCTTGTTACTGAAAACTTTTGTGTTCTGCCTGGTTGGTTTCCTCCACACGACATTCATTGTGAATCATGAGAACACAAACTTTTGATATCGGCTTGGCTGCATTTCTGTCCAATTGTTGAGGGAATTGGTTCGACTCTTCCGTGATCCCATACTTACAACTTGGAACCATAATTCTCTGTTAACTAACGTGAACACAAACTTATACAATGATACTCAATCAATGGGAAAGATTTTGATATTTCATATGTAAAAGTTATGAAACATGACCACATACCATAAAGTCTATACACCATCAAGCTTACCAGTTGTTCCTCATTTATTTGCTTGTAATATAAATAAAACAACAATCGTTTACGCAACCGAGTATTGATCCATGGAACTAGAAAATGCAAGTTTGTTGAAAGGTGCACCCATGTGAATTTTTGTATCTATTCTTTTCACAGTATGTCGATACATAGTTTGCATTCGGATTATAATTTGTGGGAATTTGATGGCAAGTTTGAAGATAAAATTACTAGAAATCACTGAGGAAAATTCAGTGACCAACGGTCAGTTAATCTGATAACACTAAAAGTTTACATATCCCAGCATTTTCCATTCCCCTCTCTGGGTGATGTTTGTACATGCATGCACATGTAGAGAAAGGTTAGTTATTGGAGTGCAGTGGGCGAAATTCATGTGACCCGTTTCACTACTTTGATAATGGTGATTGAAGGAAAGCAGAACCAACATGTTCGCGTGAAAGGAGATGTTCAATACTCGTATCGTTGCTCGTAAAGCACAGCGTTTCACAAGGCACACGACTCAATCCGACACCAAAGTTGAGCACGAAAACTAGTTTACCAACCTTATCACATTGTATTGATAAGTACAACCGCTAAGAGCAGTTTGGCGAATTCACATATCGATGTAGGAGCTACATATGTAGACAAAGGCGCTCGAATTGGATTTGAACCGACGAGGACGAGACTATACAGGACGACAGAGGGAAGGACAAAGTTTTGTGGGAATTGGGTCGGTCGTATCTGTGACATATCAATATTCTGCCGGTGGTTTGGCTGAAAATTCTCTTGGTAGCCATCGAAGTTGTAAGTTATGCCATGTGATGTGTGTTAAGAAGCACATGATCCGCATTTAAAATGACCATCCTCCACCACGCATTGAATGCACTCATTTCTTTTCGATACGACTTTCTCTTTACTTTCACTCGTTCTCTTCCATTCAAGAACATGCTTTGTCCAATCTATGAACGCGACACTCGTTATATGGCTGATGGGCTGCCTGTGGTAATTCCTTGCGCTACACGTTTCAACTTTTTCCTTCTCCTCAGCTCCATATACGTGTTAGTAATGTCTCATCCAATTTCTCCTGACTCGAGGAGCAGCAGGGTGTGATTGGATGTGTGACAGAGAACAGAGGGTAATAACGAGGCAAGTTTGACCAAAGTCGTGAAAGCGCTAAGGGTCGTAGGGAATTTTTTGCACACACGAGTTGACGCACTCGTATCGTACTGACTGTGGAGGATATGGGTTAAGGAATAGGGTCACGTTGTGCCTGTGGAGGCGGACAGGTTTGTCACATGAAAGTTATCTGGCATAAGGTTGTGGACTTTCACCATTTGCAATGCCACTAATTCGTATATATTTAGTGTAAATAATGTGTAGGAAACGTGGTAGAAATATTGTATTGCATTGTACTGAAAATGAACATAAGGAAGCAACAAATCTTATATAATCGATTTATGCGTGATTAAATTCTAAAAATAATTTGGATAACTGCGTCAAACTTATAAATATATAAACTCGCTTTTTGCTCAAGAAAAGAGAAAGTGGGAAGTATTGCGTCGTCAGATTATATTAAATTATTTTCTTTTACGTCTTGTGACTATGTGCATATGCATGCACGCTGCTTAGTATTTTTAGAGGTTTTACTTCATTCATGGGTTTAATATGGTTGAACAGGACTTTATTTAGCTTGGTATTATTGGACCCACCTCCGGAGGTCCTCAAGTTGAACTGTTGACTTAGGAAGCAGACACTCGTAGAAAAATTATGACAGGAGAACAGAAGAGGTTGGCTAATAGATACCATTAAATCAGCAGCAACCGTCAGAACCATATATTTTTTCATACCGCTGAGTGTGCAGCCGGTAATTGGAGCCCAACCGTGCAAATTATTGATAAATTATTCAAACAGGGAGCTTTTATGCCTTTTTATTTGTAGGGGGAACAAAGTTTTTGCCGGGGTAATGCCTATTGAACATCTCAAACTCGAAAATTAAAGACCAAAGTTGTACCAGTGAACAAACTTGACTTTCCTTCCTTTCACAAAAATACACGTGCATGCACACGCCCTGCGAGGTTAACATTAACAATTAAAACTTTTGAGAATATGACCCTATTTTGGCGTTCAATCGTCGTCGTCACTTTACTTATGTATACTCGTTCCCAGCAGGATCTTCAAGTAATTAAGCCCAACTTTAATAATGCCGCGTCTCGAGTGTGTCCTAGTTTATTAAATATCAATTATTCCTTGGAGCAAAAGGAGTTTAGACCTTGTCGACTATTAATTCAAACTTTGAAATCCCACTCCCTTATATTTATCAGCTTTATTCACTCAACATTTCCACAAAATCAAAGCTTCGTACTCATAACATTAAATTCAAAATACTTTTAAACCTGCTAATGCTGCTAAGCACAAATTAAGTTTTATCCATGTTTAAAAATAAAGATGATTCGAAAAGAAGTAAGAATGCTTGGTAATTTCATATATGTATTTTGTTATTATTCAGGTTATGCCCATGGATATAGTTCGGAAGGTTACCGACGTCATCCCGATTACATTCATCGTTCTCAGAGAAGTTACCGAAACACAAATCAGATTTCAGCCCATGAAGAAAACGGTGTGGCCCCTGCTCGATTCCATAACAAGAGTGAAACATTCTTTCTGACGGAAAATTCAACGACCGTCACAGCCCAAATCGGAAGTGCAACCTATCTTCCATGTGCTGTTCGAAACTTGGGCAGTGGAGTGGTAAGTGATCCATTTGAGATAGTATTTTAATTTTCTCCCATCCGTACAACCTATTTGTGAGAATGTGCGATACTCCGTTGTGACATATGCACAAAGCAGTAAAGTTGACACGTGCACACACAGCATACAACGTAGTAAGGGACGTGATAATGCAATTTTCCACAAAAAAATATACAGTGACGGTGAAAGTTTACTTATGTAATGGGGAACTGTGTGCAACTTTAGCGATTGTATTAACGAAATAATGACATTGAATGTGAAAGGTTTCAGCAAAAGCTACATTATTACAGAGTAGGATTGCACGTTGGAATGGAATGAATATTGGTTGACGCATGTACAGTGTTGGGCAAGTACCATTAGAGCGATACCTGAGTGAAATTGGCAGTAGTGGGAGAGGAAAAATACAAATGGAGAAGAAAGCAATGGCCGTTTGAAAGTGAGAAATGGGGAGGAAATAGGCAAATAGATATATTATGGGATAAGATAAAGCAGGGCGAGAGCACGATGGAAATGGAACTCTGAAATGAATGCACCGCAATTTCCAACCAACCAACAGCGTACATATGTATGAAGTGGAGGACTCAACGCTAGGTGAGTAAGATGTAATAAATAGTGTGAATTGGAACCAGAGCATACTTTCCTTGTGAATTGGAAGCTGGCATGAGTGAGTTTGCTAAATTTTTGGGAAGGTTGAACCAAAAACGAAGAACTATTCTCATGAATCATTCCCCTTCACGCCATTGCCATTAGTAGAGGATAATAAATTCTAATGTTTATGAATTTCCAAACCACTAATGCTCCACTCTATGGCATTTCTCCATCTCTGAACTTTCCATTTGTAGACTGAAGGTGGTATTGCTTGTCGTGGTGTTGGTTTGTACTTTGTTGATTGTTTGTTCTTATGTGGTGTGTTGTTGGCAATATGCATGTATGATTCCGACGTGCTTCGTGAGAGTGATTCCCAAATAGTGGGCGAACGGATATTTCCACCCGGTTTTCTCGTAAAATGAGTAACCAACCAATAACTGGTACATAGTCCATTGCAAAGAAAAATCTCAAAGTTTCCGAATCCAATAGCTGAAAGGGATACTTTTGCGAGATGTGCTGTATTATCACCTATAAAATGCAATGGCAGTGCTGGATTACCAATAGTTGAAAGCAATAATATAGCGTACAAACCTGACAAGTTCACTTCACGATTGTGGTTGATACTAACCACAACTCTCAAGTTTCGGGAATACGCCAAAGAAACTTGCAGTTAGTTGTATCTGCGAAATGTCTGACAAAGTCATTTCTACTTTATATGCTACAGCTTTGTAACACGTGTTCTAAATTATCACATATTTTTCGAGCAAATATTTTACTTTCCTCTCGTGCCAATGTCTCCGTCGTCTTGATTAACAAAACAAAATAATTCAAAAATCTTTCATCTCACTGCAACATGAAAAACAAATTAGTTTTAGTTTTCTGATATTTATTATGCCTATGTCATATTTATCAGTACATAGGTTCATGCATAGATTGGTCTGGCATGCGAGACAAAGCCTGTTCTGTTGCAAATTAAATATCTAACGAAGTTAAAACATATTCAAACTACACGCTGCGTGTTAGCTTCGTAAATGTATAATAAAATATCAGTTTAAAAATTTTAAGCTGATTAAATACACTTAAAATACTAGCAGGGATGAATATTTTTCGTTTTATTTTTCTTGGTTTTATACGTAGTTGAACTGCGTAATACGTAGGCTTGCTCATTGCAATAGTGATTGGAGGTCTCGATTTCTTTCAGAAAATGGAATATGGATTGATTAAAATGCATGCCATGAAATGGTAATTTCGAATTTGCAACTTATTAGATTTCAAATTTACTGCTTGATATCATCCAAAACACGGGTTGTTGAAAAGAAAATATATAATAACTTTTTCAAACTTTTTCGAACTCCTCATTATTGAAGATCTCCTATCATGTCGTTGAGCTCAAAATTGAAACTCAACTCTGCCAGAGGCTAGTCATCCAATTAGAGTTTAATTATTGTCAACTGTCGCTGTTGCTGAAAACGTCGAGTAAAATAGGTTCCTGTGATAGCATTGCGTTATCTCAAAGAGGCGCTTTGCTAATCCTTATAACCCGCTTTGTTCTCTCAAAGTTTCAAGTGGACTTGGAAAAACTTGAATTGGTTAGTTTGAGAGCCAAGCTGGGAAATCTGGGTCACTTCACCCGCAGTGGTGGTAAGCAAGGTGAAGCCAATCATTGTCTCATCCCCATGCAACCTTGCTGCCAGTTCCAAATACCGCACTCTCACCTCCGCAACATCCTCCCATGCACGTTGGTTACTTTTTGTGTTTTTGGTCATAGGGAAATTGTCGATGGAGAAGATAGGGAGGCAAATAGTGAAGTGAAAGTAGTAAAGTCATCAGGATGACTCCCACTTGCGAAACAGAATACATTGCATGCACAATACATAATATATTGTAGAACAAGAGGAGTAATAGTGAGAAGGACGAATGGTGGACTGGATGAGAGGGTTAACCTGCTTGTCCGATGGAAACTCATCCATATCCGATATTAACAATGATCCAGCTTTCCATTGCCGTCCAGCAGAGTGAAAGTCGTGACGTGCCTCGGGTATGCGGGCTCATCCTTCTCCAGTTATTATCATGAGTCGTAATCTCCTGGCTGTCGACCCAATATATTGATGATGATCCGACCTCCTCAGTTACAGAGCTTAAGCAGTATCCCAAGTGTTGCTAGTTTGGCCTATACTTGTTATGCCAAAAGTTGATGTCTATCGATCGATTGATGGCTTTCTTTTCCCAGCTTTCCCGCTTATATGCAGTGTGTTATTGTTGGTGGCAATATTTGGGTATTTCTCAACTTCTTCCCTACTCTAATAATCCTTGTCTTCGTTGTATAAATGTGTATTTACTCCAAGAGGGTAGGAATTCTGTCCGTTCAGCTCAAGATTTAAATTCAATATTTTCTGCCAAGCTCTGATTTGCGTCTTTAATAATAATGTATTACATATTATACAGCATGGGGGTTGCAGTGTATTTTCTGCATTATATACTCCTACATGCGTTGGTCAGAAATATTGATGAAGCTTTATTTGTTGAAACCTTAACGTAATAATGTCAAGTTATTCTGGTTGGCTTGGTCCAGTTTCAAATTTAATTCTACACGGAGGAATTTAGGCGCGAAATTCCGCTTTGTTCTCTCTCTATTATTAAGTCGTGTAGAACAATGGAAATCCAAGCTGGGATTGGATTCTCGATTGTTTCCCTTTCGGTAACTAAATCGTAAGTAAATACATGAATCACCAATATCGATTTCTATACGAGCTTTCTCCTCTGCTCAATTCCTAATAACATTTGTTGGCTGGATTTCAGATTCTTGAATCCCATTTACTCAAAGGAACAAATAGAACACGCTTTGCTTTTAGCTTGAGGACAATGTAGCGTAAAGTTAAATAGCGCATGAAGCAACTTGGTTTAGTTGGTGGGCATGGTGGTAGGAGTGAAAGTCGCCAACTAATTTTCACATGAAAATACTGTTGTCTGGCAAGCAGGTGCTGCGATACGAAATTCAACGTCTATGCAGAGCCTTGGTTGGGGCGAAGTTGATTAAAACGAATCGTTTTATTCACATCCGCATTACTCACACGTTGAATATTTGCACAAACAAAGCAGCGAAAGAGTGTGACAATGATATATACGAATGTGAGCTCTTAATGTTGCTGGGTCGACCAGATCACATGATGATATCATTGCCATTTCAGTGGCTAAGGAAAGCATATCTTGAAAAGTAAATGCGAGTCATTAGGTTTTAATGATGGCAGTTTTTGGACCAAAAGATACTTATCGCATTTTGTAATGTAGCTTCGATCTGATAATGCGGAGCAGTTGCAGAAAAATGAGACTTTGCAACGCTATCATTTTGTGACATCAGTCACATGACTTTCACATTCCCCTTACCTCAATTCCACTTAAAATCGGGGTTACATGGATTATTTCCTAATTTAAAACTATTCTTTTACGCTAGCAAATTTACTTGAAACACAATTACTTATTATTGAATGACAAATACTGAAATGTATGTATTTCTCCATAAATAGATTATGTAAGCCAAAAGTTGCATGCATAAACTTATTATGAGCAAACCTGTACTATTTATGTCAATACTGCAGCCTATTGTGGATACCTTTTTGTGAGTGAGCAATATAAATTTGTGCGAGTCCAACAAACCAGCCAGTCATAAATAAATAAAGGGCCAAATTCGCTGGAATTTCAGTCGTGCCAATAAAAAATAAGCAAAGAAACGAGATTTCCGCCACCTTCAGCAGTGTAACAAAGTCGATCTACGTGTCTATCCAATCTAATTGATTGTCGGCACGCCATGTAACATTTTTATTTATTTGCGCCATATACCGTACGTGTTCTGAAACTCGGCATTTGCAGGAGACAAAAGGCAAGAGAGATTAATCTATTTTATCCCGTGTATGGTGACGGTATCGGACGCAAAGAATTGGCCATATCATCACATCGAGGATTGTGATAGCTCCTTTGTGCTAATCAATTTGTGAGATTTAATCTATCAATTGGGACTCCATTTAGGAAGCATGATTTTTCATGTTATTTAGCAAAATGTGGTTGGCCCAATGCAGTAGAAGGGAGATTGAGAAATATCATGTTTTTCCGACACATTTGTGAATAGGTGGGTGGGTGGCTTATTTACATTGCGCCTTATTTTATCGTACTTGACGTTGACGCAACAGCAGCAGACATCTCCAGAATTTCGTGTCCAAACAAATTTAATAGAAGATGTTGGCATAAACCAGAGAATACGACAAAGAAGTTTTTTGAATATCATCAACAAGAACAAATATTAAACTTTTGAAATCGTTTGTGACAGGTGTGAGGAGAAGTTTACCTGGGAGCAGAATTTCGTTTTATTTGCCTTCTGTACCTCCCACATTCGAGAACACACAAAATAACAGAATGTAGTTTTGTATTCGTTTGTATTGCTCCCTTCAGAATACAGATAAACTAATATTATTCAAACTGACATGGTTTTAATGAGGTCTCGAAAACTTTATGCGTTTCGTGACATTTCATATTTACTTTCAGTGATCTCTTTATTAAAGACAACCACCCGTTATCAGTTCCAAGCGTCGTCATTATTTCTCAAAAATCAAGATAACATGGTGCAATAAAATCACATCCATATATAATAAAATATAACCACTGGGGCGTCATGACGTCAAAGACCATGGGAATGTGGCACAACCAGTAGGCTGGAAAAGTCTTTGCTCCTGCGAAGTTATTCTAGGATTTGATGGCATAGTTTGCAAAGTAGGTTTAAAGCAGGTCTAAGGTCTAGTAGTACTAACTGGAGATCATAGAAATTTGAGGAATATCGGGCCAAACAAACGCGTGGGTTTGGTTAGGCTGAAGGGAAAGTGGTGAAAGGGTTTATACTAGTCAGACTCTGATTCTTGAAAGTGTGCTGTGTTGTCGCGACAAAGGAAGGAAGTCAGTGGAACATCTTAATTAACTGGGACCATGATGCCTTCCTTTTTCAGGAAATGAATTGATGCAAATTGTTGGAGGCTACATAACAGAGACAACACGAGGACACAAAACGTTAACAAAAGCGACGGAGGCGAGTGGTTAGCAGGACAAAATTAATGCATTAGTGAAATGTATCATCTTAAAACAAGAAATACACAGGAAGGAAGGTCCTCATGAATTTTCACAAGGGCAATTCTAATGAAACTGCGTCGTCCGCCGCCACTCTCCGCTTTGCACCATGACACACAAACAAACCATTCCGCTCCCTTGCAAAACTTCCTTCGGGGTGGTTCTGAAAAGTTTAATACCCTTTCACCGCCTTCCTTAGAAACAGCACAATCGCAATACATGACTTATTTTTTAATGAAGTACGGTATGAAGTCTTAGTTCTTACGCTACTTAAAATTTGACATGTGCATGGTATCGAATATGGTCTTAGCGTCGTATTCGTACAATAAGTACTAAACATTTGCAATTTCTTGTGCAAATTGTATTATTTGACATTGCAATACATAGTTTTTAAACAATTACAATCCGATATGCACTATCTGAACGGAATATGTACATATTTAGCTCAGGCAACACTTTTATCCCCACAAATTATTTTCATTTATCCATTATTTTATTTTATTGCTAGCTCGCTTCCGCACATAACTTTTTTTATTGTGGCATTTACAGGTTTAAAACATGTCCAGCACCTACATATATTAGGATTTTATGGCATTACATATGTGATAACCTTCATTTAACCTTTGTAAGCTAAATACTAACATGAAACTGTACTGCATAGCATGTTTTTCATCCTGATAGAATTTGCCCCAAAATGGTAAACGAGAAACAAAGGTCAAAAATTGGAATAATCTTTCACATAATCCGTAAAGCAAAAGATATGCTGTCCGAACTCCTTTCACCTTAGCATAGGAGAGGCTTAGGAGGGAACTACAATGTCTGTAACACCAGATTTAATGTCCATTTTGCACATATGTAGCATGATACTACACAATGGCAAAAGTGCAATAAAATCTGACATTGCAGATCGTGTAAGCTTTCCTCTTTAGGTAAATATTTTCAACATCCTACGAGGAGATTCATGTTAGGCAACACCTATAATTATAATTTTCCGAACGCATTCTGTGTATAAAAATGGAGTTGTAATTAATGTCTGGTCTTGTTCTTAATTTAGGTGTCCTGGATTCGCCGAAGGGACTACACGTTGTTGACCGTCGGAATGGGCACCTACAGCAATGATGTTCGATTTTGGGTGGAGCACAATCGGGCTGCACAGGTAGTTAATTACCTTATTTACAGCAGAATGGGCTTGTTTGGATACTTGACACATTAAATTGGAAGTTTGTGATACATCAGTTTTAATATGGGTCATTAAATCCTATTTGTGTAATTTTAAATTAAGAAGGTTAAATCAATAGCGTAAAGAAGAGGAGATTGGCTATGTATGCTTACGTTGGTATGTAACGTCACTACGTGCATACATATATCACGTATATCACGTGTGGGATATTTCCTGTGAAACAAATTCATTTTCGTAGAATGTCGATAAGCCGTTGATGAGCCCATTTAGCTCAATTAAATGAGTTTATACTTGCTATTCTATATTTTATGTGCCTTTGTGTGCTCACATTTCTCCCATTTCCAATTCTTACATTAGTATATGTAAGTTCGTTAAATGCATGTTACCTAAATACATAGGTAGATGCTATACTTCCGGAGAGGAAAATTTTATATTCCTCACAAAATATAGATAAATTGGTGTACGTCAATAATAATTTAAATGCATGTTGCGCAGGTCATACATGCAACATATTTCACACTAACCAAATTTTCTATCTTCTGTTTAATAACAGATTATTGCAATAAACTTTGTAAAAAATCATGATTTCTTTATTTATTTGCAGAATTGGCAATTGCACGTTAAAAATGTGCAAGAGTCGGACGCTGGAATGTAAGTTAAAGTCGCATAGTTTTATACAGGCGAAACTTTCATCATGAAAATAATCTGATTCGTTTCGCAATTTTTACAGTTACGAGTGTCAATCTTCGGTGTATCCTTCCTCTAGTATTTTCATCTGCTTGAGTGTTGTTGGTAAGTTGAATTTACTACAATATTTGTGGGACGTGTCAAATTTACACTGTACGGATTTAATTTCTCAACTTTAAATCACACTGGAAATTGGGCAATTGGGATTTTGGGAAACGTGGGTTTCCTCTTTTTCTCCTCCCGTTTCCTTTGATGGATATTGTTTTCACTGCAGAGAAACAATACAGTTGGGCTCTTGCTATGTTTCAGAGAGTGGTTTGTCGGCCGTCTATACAAAATTATACCAGAACAGGCTCGTTGTTTCGAAAACGAAATTAGCCTTTAATTTACCAACCCTAATTTCAAAGCCCAGCCCAACAGAGTAATTTGCCTTTATTTTGCATTTGGGCAAACATTAAACTGCCAGCACTGTTTACTTTCTAATTGCCCAGCAAGCAACTCTAATTTCCTTCCTCCTCTACCGACTACTAGCCAACGCTATAATTCTCCCTTGTTTGGGTTATACTGAAAACTAATAACGACCGACTTTAGTAATGCGCAAAAATTTTATCCATCAAATAAACTAATTTCGCCAATTTAAATTTTACTCCTCTATGCATTCTGTGTTTCTGACGTATGTACATTGCATTAGTGGAATATAATTAGTCAAATGAGACTGCTTTACCTTAACAAAGTAATTTGTAGTTCATTAAATTCTACGAGATTTTTCTTAGAATTTTGAGGATGTGCAGGCAGAGGCAGCCAACATGTAAATAGATCTCATCCTCAGATGTAAAGACAAACGTGCAATTTATAATTAAGGATTTTTGATTTTACAAATGTTAATCCAAGTTACTTGCCAGAACTGAAAAATCAAATAAACCAAACTTTCTGTGAGTTGATCAGAGGATTCAAAAAATTAACGAACCCATTCTGTGCACACATACTTTAATTTGCAATTTGTAAGACTATGAAAAGTTCCCCATCTTCCTCCACTATCGTCAGAATGATTACAAGAGATATCCGCAGAATATGGTTAAAACATGCCATAAATTCATCTTCCGATTGACTAAATACGTGTGTTTAAAATTTAAGGGTTGACCAGTGCAAATATTTTATCCAGGATTATTTTATTCTGACATAAAACCCAGTTGTAGCATTAAAAGCATATACGAGGGATGTCCTTTATCTCGCAAGATCATTGTCGACACAGTGTGAACTCTTTTGTGGGGACCTTGTTTTTCCAACAAAATGAGTGCTAGCATCAAAGCAAATGATTATTCGTTGATTTAATTGTCATAATTTATTTGTCATGCTTTATGTAATTATCATCGCACACAATGAAAGCTACTGCCTAAAACATTATGGTACTTGATACTCTACTTGACATTTATAGGGAACTTGATTCACAGGCAAATACACAATTATATGAATATATTAAACCCTCAGTCAGACCAAAAATGTAGAATTTTTAAAATAGAAAATTCTTCAGATGAGTACGTGTAAAAATATAGACATGTGTTAGAAAAGGTTCAATTAGCATTTTAGAACTATGAATTTTTCTTGGCTGGTACTAGACACAGTAAATACGTATGCAATAGTAAAGGGCTATTTTTGGCAAACCTTATCTTTGGACGAGTAGAGGACGAGGAATGAAGTATCGATTCAATTTAATATCAATATAACCTTTTTCTGGGACAAAGTCGTATTTTATCATGTTTTAAATGCTGGTTTCGCATAGCAGGGTGTGCCTAGCACTTTGGTGAGCGAGAAATCACTCGGTGAAATTATGTGTGAGGAGGATGGTTCAGTTTTAAAGGGGGAGTCGACAAGTGATAAATTATTCAGCGGTTAGTAAACCATTAGGCGCTCGTAAATGATCCTTCACTTTGTACATTGCTCCCAGTCAATCTCTTTCCAATTTCCTTGTCTCACCCGTGCAATTTCCTACGTTGGTCCAGTTCTCACTTTCCTATAATAACCACAGTATATATAAACTACATTAATACAGCACCTGGCGCTGGCTCCGCGTTAAAAATGTATCTATTGTTATATTCACACGCGCATAAATATATGTATCATGTTCAGCGACAAGACTTTGTAAATCTATGAGCAGAATTAAGATGTGAAAAAATGAAAAAAAAAATGTTCAGAGTTTAATGGAAACATATCCAATTTGAAGTAACACAAAAGAAGTACCGTCAATGGTATCAGCCAATATCTGCATATTTACATCAAACTAACTTTTGTCACCTCGTGTATTGTATCGTGTATCATGTGCGTGCAAACATAAATTAAAGTCCTCTCTTAAGCCACGTGTACGTATATGAAGCCCAGCCAACATTGTTTTTTTTTCTGGAAAAAGTGTCTCTAAAAGATATACGAGGTTAAAGGTTTATTTATGAACCTCAAATTATTAAGAGGTGGCAACTTATTATATTTTTATTTGCGGTCGAAGCCATGTGTGCATAATTTATTGTGTGCGACTATAATTAATCTAGATCAACTGGGATTTTGACAGTGAATGGCGTGAAGCATAAGCCTTTTTCAGTTCAGTCTTTGTGTTTGGTCTTGGTTTTAGTGGTGGGGTGTGTGTATGCCATTGCCAACTTTCTCTCACTTTCTTCCCTCTTACACACACACAGACTTATCTGAACACAAAGCACACGCATTGCAGAACACCACTACATATTTAGTACCTCCAACAACACCGACTGAAAGATATCTCTCGTCGGTCTGGGAAATGCGTTTCCCTCTTGTCTTTTTTTTCGCCAGTCTGCAAACTAATGAAATGGAAAATGAATGGAAAAAGATTGTTTTGTATTTTTATAACCAACTTTACACTTTCTTACAGAGGCAAAAGCGGAAATCCTAGGGGAGCCGGATAAACACGTGCGAAGTGGAAGTACATTTGAGCTGGTTTGTGTACTGCGAGACTCGACAGAACCCCCTGTCTACGTATTTTGGTTTCACAACGAAAATATGATTAACTACGACGTTGTACGAGGAGTCGTGGTCAATAGTGATTCGGAAAAAAGCATTTTAACAATACAAGATGCCAAGAAAACTGACAGTGGATCATATCGGTGAGTTATTATTATTTAATTACTTTAACATCCATTTTTAATCTAGATAAATACAATTCGTAGCATGTATGTAGCAGCTCGAAACCTGGTCAATTCAGGTCAGCAGCAGAATATTAAGTTAATTTGTATTACTATATTATTTCCAGGTGCGTCCCATCCAATGCAAAGCCTGCGAGCATTTCTGTTCACATCTTGAATGGTGAGTTGAACCACAATCTACTCGCAATTTTTTCGAACCCATTTCATTAAAAGCATATTTCGGTTACGCAAGTAATTTTGCCATTAAATACATACATTAAATTACGGATGGCTAAATTCGAGTTATATTTAAGGAATGAGTATGCAAACCTATGTATTGGCTTGAGAAAAGTATCAAATTGCAATTACTGAAGTTGTTTAACATTCACTTTTTCAGAACTTGCCGATGCATCAATTTACCATACGTTTTCAAGAGAGTACTCAACTTTTCCATTATTTTGCGAAAACAAATTAAGCTCCAGATAATTAAATCAAGTATTCTCAAAGTATTTTACTTTGATTTTAAGTACCATGAGCAGAGTGGATTACCAAGTTTTTAGGCATTTTTATAAAGTTTGCACAATTTGTCTGCGTTGTTTCTACTTAAAAAGTTGAGTGGGATAGGTATACAGTAATGAAGCAAATTTGGTTTTACGTAAATTTTAGTCATCATATATGGCAGCCATATAAAAGTATATGCATTACATTTGTATGTAGCTTGGATAACCCTTGCGCTACTGACAGAAATCTTTTTCTATTCTGTTATTTTGCTTAGAAGAACTGAAATGCTCGGCTCTGAACTAATATCTTACTTTGTGCTTAGGTACATATATAGAAATTGGGAATGTTGTCGTGAAGTAATTAGATGGTTACTTTGTGTTGATCAGGAGAAAAACCCGCAGCAATGCAGCATGGAAGTCGGAACGACGGGCAACGACCGCTGGGAACTTCTTTTGGTCTCCTGTTTGTCGCCACAGTCTTCGTAGTGACAGTTTGGCTCAACCTCAATCGAAATCTGTGCTACCTTCATCGTGAGGTGGATGCTGCTCCTCCACCTTTGTCAGACGCTTCTGCTCCTCCTGCTGGAAATCTGCAACTAGTTCACATCCCACACGAGGAGGAATCTCATCCTCAGATCACTGGGAAGACGTTCGCCACGTCGAGTTTGGGGTTGATGCGAATGGTATACGACGAGTCGGATAGTGCTGACAAGGTTGACATGAGATTGGGCGCAGCTTTGCGAAAAGAAAAATTCCGTCTCATTCTGTCAACTTCAAGGGTTTGTATCTTGGAAATATCATATCATCAGAATCACACCCGTAACAGGAGAGCATCTTCGTGGAAAACTCGCGTGCTTCTCGCCAACTCAACATCAAACAAGAAGAAGGCGAAAAATGTAGCAGATGTTGCCGCTCTAAGTCATGTCGTCGTGAGTACGGAAAATAGATCCAATATTATTAACAGTGCTTCTCCCTCTCATCATTTTCTATCCACTCGACGAAACTCCACAATTACCGAGGAGAACTTCCCATTAGACAATTTTTTCCCATCATTATTGTCAGATTTCTTCTCAGTGCCCTCCACGCCTCCTAATGCTAAACTTGATACCACGACGACTTTCTCCTCCTCGTCAGCCACGTCTAAACTTCCATTTGACAAGGAGTCGTTATTTAAAAGCCCTGCTGAGTCTGGGGTAGCTGCTGTTGGCCACAACGCTAATGCTTTAATTTGGAGCAGGTGAGATTAATTCAAGGCTCCATTTGAACAAACTCCAATTACATTTTTGTACGTCAGTTTTTCATTAATTAAGGATAAAGAAAGGACCTAATAAGATTTACCAGCGGGGTGAAAATTAAAACTATATTGTATGAATAGCTATATAACGATGTATGCTATGCAGCATGCATACATTCACATATTAGACACTATTAAATACATATAGGAATATAAACATGTACCTTATTTGCACAATTTGTTTTCTTGGTTCTCAAGAATGCTTTATGCGTATACCCTTCATTACCGTACATACAAATATCAAAATAATGCATACATACGTGCATGCATATATATGTAGGTATGTAAATATGCATATCCCATTGTTTTGTATGCTAATGTAGAACATGTACGTCATACCTTAGGACAAATATGCCATCATTAATTAAGTCCATTTCATAATAATAAGTTAACTTGGCTCTCAGACAAATTTATATATGTAAGCTAAATAGCGTAAGCTAAGATACCGATGGGTACATAACTGATTGTAACGGTGAAAGCGTATTTCGTGTACGAAATGTACGAAAAATTAGAAGGGAACTGATTTTCGATAAAAAAGTTTTACGATGACATCATGCAACCCAACTCATAGAATAGTCTCTTGTAGTGTTAAAGTAAAATTAAAATACGTGTTAATTAATACTGAAAATGTTTATCTTGCTCCATAAGGTTCGAATAATATTGTAATCAACTCTATAATTAATTCAAAACAGATAATTATTGTTCCAGGGTTTTTGTGCAGATAAAATATAATACAACTTCAGACATTTACATATGCTAACTTACTGTTTGATCATTTATTATAATTTTACTTGATTTATATTAGTTTGGTACAAAACTAACCAAATAATTTCTATTATGTATTACTCATTGCCTCAATTCTGTTTGTCCATTAGAAAATTTTTCAAACAAAAAACGCAGAGATTTAACTGTGATTTTTAACCTACGTATATGTGTGTATAATTAATAAAATTGATGCTTTTTGTGAATATTTTAGGAAATAAAAACTAGAAGCTAAAAATGTTACATGTCATCTCTGGGCCTCATAGTTTACAAATTGTCTTCACGAACGTGTCACGTGACCATAATTCCAACCAATTCATACCGTTAGCTACATACTTTGACGAGATATATATGTCGAATCTCGAATAAACCAGATTTCCATCATTCATCTCCATCACACCAGTCGCATCTATCCCGTATAAAAGAAAGGATTTGCTGTGATTTGCTTTGGTAAATTACCTAATAAAAATTTCAAATGAGCATTTACCATATTCCACATTGGTTGCTTTGCTATGTTAAATTTGGCCCAATCTGAAAAGTGTGTACCCTTGCTTCCCCGTTGCTGAATAAATTTCCACTCCACTAAAGAATTTTAGCTATCACTCTGCTACAAATTTCCATCCAGTTGCAAAACTGAACGACGAGGGCTTTTGATTTGCTGGATATGTACCTCATTTCCTAGTTTAGTTATTTGTGCAAAATTTTGCAGACTTTTCTCCAACAGCCAACTTTGGCGAGCTGTTTGGGATGATACATGAATGATTCATGGGAAGATTCATTATTCAAATGGAACAATGTTTCCACAGCTTACCTTACCGTTGCAAATATGAGTAAACATGTTGGAACCTGAGTACCTTCAACCGCTTTCATTCCTGTGAAAGCCTTTGTCACACAATTGGTGTATGTATGCCCATAAAAGTATAAACACTGAACTTCTATATAGTGGTTCGAGTTTCATGCTGAATCAATTAACTCCAATTTGCGTCACATTTTACACTATATACACTTTTTCAAAAATAGTTTAGTACAGTGCTTTAATGTTGCAAGGCCCTTATTCGCATGTCCGATTCGATTGTGTAGTAATTGGATTTCATCAGAAGAACGTGAATAGGAAATTCAATCCCTCCCATTCATTCCGAAAACAAAGCAAACCCGAGAACAGTTTTACGCAGAAGACATAATATATTTGTACACAGCTAGTCGGGTTAAATGCTCCCAAGCCGGTTGTCAACGTGCACTAAAGAATGCCAGAGTGCTGGAAATTCAGCAACACAATTGTTGGACTCCAGTAGTGCAATCAATTTAATATTTCATTGTTGTGGCAAAGTCGTGAAACCTGCAAATGTTTGCAGATCTAAACTTGAGTAGATATGTATGTGTATTTCATTGTAGACTGGGACAGCTCTAATGCATACATACGTAAAAACAAAGGAGGTGTATTTGTTTGTCCAAGTAGAAAGAAAATCTTGCCAACAAATTTAGGCAGTCGTGGTCCATGCGTAGATTGAAACAAAAAGAAAGTAAAGTCAAAGGCAAATTGTATCAACCAGACAAAAGTAATGGACAACAAAGATCAAAGCTCAGACAGGCGAAGGAGACGTTGGTCAAAAGTTTGCACCAACAACCTTATAATAAAAAGGTTATGGGCTTCGTCGGTAGTGTTGGTTAAGTTTGAACGACAACTGAATCATCGTCAGATAGACTTTCCTTGTTTCTTTTGGTCGGTGAGTGGAATTGTAGTTTCTTGCAACGAATTGTTATTAAGCATGCCACCTTGTTTTTGGAGCAAATATCGTGTTCTCGCGTAGGTTCTGAATGCTTGCTTCGTGATTAAGTAACATCATGCAACATTTCAAGACTGGAATTAAAGCTTAGTTCCGTTTTCTGCCAAGGCAAAGAAACTAACTTGATATGAAGTCAACTGACGCTGATGACGTTAGGCCAACGTTCGAGGGGTCTCCTGAGATTAGACAAGTTTTTATTAATTTAAAAGGGAATCTGGGCGAAGAGACTGGAGAAATGTGGGCCAGCTTAATATCGAACACTCAGCAAAGTAATTTTCTTGGCTTTCCCTTTCTTAAAATATCTTCCAAGCTACGTTGTAAAGCACGTTATGGCTAGCAAACAGCACCAGTATTCATTACTATTGTGGGTAAAAATACCCAGACTAACGGGTAGTAATATGTGTTTGGTTGTTTCACAAAAATTGGCTGTAGTTTTATTTTGTTACCACGTCACTCGTTCCTATAAATTCTGTAACAATGATCCCGCATATCCGCAGTTGTTCGCCAAGTGGAACGTTATAAATTAAATTTCTTATTGCATGTTTAATGATCGTTACACCGGACTTCAAGTTGTCGGCAACTTGATTAAACAATTAGGATAACTCTTTTATGAATTCAAACAAACTCAGGCTTAAAATATGCAATGCAATTTTCCCACAATACGTTTTCTGAAAGCGGAGTATGCATGAAAGGGAACTCTCATAATAATTATTGTACTTTTATCTTATCTTGGCTACACGAGCAATTAATTTGACGAAGACGCATTTTACGTTGACGCATGCTTTAATCAGGGGTGAAATTGGTGGTGTGGGAAGAGTATACTCACTGTGAAAAGAGACAATTTGAGCCTTATGGTTGCCACCACATAACGTCGAATTTGGTAAATTTTCGGGACAACTCAATTTTTTGTCCCCGAGTATCATTAGTCGCGTGGAGGGGAGGGAGCTAAGCAGCAACTGTGGCTGTGAGAAAGTCAAAAGTGGGAGATAATGAGGAGTGAAATAAGAGAAGAAAGGAAGCTGAGAGGGATCTATAACTGCGGCACGCTGTCGAGAACATGACGTCGTAATCTCAGTCATCTCAACTTGTTCTACGCTGAGAAAAAAGTCCAGGGACATGGATAATAATTTATCATATTCTCTGGGAAATTTTCGCTGCTTCAATCATACTTTGAAAGCCTAGTCATTATTATCCCCTTCTTAATCTCAGATTTCTCCACCGTAAACAATCCCATTCTCATTACTTGCATACTAATTGTTAGAAAACCTAAAGTTTTTCTCGTTATTTTTAGATTATTACGATTCCTGTAAGATAGGGGCATACAAATAAGTAGGTAAATGTTTATGATGAATGCATGTACATATATAAGTTCAACAATCTTTACTGCATTTGGGAAATTGGCAATGATTCGTTCCATTGAAGTCAAGTAAGTACGTACGCACGAGCAAATACTTGTTAGCATATAACCACAATAATTTACAACATACTTTTACGTATTAGCCATGGTTCACCATATGATTGCTTATTGTTCCTTATCACATAACGCATCATCGTATATCATAAATTTGAAATCGAACAATGCGTCATGCTATGAATCATTAATTATTCGCCGATGGAAGGAAAACACCCTGATTGCATTGCAAAAAGCAATTTGGGAATAACAAATAATCTGCATGATAAGCATTGATGCCAAATAATATGTACGTACATTTAGCACCTATGCATTCACAATTAAATGGTTTCATAACGGCGAATACGTATCCCTGAATGCGTGTTTACTCGACATTACTTATCTGCGTCTTATCAAATCATTGAACAGCGACAATGATTAGTCTCACAACAAAACCCTTTTCGGGTGAAACCACAGGTGCATAGTGCATTCAGAAACACAACATCAGTCACAATACATTAGTCATCAAGCACATTTTTCAAAATGGTAATTCCTCCAAATTACACGGAAAACATCCCAGAAATGATAGAGCCAAATTGGAAATCGGACGATAAATTCGTTTATTCCGTGCTCTCGGATGTAGCGAACAGTAGCTTGAAAGATATTTTCCCTCATTACAAGGACATAACACAGTGTAAACTTAACAAAGAAGACCTTCTTGATCTCGATTATTGTGGAGATGATATTGATGTAAACAAGCTCGTGGATGATTTTCGTGGTCCTGCAATTTATATAGGAATCTGGTTGAGCTTGGCCATAATTTTCACGATTGTTGGAGTAATTTGGTGCATTTGTAACAAGTGTTGTTGTTGCTGCAAAGGAAAAAAAGGAGATGACTTGGACTACTTGGTAAATACCGAGTCGGATGAAGATCTTCGACAAATTGGCGTATACCAAGGGGACAGAAAACATAACTTAAAACTAGTTTGGAGAATTACTTTGGCTGTACTTATGACATGTTGGGTCATAGGATTCTCGTAAGCATATAACCATAACACTTATTGTTATCCTCTTTAGTTTATCGTCAATTCATTTCGGATACACCGTCTATTTTATAGATTCAGTGTGTTCATGTCATTCGCATCTAACGAAGGCTTTAGAACGTCCGTCTTTGAACTGTATGACGATTTGGACTTGTCGTTGGACGACGCAGAAATGTATATTGATATAACAAACCGTCAAGTGAATGCAACTTTTGTTACAAGTTTTGGGAACCTATCGGAAAAAATTCTAGAAGAATTTCCACCAGAAGTTCCAACTGGTAAGTTGAATAATGTTTCGCAATTTACATGAGACGCATTTGCATACTGTGCTAAATATAGCTGTCTGAGACTAAATATTAGACACCAAAAGTTGAGGCACAATTTGACTTATTTTTCATAGGTAACCTCCACATTAATTCACAGGCATTAAGTTCAAGGATTCTTCTGCACTCTAATGTTTTAATTACCCAATTGGGACATTCTATGGTAATTTAGCAATACTAGAAATGCTACAATCAACCTAGTATTATATAAATCAAGTATCATACGCTGTAAAGTTAAGAGATATATATTTGAGTACTATTTTATCATGACTCTTCGCAGGAATTGAAAGGGCTAAGCGACCTGCTTCGCGAATTGCAAGTAACGTTGAATCACTACGTTAATCCATTTTTGTCTCGAATGGAACAAGTTGGACGAAATCCTGAATCTGATGTGAAGGAAGCCTTGCGAAAAACAAAGGAAGAATTAGATAGAAATGCTAAAGATATAACGGATGCAATAAATGAGATTCAAATTAGCAAATTTCGAGAAGAATTGGAGAAAGCGGAAGATGAATATTTGGATGTTGTCGGGTCCGCAATGTCAGTAATTTTTTTATTTTGTACCACTTTAAAATCAAATGGTTCAAGTATTGCTACACGTGTAATATTGCAGATACGGAAGTTTCATGGGGTTTAACCTCATTTTGTTATTAATACTCATCGGAATAGTGATTGGATCTGTGGTTGTTTGGATTGCTAAAGGACCGGCAAAGAATATTGGGTTTATCTTTTACAGATTGTGAGCAAATATCTACTTAATAATTACCAAATATCATGACTTATTTTCCGGTTGGGCGGTAAAATATGTCCTTGTCCTTGGCACAGCTCCATCGTAATGATGTTCGTTTTGGGATGGATTATCGCATGTGTAATGGTAACACAGTTTGCCATTTCTGGATTTTTGATACACGATGTATGTGAAGAGTTGAGAGACTTGGAAAATAATTCCACGGATGATCAGATCCAGATGATTGCGTCAGGCCAAGGATTCCTGATCCCACTGAATAAGTCCTCATTTGCAGAGATGAACGAGGATTATTCCGTTCCTTCTTATTCGTATGTGATCAAGTAAGACGAAAAGCTCAAAAACAAGACCAAAGTAGATTAACTTTTCTAAAAATACTTAATATGCTTTCGTGTTCTTATAGCCACTGCAAACACAACAGCAGTGCATACGCAGCTCTCAACTTGGAACTAGTCTACAATGCTTCTTCGATTAAAGACATATCTGACAATTTTAATTTCACGTCATCGAAAGTCAAAATTGATGATTTGTTTTTTACCAAAAATTTATATGCTCTTCGTTCATCCTTATACCATGAGTTGGTAAGAATGAGATTCATAAATACATGATATTTACTATGTGAATGTTCAAAGTTAAAATTTACAAACTATACAAATTTATTGCCCAGAAAAAACTGGAGTCCTTTAAGACTGTTGTAGCAGACATTTCCAAGTCTGAAACCTTGAATGGAACAGAGGGTTTATATTCAGAGATACACTCTGAGTTGGTTTCATTACTGCAAGAGTTAGAAACCCTCAGATCACCAGACGTAAGTTTTGAAATACATAATGAACAGCACAAAACATAGAAATAGATGATACGCATGCACACATACGTAGATATGCACTTACAATTAGTCAGTAATAATATTTTTCTACAGATTGAGCGGAACTTTCCTGCGAACACCGTGGACAATATAATTTTCCTTGTTGATGACTATGAAGAATTCGTGTATGAACAGGTAACGGCCAGAATTGGAAAATGTCATCCGATTTATTACGCCACAAATCAAGTACTCGATACGGTTTGCAACAAATTGTTAATCCCAGTAGCGTCGTATTGGTGGTCTTTACAACTCCTGCTCGTCATGATGGTAGCGTTAATTTCTACGGCGTTAATTTCTGAGCGTGTGTTTAAATGATAAGTGCTGTCAAACGCCGGTACAGATTGAATCTTATTAGCTAAAGTTAGTCTAATTATTTTGTGAAAATGTGCCTCGACTTTATTTGTACATATATATTTATTTAAAAAATAAAGATGCAACTATGTGTAAATGCATATAAGCAAAATGGTACGAAAATGTTCAACCACCCACAAACAAGTATCTAAGAGCTTATGAACGTCATGCTTTGCTTGCATTATGAACCTGTATAAATTCGTCTTGACGTTCAAAACAATTCATTTCAAAGACGGATTTTGTTGAGTAGTTCTTCAGATCAAAAGAATATTCATCCCATTCCACGGTCCAACACTCACAGGAAGAAAGAATGTGGCACAAAGTAATAAACTTTTACATAAGATCTGAACATGATGATCATAGACGCGGATTTAGGACTTGCAGGATGAAAAATATATAATGTGGTGTGAATGTTATTTCTCAAAATAAATGAGGAAACACCTTTTATTCCTTTCTTGCAACTTGTAATAACTTTCTTGAAAAGCGGATCAAACGAGAACATTGAAATATAAGAGATACAAATGTACTTATAGACACATGTACTGCAGGATGTACGTACGTACGTAGGTCCGTTTATTTTACTCCATGAAACGACAACATAACAAACCTTGGGCCTGAGTTTGTACACACCGAGAATCTTGCGACGACCACCCAGCAGTCGAGTTAACCTTCCGACATGTTGTACATAGGCAGTTACATGGAATTGTAGTTGTGGACAGGCAGGAGCAGGGGCAGAATAGGAAGAAGCGAAAGTCTGGCTGGTGAGTGAGAAGAGAAAGATTTATGTGTTGAAGGGCCAGAGTTGCGAAAATTACTAGCCGCCCATAATTTGAACCTCATGGAACGGATGTCATAAACTTGAAAGGATCTAATGTCTTTTCTTTCTCTTTCTCTACGAATGTATTTTTTCCTCCTCCTTTCACCCACAGAAAGACATCTCATGCCACCCACCTAATCTTCCATCCCAGCTCCCTCACCCTCCACACAACATAAATTCTCACAAGCAGTTCATATTCGCCGACTACCTTTCCAGACAGTTTTTTACCAGAGAAAACTTTTACCACATACATACAGGCGCCAACTTAATTACAAAAGTGTTATAAAGTCTCCCCCTGTTTACACGGTCTTAACAGCGGATTAAATAAGCAATAAAACACAGGCTGTATACATTTTGCTCATACTAATCATCACGTATCAAGCAGGCAGACATGACAGGCAATGTTTCTGATTTGAAGTTTTTATTATTATTTCACTAAAAAGAAGATTTTCTTGCAAGAACAAGGTTTCCTTTCACAGTTGTTAAACAGTCGTGTTGATTCACATACATCTATGTAAATGCAAACTTATTTATTTAAGCCGGAAACTGAAGATACATAAACCCTGAGCGTCAGTGAAAGGGAAATTCAACAACAATCAGCAAATTGTCAGCCTCTATGTGTATGTGTTCTTAATTTAAAGCCGAGTTTTTCCGTGTCTCATTAAAATTCAAATCAGATATGCAATTAGGGTGGCACAAATATGGCTCATGAACGCCGTTTTGATCTATTGCACGTAATAATGGAACAAGGAAGGAGGCGAGGCGAGGTTGGTTGGAGATGCTGGAAAAAATCTCATGACTGACAATAAGGATTGGAGGAGGAATTAGACGGCGATGATGTGACATGGCCGTGACTAAAAAAGGGCGATAAAATCTGCAGCCGAGTCGGTTATAATATTCATTCAGATATGAAGCTATGATGAGAAGTGGGTTCAGAAAATGGTGAAAATTTTAGAGAAACCCCATCTTCCAAACTTTACAGACCTGCGATTCTTAACTTATAAGGGATAATGGACAGCTCTCCTAATATTATTATCCTCGCTCGTCTCTACCAGAATGAGCAGCAAGTGTGCACAGAAAGATGATGATAAGGTAGCTCTATGATTTCATCCTTAATTAGTTGTTTAGAACAATACGACACTAACGAGCAGAGGAGAAAGTTGGGAGTATTTGAGTAAAATAAACCAAGGCGTGTGTTTTAATCAGCCACACTTTTTTAAAATAATTTCACCTAGTGAGCGGGAGGAAGAATGGTTTGTGAACCATTATATTCTCTGAGAAGAAACTAATCTCGGCAAAGAGCTGGAGCTTATTAATTATAAATGAGGAGGATCATTAATTCGACCGGATGGAAACTTCCTCGGTCTCAAGTTATCAGAGAAGTAGGTCACCTCCTCACTCATGTTTGTCCACATTATCTTTTCTCCTCTGTGGGCATTTCACTGGCTCTTGTTGTTACGGAACACCATTTCATCGTTAGCATGAAATGAAGAGCTACAATTTATTGCCCTTGATGTCCTTGTACATTTCGGTACTGCAACAGTGAAAAATTGTATTTCTATTCTTACAGTAGTTGTTACAAATACAAATGCAATCTCTCCATTGGTCTTTTTGGCAATATCCATTGACCGTTTAATAGAACATTTTCACGGTCTCGGAAATGTCTGCTGCAGGAAAAAATTCAAAAACAATTACGACACGGTTTATGCAGAATAAACTGATTTCGTCAAGATCAGTTAGAAAATGAGAAAGTAAAAGTTACACATGCCGGTGAGTAGCCGTGTTGCATGACTGCTCATTGGTATAACAAGATTGATGTAATTATGTAATTAAAGCACCTAACTTAATGCCAAAGTAAAATTAGAAAAATAATAGCAACAAATCGAAAAAATAATTTCGAGGCAAGATTGTGAAAACTAGCGTCTCGTCTGATGTAGATAATGGTCAGCCATGTTCTTTCTAAATTATAAACCATTGTAATAATCATTTTCTACATATGTACGCAAATACGTCACGAAAAAGTATGAGGTCGTGCAAACTAAAGTGAGCACAACAAGTTAATAAACTGATGAATTAAGATTAATGGGAAATTTGTTTGTTATTCTATCAACTACACACGAGTCCTTGCCAACGTACCCCCCGCAAAGCAGTCTGGGTGTCACATATCCTTGTGAAACCTAGAACCTGTTTCTCCCGCAACAGACTGACTTTTAACTTTTACAGTTTTCTGATTTTGTCCGCGTCGGGGGCTCTAAAAACACAATTGTACCAGCGAGAAGGTGGAAATTTTGCCCCCAGTGGGTAAACGAATGAGCTTCGCCAAACCTCCTGTCACATCCAACATATTTTCCAAGTTAATTATAGTAACGCCATAGTCATATCTGTTCATTAAAACTTGTTATTCATTTCACTTTCAATTAATAATCGTTCGAGACAAGTGGCATAAAGTTGCAATAGATTTTCGTGACATTAGTATACGACGTGCATACATATGTGTCCGCGTATGTATGTTGTCAGATACAGTGCAACAGAAAAGCAATGACGATTAAATTTAATTTAATTAAATTTGCCGAGTCAATTATACTTTCTTTCTCAAGTGAGAGTCATACATCGCCATAGGCTTTACCCTGCATAATTCAGTTAAGTCTTGTCAAGTCTTGTGCATCCAACTGCCTTCGCGTAATTACGAAAAATATCTAACGTTTTGAATTTTTAGCAATAAAAATGGATTATTTATTCTTGTCTGAAATAATTAGACCGAACAACAAGATTCATGCCGTATTACATGCTTATATTTGCATGTACAAACTTACATATGATAAATGTAATGCGATTCTGGCATTTCTTATGTACAGTCAGTGGATGAACGATGAATGTGTGCATTGTGTGTGCAGAAAAAGTACAAAGTATAAAATAAGTCCGTGTTCCGGTTACTTTCCGTCCTTTCAACTCGTTATCATATCGGCACAGCCCCATGCACTGTCAACTGTGTACATACATAATGTGCCCATTCCGACTCGTGCAAACCTCGGAATCTTGCCTGTATTCGCTCCCTCATTATAAAGATTAATTTGCCCACAGGACAGGATGGAGAGGAATATGAAAGAAGAAAGAGAATAAAAGTACTTGGAGAAAAGAACGACAATAAGAAACTAAAAGGGATTGGTGCCCAACAAAGAAGGACTGCTTGACTGCATCAAAAAGTCCGAAATGAGAAAGAATTAAGCAAATAATAAGTTTTCCGTCAGCCATAAAATGGGTAGTTTTTGTCAACCAGTTTTTCGTAATAGGAAGCGCAGGATAATTTTTGGAAATAATTGGAAGATTTTCAGGGACGGATGAACTTGTGCTTCGTGTCCTCGCTCCCCATCTCAAGGGAGCATGGTTCGAATGAAATGAAGCTGTATCATCGTCAGTCATGATGATGCACCAAATTAATTCACGTCTCATAATCTAATTAATAACCTCTAGACGTTGGGGATCTGATGTCATACCAAGTTTGGCAATAATTAATCCTTAATTCTAATAAGTAAGTATATGATGCATGGATAATCAATAAATACACATGTCCACCAAGTTAATTTGTGGTTGCCGAGATGAAAGTCACAACCTTAGCGATAAATACATACTCTGTCTAAATGTAATTTACTACTTTGCATTCCTTCCAATCAGACACAATAATGCAATCAAGGTACAAATCTAAATAAAATGTAAATTTCTAGTCGAGTCGAGAACCCGAGCATAAGATTAAAAGTTAGTCTTTCAATATTAAATAGAACGAGAGATGTACATATGTCTAGTACCGTGGACTATAATCATCATCATCATCACTTACATAAAAGTCCCACTTGCTCATACTAATCTCGTAACACATTTATTCGTTCCGTTTTAAAATGATTTTATAAATTTCAAATTTTAATAATCTAATAACAAGTTAGTTTTTAATCTTTAAACACGAAAATATGAAAATACAGGTAAGTGGATAACTCAAGTAGTATTGTTTCAATATAAAATTCAAAACTCATTTTTTTCTACATGTGAAAAGGATCAAAATGGGACTTGGGACTACCCACCGTGGTTTTTTTCGCTACGACGCTTCAATCCGGGAGGACCCGCCTGGTACGGCGGCCCCCAACGTCTTCCGGCGGATTTATACCTTACACGATCTATTATGGGAATTATTTCGGCAGCTTTGACGTTTTTATTGGTTTTATTCGTCGTTTTGCCAATCATCAAACATCGCTCCCAGTCTGTGATAGTGGTTCGTTCACACTTACTCAATTCTTAATGATGTCCCGCTATGCAAACAATGCAAATTATGATTTTCATGTGCACATTAACTTTATAGCTCTGTAGCGGTACTGTGCATATATCCTTAATTAATTATCACCAAGCTCATGGTACTAGAAAAAACAATCATGCAGAAAATTATCGACATTTGTGCCCCCATTTTTGAAAAGGTCGTTGCACAATATAATTTTTCAAGTGGTGCCATGTTATTTACTTTTACTGCGAAACCTTGGTGTTGCATTTAGTACGTTGTACATTCCTTTCGTGGCGCATTAAATATGTATGACGCAGGGATGACCATCTAACCATCCATGTATTAGTCATATGTATAAATCTGTGGTGCAACAAATAAAAGGGTGTTTTAGTCGTAGGATAAGTACTGAGACTACTATCAGCTCACCATCAACTTTCTACTTACATTTTATGGACGGTAAAATCCTCCAAGGGCTAGAAGTGTATAGTGGTGATGATGATGACGATGATGGAATCCATACAACTATCCATATATGTGGAGAAAGATAACCGTCAGAATCTTTCCTCCAACTTTATACGAGGGCGTAAAATAAATATTATATTTTAGGCGCTGAATTCTATCGCCATCGGAGTAGTCGTTTCCCTCTGCCTCGTCTGTCCGGAATGGATTCGTGGACACAGCGCCATTCAATCCCCGATATATTACCACTCGCCCCAGGTAATGACCTGTTTTTTGTACCACTGCTCCAGTTCTCACCCACCCAACCAACGCGCGACGAACAGTACAACACGATACCACCAAACTTTCCCAGATTTATTGACTGAGCAAATGAACGAAGGTAGTGAAAGGCTAAGTGCACACTTTGAATTTCAGCCCTATGAAATGGCCCTAGGAGTGCACATTGGTCTGGCTGGATTCAATGTAACACTTCGAACGATAGATCGTAATTTTGATGTTCAACTTGACGGAGGGTTGCAGCTCATCACAGCCAATCAAACGGCGGCTCCTAAAATCTACTACAATGAACATGTATGTAACAATACCTAATAACACCTATAAACACGAATACGTACTTATACGAATACGTACATATGTATGTACATACATAGATAAGTACGTATTTATGTCGAGCTTGTTCCAGCTAATTGCATTTTCTCCGCTTTACAGTAACACTTTCCTTGCAGTTGCAGTAAACACTTTTTTAGAACATATTAAAATCAGCATCATCATTTTTAGGTAAAAATGTATCACCCGGACAATTTGGAAGGCGTGTTAACGAATGCTCTAGAACGAGGTCTTCCAGTACCCTTGCTGGTCACTTATGACTGTCTCACATCCACGACACAAGGTTTCGACTGGTCCCATCGCATTGTGGAGGCAGGATATCATTGCTACATTCTCACCGTTTTTGCTCTGGTGGGATGGTTTCTTACTCAAGTTTTAATAGCGTCGATTCCGCACTATAGTGCATATGGATTTGTAGCCATCGGATATCTCATGGTGTTTGATACCGTCGTTTACTTTTATTGGGCAAACATTAACCTTTCGCCCCCATGGTACGTGTGCATATGTGTACATATTGATAATAACATCTGATTTTGCAGGTTGACATATTTCTTTCATTAATGACCTTTAATTCTTTTTAATTTACAGCATAGTCATTACGGATTCCTACGTTGAATTAAGGTGAGACACAACGACCATGCATGCATATATGTATGCAGTCGAAAGTGACTACTAACCGACCCACCGACGGTAGACAATCCACGCTGTTTTAGCTGGTTGACTGGTTGGTTGGTTAGTGTCCCTGGACCTGGCGTCATTAATTGATGTGATGGTGCTATTTACATTGCAGGCATGGAATGTGCTTTTGGACGTGCTTGGTGATGGGAGTGTGGTCATGCATTTATGGGCTCATTATGACTGTATACGACACAGTCTACCCGGACAAGTTTCTCACAGTTTTTGATCTGGATTACGACCACAAACGCGCTCTGGCTGCTGCCAACCATCTGAATCGCTTATCCGAAATAAATGTTAGTTATCGCAGGCGAAGTCGTAATCACCAACAGGATGATCCTTTCGTGAAATTGGTTTAGTCAAATTCCGGTTAAAAAAACTCGCAAATTCTTGGATAAATATTAGAAGTTGTAGGATTCTTACTCCTTTAGATTTAACAAATTTAATGTCTTTTTAGCCTGCATATAAACAGTGATTATAAATTACGTTACAAAATATTCATTTGGTTATAAAGGTTATATAATCTCTAGAAAAATAAATACGCAACTACAACTCTTATTTACTCAAACTCTTGCATAATAAAATTCTGCTCTTACAGACATGCTTTCCTAATATTGGAGAGAAAGGCGTGTGGGCGGCGTTGACAAGATAAAGAATTTAACGTCATCTACTGGCAAAGATTCTGACGATTTTAAATCCAAGATGTTTCAAATGTTCTGCAAATCGACGATTGGTCTTACTTCAACAACTGCAGCATCTAGTTCATGAAAAAAATGGTTGTCCTAATTGACAAGTATTTATGAAATCATGCGAGGCAATATGTTTACGTGCATATTTAGCGAGATACAAAATCTTTCATACCTAGGATTTTGGGTTCTCAAAATAAGTAAGGTTATTTGACTATTCATATCGTCCTTTATTTAAGCATTTTTGTATTCCGTCCTCGTATCATTATTTAAGTGGAGCACTGTAATCAGTGAGCAGCAATCGAAAAAAATGTTTATGACTTCCACACACCCACTCGACATGTCGAAAAGTAGTAAACTGAATTGAAAAACTCTGGCTGATGATTGAAGGGTTTTATTCGAAACGGCTTGTGTCGACTAAAAATAAAACGTGTTACTTCCATAATGTATGTAAATGGATATGTCTATGTAGCTACTCACCTTGAAACAAAATCCGACGCTGGGATCAATGGATCAATACAAAATCGGTACATAGTCCGAGGAAAAATGGTAAAAGCTTTTTATAACAAGCCGATTACGTTAATAAGCTATACTTGATGCAGTTGGAAGCTCTTTCTATTTACGAATATTTTTTTTACAGAAAAATTACATTTGGCTTTAAATCTTTTGCTTCAGTCTCATCCAAGTTCGCACTTGAAATCTACTTATCTATCTTACTTTTTAAGGAACATGGCGTTGAGCTCAAAGGAAACAGAGGGTAAGGAATACGAACATAAAATAGCAAGCTTTGTTTAAAAGTTAAAATCTGCATCATTTATATATCCAACAATGTGTCTCCCATTTCATATTTCAAAGCTGCCAGATTTGTGTTTTCAATTTACGACTTTGACTCCAATGGCATGGATGCATTTTATCTTGGTCCTGCCCTAAGAGCGTTGAAATTAGCGCCAACACTTTCAACTATCTCCAAGTTTGGCGGAACACAGCGAAAAGGTAAGAAGCACGAGGAGCCATTTTTTATATTTCTTTGAAGGATAAGTATTTATGACTTTATAAATCTCTCAATAAACATCATTTTCGAATGCAGGACAAGCGTCCTTTAATTCAGAGGAATTTATTGCACTTTATGCAAAAGTAAAAGAAAGCGTTGAATCTGGAACAATGGAGGACTTTTTGGAGTGTTTAAAGATCAATGATAAACATGAGAGTGGGACAATATCGACGTCTCATTTGACACATCTCTTACAATCATATGGTAAGATAACTTGTTGGTTATCAATATTAATCAATACAGTTTTTCTTTTAAATTAATTTTTTTTGTGAAGGCGAAAAGTTGAGTGACGATGAAGTTGACGAAATTATTCGAGATTGCGGTAATCCACAAAACGGCGTCATTGAATATGTTCGTAAGTGATCAATGTGATCGTTATTGCGACCAATTAAACTATTTTTTTAAGAATTATAATTTACCGTTATCGTGTTTGTAGCATTCCTTGAGAACCTTTTAAGTGAATCAGAACAGATAAGTCCAGTTGAGGAGGTTGGGAAATTAAACACCTCTTCAGTCATAAATGAAGGTTGTACAGGGGATGTGAAACCAACTGATAAGGTAAAACTAAAAATACAAACGCAACGACCAGTTCCGGATGAGGTCAACAATCCAGAGCCGCAAACTCCGAAATTATCAGACGCTGCTTTCTCTCTGAAAACTACTAAATCAAAGACCACGAGTATTTCCGATATGGAAAATGCAAAGAAAGCAGCAACTGCGGCCGCTGAAGCTGTACTGAAGCCGAAAAATCAAATGCCATTAATAAAAATAAAAACCCAGGGATTGATTGGAAACATGGTTAAAAAATAAATAAATGAGAGACACCGTAACAGGAATACTTAATTTAACAACAATGTAAGCTCGAAACGATTAACTTTTAATGATTACTGAAGCATATCATAAAAATTTATTTTACACTTTTAATGTTACAACTCCATCTAACATTCCTTTGTACTTCAAAATGATAGGTTCCACTTCATCTTGGAGAAACTCGTCCACCTGCGGATAAGTGGAAAAATTATTATTACTACCTTCAAGAAAGTTTCAACTCGCAAGTATTATGCGGGTAACAGAGAAGGATAATATTGCTAACCTGTTGTGGTGCACGTCCAATAAAAGTATTGGGATTCAGCAGTCTCGGAAGGTCGTCCCATATTGGTTTGAAATACGGCGTCTGTTTAATCCGCTCAACTAAATCATTGTCCTTGCCTTCATTCTTTACGACAGATGCAGCTTGATGTGATAACACTCTAATTTCCTCATGGCAAACCTACGAAAAAAACAGTCGTTAAAATTAATCGTTATTTTATCATATAGTATTTTAACAGAGCAAACAAGCTTAGGAAAATTAATACTTGACGATCTCCTCCTTTCTTCACCATCTCCATGATAATATTTTCTGTAGCCATAAATGGAAGCTCTTGCTTGATATGTCTGTCAATTATCTGAGGATAGGGAACCAGCCCTTCAAATACGTTTTGCAGTGTTTCCAAAATTGAATCCGCCGTCAAAAATGCTTCCGATAGTGTTAACCGTCTGTTGGCAGAATCATCTAATGTCCTTTCCATCCATTGCACTGCTGCCGTGGACATTGTATTGCCAACTAGAGTCATAAGATGACGGGCTAAAGAACACACCTGAAATTTGAACATATATATATACATTTTTAGAATATACCTAAAATAAATATATGCATATGTAGTATAAATATATATATATATGTATATCAATATATATGATAAAGTTTCCTTACTCGCTCGCATCTCATTGGATTTCTTTTGTAAGCCTGCCCAATAAAGGATTGGCAATTAATAAAATCTTATAGTCCTTACAATTTATATCAGATATTTTGCACTATGCATAAGTAAAATATACCATTGCAGAAGAACCGATTTGGGACTTTTCAAATGGTTCTTCAAGCTCTTTCATATTGGCCAGCAATCTGATATCGGTGCAAATCTGCAATACATACCAAGACACATTTATACTTGGAATTGACAAGAAACTAACATACGAATTTACGAAGTATCACCTTGTGTGCGGATGCGCCGAGTCCCGCAAGCGAACTGACAACATCAACGTCCACGTGTCTACTATATGTTTGGCCAGTGACAGCATATGCCTTTGGGAATCCGCATTTCATTGTTACCAATTTATCCAACTCTTTCACTTTCTCGTGATTTTCTACAACAAGAAGAACTCAAGTTAATTGATGATTTATGATTAAGTTCTTGGCGCTGAAGAACGAGATACGTATTAAGCTCAGATATATAACAATTATTCAAAGCATATTTGTACCCTCAAAGAGTTGCAAAAACGAAGCTTGTGTCCCCGTTGTTCCCTTTACCCCTCGAAATCTAAGATCGGCTCTACTTCTGGAGATATTCCTTTCATCAAAAAGTAAATCTTGGAGCCAAAGACAAGCTCGTTTGCCCACAGTTGTAAGTTGTGCCGGTCTAAAAATGAATAATTTCAGGAGATGTTACATGTAACCATAAATATTAGATCATTGCTATTGTAGAAACATACTGCATATGTGTAAATCCAAGTGTTGGGACATCTTTTTGCTCTCGTGCAAATTTGGACAAGCGATGGATACACCTGGCCAGCTTAGGCAGTAAAAGATCTAAGCCATCACGGATGATTATCAGATCCTAAAATATCATAACACAAATCCATACATAAAAACAGAAATCAGAATAATCGACTAAAATTATTGGCGCATATATTACAGTATTATCCCCCACAAAACAAGAAGTTGCTCCAACATGGATAATCTGTATTGAAAAATTGATAGTTTTTTTAGTATGGAAGTGATAACTTTCTTGCGAATTGTTCCTTTAAATTAAACTTACGGGAGCAGCCTTTTGACATAAAAAACCAAAAGTGTGCACGTGTGCCATCACATCGTGGCGAGTCTTTTTTTCTTCTTCCGCCGCTCGTTCAAAGTCAATGTTGAAAATGTTGGCCTTCATTTCTTCTAACTGCTCGTCAGTTATGGTCACATCGTTAATATTAAGCTCCTAAATTGCATAAACAATGAATGAACTTTGAAAAGTATATGATTATAGTATTTCTAGCCTAACAAACAAGGCATGTCATAAATAATTACCTTTTCAGACTGTGCCAAAATATACCACAGCTTTCTCCATGTCGAGAATTTTTTCAGGTCGCTGAAATTATATTGCATTTCTTTCGATGCATATCGAGTGGATAAAGCGGATCGATAGTTGGAATATTCTATCAAAGCCTGGGGAATTTTGTCGATCCCTTCTCCTGGAAATGTTGATAAAATATTCCCGGTTGACATCATTTCTGAAACAAAATGGTTATTTACACATAATACAGAAACAGACTAACTATTTTACTGAATTTAATATTACTCTTTTTTGTGATTCTGAATTGATGTTTGAACTTTCACTCTGGATGAACAGATCTACTTCAATCAAATTCTGCTTACGGATTGAATATTATCTAGTTAACCAGTGCCGGATCTGAGGATAGAAATAAAGTCACGAGTTCTCAAATAATTATGCAACCCAGTATTGCATAATATTACTGAACATAACAACAATTTTATTAAAGTACAATCTTCCTTACCCAGACTGCTGTAAGTGTAATTGGAGATTATGTAAATAATCTTTCCTTAGTCAAAGTGGAGCAACATGAAGGTTGAGAATGAGTAAGATCCAGTTTCAGCCGTCTCGCACGTGAACGTAACTATCTCCAGACCGGTCAACTTGGAATTGGTTGTTTTCTTAATTAGAAATGTTTAAATATAATTTTTAGTTGAGATAAACATTTTGTATTGTTTATGTTGCACTGCACTCCAAATATAGCATGTGGTGAAAGGTTCCCTCCGTCGTCGTCTCATCCTTTCTCCTCTCTTAATGCCCTCCTCCACATATCAATTGACACAAAATGGATTCAGCTCTTTTGGCAGCTTCAACGACGATATGCAGCATTGAAAACTTTCTTCTTTCTCTTGTCGGCGTTTTCAGGGAGCACAAATTGATTACCAATGCATCAGTTTGGCAGGAAACATATAAGTGATACACATAAAGGCAATACTTTTAGTGCCAACAAGCCCTTAGAGTGGACAGGATAGTAGTAGTTTCACTTTTTGGGCTTGTGCCAAATTCATGTACGACGAAATGCATAATTAGGTCATGTTAACGTTACCACACAATATAATAAAAAGCCAGTGCGACTAATTGAAAGCACTTCTTCTGCAGAGTAGAAATTCAATATATTTATCGATATACATATATAACACTAGCAACGACTAGTGCCTGAATCTGTGTGAATACGGAATGCTCTCGTCGGAATATTTGAAACAATTTTTCATTCGACCCTTGTATCATTGACAATGTATATAGCGATGGACGAATTCCGCACTTTCTCCACATATGCGCACAACATTGGTGAAAGCGATTCCTACAATTTGTTTCTCAGAATGAATGGGATATCACATACTAATCATCGATGTAAGTATGTGGAGAATGTGCTTGGATGATGCTGTAGCCTTTCCTCGAACTTCAGATATGTATACACACATATGCACATACGTATATACTTTACGTACATATCTGGTTACGGTCGTGAGATACGGTGAATGAGATGAATTGCACGATGATGAGAAAGCTTAAATATAGGGGTGGAAAGTTCAGATCATCCAAAGATGAGCACCCATGTTACGAAAGGAGACCGATATTGACAATGAAATATGATGTCTACGTCGGAAAAATGTTAAAAATGCGCATGAAACATTAAAAAGATATTATGAGGAGATACCACCGGAAGAATGACGATAATGCTCCGTCTCCTTTGGTCGTCGACCTAAAGTAAGTGATGGACGGCCATTGTGCTTGCCATGTACATACAAATACGTACCGACGGTTTTTAAAATGCCGAAAGCAAATGCATTGTTGCGAAAGAATAAATTTGATCTTCAAAGATTTTTCAATCATTTACTTTAATATTTCATGGATCAAACATTCCTTTTGGCAAAGTAGGGATTGGAAATCGTATTATTTGGCAAAAATCTAAGAAATCGGTGTGCACAAAGGGGATTTACAATAAACATGCAAACCTACTCTACATTTATCAACATCTATCTATACGTTTCCTTCATATTCTTGGACTGTATTCCGTTATTCTCATAGTTTTCTGTCCCATATGTATCACATTGCCTTCCATCGGATAGATATGATATGGTTGGTGCACTCTTGCTTAGTGTCTGTGAAATTGTTTTGTGTCCATATGCATCACCTTCGTATTTGTTTAGGCACTTCGTGTGGTAAAATTATATCAGACTCTGATAATCAGATAGTGGTTGATTAATTAGATTGGATTTGCATAATGATTAAGAATTTAGAACTGATTCATTCAAATTTGATTGGAGGGAGCTGGACTGCATTGTTCCCAGATATAATATAGTTTCTGAGTTTTCGTACTAATACATTAAGTGGCCAAACTGACTGACAGCATAAAGTCTTTAGTATTTCTGAGTTAGAAATACTTGCCAGAGAGCAGCGAATAAAGTTTTGGGGGAAAATTGCATAGAAAGTCCTTCCCATATTTTACATGTTAGACAAAAGATCCGATAGACTCGTCGAAAAGTGCTCGCTTAAAAACAGCATTCCAGAAGGATTATGTACGCAAGTATAATACTTGTTCAGGTTTTGACAATAGACTGCTCCGTCCATCTTCACTCGGTATAATTTTCCCTCCCCATTTTTCGCTGGAGGACATGATGGAATTAAACCGTCGCTGACGAGCTATCTATATTATGAGGTCATTGAATGCTTGGAAATATATTGTACGCCTGGGGTTTACAGAGTTCACTTTACAGCCGCCACTTAATTGGGTCTGTTATGATGAAGAACGGATGTAATTTGTACGAAAAACTTTCCTAAATTAGTTCAGTGTTCAGTTGCATTTTCAAACTAAGTTTACCAATTATTCGCATTCCGCCCTCTTGTTTTCAGGTGTCGACAATAATTTTATTGGTAATAAGGTGCTAAATCCTATCGTCAACCTAAAGCAGGGTCATCGTGGTGAAACGCAAGCTGGGCTTAACTGTTGGATTTAATTATATCCAGATTGTACAGGAAAATTATTTAGTAAAGCAATGTATTAGCAAACAAATATCATACATTGTTTAAATTATTATGAGTCATTGACACAATTCTACAGCCAAATCTCTGATGAAAATGGCACATCATCGATATTATGCAATCCGATCCGAGTCAATGTTTTCAAGGATGACTTATGGATTTCAGTTTCCATTTTCACTCTCCTGCTGCTGCCGATGTTCCTGTCACTCTGTCAAGTCAACCCACTCACTCAATCAATGGGAGTGTGTTGTTATGTGACGCATTTTAAGATTTCCTTCTAAAAGCCTTGAGTGAATGGTTTTCTTTTTCTCTAATGCACTAAAGTTTTTGTTCAAATGACAACAGTGGACACACTCTAACTTGTCTTGGCAGTCTTAAATTGAATGTTGAACTTTCATCAAATGAAAAAATTACAGATTTCCGTTAGTAGTGGACTCGAGTCTTTTTTTGAACGAAATGCGATTTGGCTCGTCAGACAGTTAGCTAGTTCCAAAATCCTACATACTTTACCACCTTTTGTTCATGCTTGGAAATCTGAAAAGCTTCAGAGCGAAACTCAAGGCAATGTTTTGAATGGAGGGCGAAAACCACGAAAACCACACATTCTTCTTGCCCATTAGTCAGTAGAGCTAGTAATTTACAGTGTCCTGCAACATGTATAAAAGTTGGTCATGGCAGGAAAGAGCAGAACACAAAGTCAATGTGTTCACACCCACGCCGTTTATCTTCTCGTGGCCTTCATTTAGCAGTCTCCCCCCGCAAACCATAGAGATTGCGAATGAGCCATCCAAGAGACTTGCCCCTTACCTAACCTTAGACCCCTTGAGACTTTAGTCCATTAAAATAAATTATGGGAGTGTGGATTGTGAAAGAGAAGAACATCTTTCTTCAAGTGGTCTTTTCATTTGTCCATTTTGGGAGTCTGCCTCGTGCAGTCTTGGTAAAGATGAGCAGTTTATACACTTACTTAGTTGCTCGTAATGATCTTTAGTTGGTCGGTCGGCGAAAGGAGAATTTTTGGATAAAGTTGTTAAATAAATGTAATCAAAGCTCTATGCAATGCTTGCTTACTTAAAGTAGTCGAGTAGGGCACGATTGAGAGAACTAAAAGCACTTTGGCCCACAATGGAACCAGAACCAGTTATTTCATCCTGTGAATTAACCTACTCTTTTCTAAAAACCAAACTACATAAAGTACACAGTTAATTAAGTTTACCCGAACTATGAAATTTAATGGTTTATTAACAGTATGGCTATGGTAAGTACATTTTCAATGACCTATAGAAAAAATAAATAAGAAAAAACAGCATATTTAAGTGAATAATCTAATTTTAATATTGACACACTCATAAATGAACATAATGAATCCAATCTCAATATTCCAGCCAAATGGTACGTCGTTGTCGAACCCTTTTAACTCAATTTGGCAGACGTCGTGCATAGGAAAGTGCTTTGGATACCGTTAGGAAAAATTGAGATGTGCGGCACAAAGAAGAAAAGACTTTTTTTTCGAAAGTGGACCAAATCCCTCTTTGGAGAAAGCAGAGAAAGAGAGTGCCGTTGTTTCACTGTTCCTTTTTTCAGAAGCATCGGCTTAACATCCATCCCTGCCAATGTACTGCTGTACTTAAAGTAGACAACCCCTGTTGTTGGTGCGATCGGTTAACTTGCATACCCTTGAAGGCAAGTGCCTTCTTTTCATCTTTGGTGAGTGTGGTCTGGTTCGTAATAAAAGGAAAGATCTCGTTTGTTAAAGATCTGTGAGGAAGGAGGAAACCGGGCTTAGGATAAATAGCATAATGTAATGTGATGCTGTGGCAGTGTGCGTAAAGTAAAAGCACGGGAAATATATAACGCAAACGCTTTACGAAACCGTCGATCGATCTTTTAGAATTCCAGCGAGTTCTGCAACGCGAAGGTTTTCACTCGCAAAGCTCGCATCCAACCAAAGGAAATATTCCAGTCAGACGAGCAGTTGTGCATCCGTTTTTCCACCGTTGTCGCCCTTTCCTCTCATTTTCTCCCCACACAGCAGAAGGGATGTGAGGTAGCAAGGACTCTGGATTTCCCATCTTATCTCGCCTTTCTCTCGTCCTGGATCCACGCACCGCTACTACTTTTACTACTACCAGAGTCAATTGAGATCAGAGAGGAGTTTCCTGGGAATAACTGAGACCTGGCAGATTGAGACGAACTTGCGACACCGGTGGTAACAAGCAATGCTTTCCCTCGGTCTAAAAAGTGGATGAAACTCGGGTAGGAGTTTCAGTATCTCTGCAACTCTCCTCAACGTTCCAAGTGAGTGGCTTTCTCCCATCTGGAAAAACTGGGGAAATCACAACATCCAGAGCATCATTACTTTTGACTTTTGGGTCCATTCTCTCACACATTTACTGCTGCTTTCCGTCGTGAAACTGTTCCTCTTCTCTCTCCTTCGTCTTATCAAATACTGCTACCTCCACCAGCCCAGAATCTCGTGTTCTCTAATAGATCGAAGGAATCAAAGGGTTTCAAAATAAATTAAAGATAAAGATCCAACGTTGATTTTTTGTGCAATTTGTTTGTACACGAGGAATTTATTCTTGATGGAACCGGAGAAAGAGTTTCTTCAGTTGTCTGCACACTACAAGGATTCTGACTTTTTCGGAAAGCATCCTCAAGACTTTATAGTTATTTCTTGTGTACAGGATCCGAAAGGAAGAACCAAAGACAAGGAAAGTCAATGACTGGGCCAATTTAATTAGTTGATTTAATATAAAAGCAAATTCTCTCTCTTCTGCGCCATCGGTTGAGTAAGAGTGGCAGATATATTGGAGAATCTTTTGATGAACAGAAGTGTCGTTTTCTACCAGTCAGTACTTGTGTATTTAGTAAGAACAATGGCAATAATTTGTTCAGATGAGAGACGCTGGAACATAATTAACTTCGTTTATTACAATTAATGTCAGGACAAATCAAACGTCAACGTGTCACGAAATAATGTGAAGGTTGTTCAATACTGCGTTGTATTTTGCAGAGATTGTACAGTGAACTAATTAAATTCATCATTATTGCGTTAGGAACAAAATTGAAACGGGGGCTTCTGCATTCTACTTGCTACCAATGTTTACTCCGCTATTCGAATAAGGGTTCCAAATTTAATTTTGCATGACATAGAAGAAGTTCATTGTACAGCACAAGCATTTAGATTATCTTTCGTTGAAATTGCAAGAGAGAAAGACGAAACATACAATTGAAATATTCTTTTGAAACTAAAGATAAATGAGTGAAACTTGAGAGTGAAACGTTCTACATAATACAAAACTTTTGACGGCATAGAGGCTGGCGTGTGAAAAAAGAGACTTTTAGTGATAGTGGTACGCGAACATTTTAGTTTATGCACTCTGTTGTGTACCATGGTGTTAAAATACATACGTACAATATTAGACGCTATGATATACACTATAGAATATCTCAAATTTCAGTTGCAGGGTTAACATAATATCCAAATAATTTACTTACTTAATACCTACAACGGTGATTGAATTGGGTCGCATGTCAATTACAAGAGAATAACAACTAAATTTCATTTGCATCTACTTTGGGTAAGTCCCTGTTTTGCGGTAAACTAATCAATACTTAACTATAATTCTAGTAATGGACAAATAATACAAGATCAATCATGTTTAATTACAAACCCCGATCCTGATAACTGCTTGGTTATTTTCGAACAAGTCATAATTTGGGGAACAAATCGGGTCGAGATGCACATTTAATTGGGTCGTTAGATGCAGAAATTTCGGTTTTGCATATTATAAACAAATTATGACAGATGCATACTTTCCAATTAAACAGTAACAGGAAAATAATGAGTTATAGAATATGAAATATTGAAGATTTTCATTGTGCATGGCAAATTTGGAAAGGCATGAAAATTATGCATAACTTCTGCATCTACCTATGTATATATTAAACGAATGTATACATATGTAGTTCCCAAGTGCAAATGGCAGATTGAAAATTTCGATGTCACATATTGTACTTCAGTCAGTGATTTTATTTATGTTGAACATTTTGCTATTTCAATAGTGGGACGAGTCGTGAAAGAAATTCCAATTGTAAATTTGTATACAAAGAGAGGATGCAGTTCTATCTTTGACAGCAAGTTGAACGGTCTGGTGTATTATTATTTGTATTTGCTGGTATGATTTGTATCAGCAGAGTACTCCAAACCGACAGACATTTATTCAGCTTCAAAGGGTAGGACGCTTCTTTGAAAATTGGAAAACTACATTTGCACGTTCGTGTGTGTGTGTACTCGTCGTCCTCGTCGTTTGATTTGACTCGACATATTTCATTGTGAAGAAAAGGTGGTTAGAATAGAACGTGGTCGATGTTCGCCAATAAGACTCCATTCTCAATTCCCTCATCTGACATTGACATGCACCATGTAGGAGTATTATAAATAAATGTATCGCAACTTATGTCAAAACTCCCAGAAGAAATTTATTACAAAAGTAGAAAAAAACTTCAACCTCCAGAAGCTAAATACATCCTGCATGCAAAGTTTCAGTCCTTTTTTGATTATTTTGAAACTTGATGCATTTCACCCTCACCAACAAATGCCAAGGGTCAACTTGTGGAGAGATTTGTCTAATCTTAGAATTTGAGTCTTCAGTTAAATTATTTGCCTGGATAGGCACTGGTTTAGGATGAAACTTAAATAGTACAATCATGACCAAACTTTGAATTTGTGGAAATTTTATTTCACTTGCTTGTGCAGTTAGTCTCGTAAAGTGTGACGCACAATGAAAATTACACAGACTACAGAGTAACGAACAGACGTTGTAACGTTAAAATATTCATCGCTGGCTTTTGCTCCAAAGCATCTTTCTTTTCCACTTGGACGAAGGCACCAAGTTCCTAATTGAATCTACTTGTGAGAGATGACTATGCTAATATGAAATTTTAAAAAAAACGTCCCTTTGGTACGGCATGGATATCTTCTTATTCAGGTCGCCTTACTGCGATTCGATGTTTCTGGAGCAAAAATACGTGCTGTTTGTAATATTGAGCGTCGATAGTTAACAAATTGCAAAGGTGGTCACAACTTTATACGAATTATTATAATCCCTCAATCTCTTCTCCCAGGGACAAAGAAGCTTCTTTACAAATATTCAAGGAAAATTCTAACTGAATCTTCATTCGGTATGAGTTTCCAAGAAAATCTTTCTTGTTGGACCCGGATCGGGGAGATTTTGTACACATGTTTAACCAATAACACGAATATACGTTATTGATAAATTTTCATATAAAATTCCATTAGAGCAGCAAATCTTTGAAAACAAAATTGTTACTTGATACAAAGATTACCGAAGGATTTAGGTATGTCAATTTAGAATCACAAGACTAGCGAGGCTATCGAGAGCAAAAATATAGGAATTTAAGCGTGGGGAGATCACGACGAGTTGGAAAAATATAGAAATCAATTCTCCAGATGAATGGAAGCTGAGTGGATAAATTAGGTTTTCGACGCAATTTCTATCAACTATATCGGAATATCTGTATATATGTAGGATGGACTTGGTCGGTGTGCCTTCTTACGTGTCTTGCAACTTAAATTTCCTTAAGCTATGAGATTCAACCCTTTGCATGAAAGTAGCTGTTGAAAGAAATAATGGTTTTGCTCAAGATACAGTGGAATTTATGGACGCTAGTAGAAAATAGAATAAGAGTCTCTGTCTGTTGAAAACATTTTTGTTGGAAATCCTTCTGGATTGCATTTATTTATTTTCGATACAAGCGACGGAACTACCATAAACAACACTTTCTCCAAACACTTCCAAAACTATTGTGAGCTATATTTTATTGTGTAGGTAAAATTCGATCCAATTGTGGAAAATAAAATACAGGTTTTAATTCATTCATAATGATTTTTCTCAAATTACGCACATATATTTTTTTAAGTATTCCATATTCAGGTCAATTATTTAGGGATAAATTAAGTCATATTCACAGATAGTTTCGCGTGCTAAACGGATGTCTATGTTTAAATAGTAAACTCGATGAAATAACTGCATGGTTCCAATAAGCAGTCTACATCTTGCCAATCTTGTCTCACATACTGATAAATAATATGTATGCTCCACGCATGGAAACACCCCAAACTTTCCCATTGTGCACACTCGACGCATCAGAACAATAAGATCTTCTTTATGACGTTGGTACTACATACGAAGGTATACAGTCAAGTAGGCAGCAGTGCAAAAATGTCATTAGTATTAGATCGTTCCTCACGTAAAGCTCATTCCAGTTGTTGAGAGGCTTGGTAATTTATGCCCTGAACCCTTTTCTACCTCATCGGAATGAATGCAGATGAGGGATTGTATATTCTGCAGAATTACAATATAAACGAGTTTCTTTAATTAAACTTCCATCAAAAGATTATCATTCTCGCTAAAGTATGTTAAGTAATGAAACTGCATTCCTTCGTCGCGAAAAGAATTCGAATTCAGGCTGATTTATTATCGAGGAATTTCACTACACTTTTAGAAATTAAAAACAATCCTTAGCATAAAATAGTAATATGCATGCAAAACGTTTATAATAAAGTATCTGTTGGCTGAGAAGGTGTATACATAAATATTATTTGCTTGCATCCGTTTAGTATAAATACCTATAAGTCTGGATCTAGTGAGAATTTACATATGACAATGCGGCTATAATATATTTATTCAAAGTCGTCGATACATGTTTTGAAGATTGATCACCTATTTCGTACTTTCCTACAGCGACCTTACAACTTTAAACTATTGCGCATGACATTTTACTGTGTGCCTTATTTAGCAGCCTCAAAATCATTATTCATCTCATCAGCAGAGATTCTAGATTTGTAAATGATTATTCTGCCAACAGCCATTTCCGCTTAACGTTGTACGTGTCGTGCTCATCAACATCATAATAACGGTCATATTAGCAGTTCATTCCATCACCGCGTGCTTGAAGAAAGCGACTGGCCATAGGCGAAAGCGATACCCAATACATGGCTTATATACCGACAGGATGAACCGGATAAATGTTGTTGGGAGTAAGTTGAGAGCCATGCTGAACTCAATTTGCTTTCCACTAGAACAAACAGAGAGTAACCCGATCAATGTGCTGGGGAAATGAACAAACCATCGCATGGTGATACGATCACAGCGTGTGTACGTTATTAGCAAGCAGGGCAGAAGAAGAGATTAGAGGCCAAGTAAATAAATATAGGAGGAAAGGGGATCCTCCTCCGACATACTTGTGCGATCTATTTGTTCGCGAGCGAGGTGTCATATGAGAAGGCTGGGTTCAAGCAGGGTGAAAGTGGGCAGAGTTAATGCATGATATCCAGGTATCAACTAACCAGGCATTAAGAAATGTCTCCAACTCCATTATTCCGTAGGGGATGAGCCTCCTCCTCCCAGTGTGAATGTGAGCAGTTTAACTAATCTTTCTCCAAATCCTTCAGAAACCTTTTTTATGAGAACTATCAGCATGATCTAGAATTCTGGTGAAAAGCATTGTAATCTTTCTGAAAACACTGCAGGAGAGGAACCCATTTGAGTGCGTCTTTCCTTCTGATAAAAATATAAAGCTTTTTAGGTCATGGTCTTGACGGGTCACCAGTAATAAATCAAAAACCAAATATCATGAGAATACCGACGAAGAGAGCATTGCTCTTAAAATTTTCTTTCACTTTCACTTTCACAATAATTGCAATGCGTATGATCAAAGTTTCTAGACATACTTATTGCATTACAGCTTTCCAATCAAAATAGTTCTCCTAGACTGTTTCTCCAAGACTTTAAACTTAAAAATGGTGTATGGGATATGCTGAGATATTTGACTACTTAATTTAAGGTGCTTATGTGAATTTGGAGCTGAACTCCATGTGCATAAGACTTTACATATTTAAATATTTCTATGTATATACATGTATAGCGAAAATGAAATGATTTCAATACTAATGTTTACTATTTACAAATAACTAGGTTCAAGGACCGAACATGGCGGTGGAATATTCGATTTTAATTTCGTCATTTATTTTGATATTTGGAAACGTTGGATTTACTGCAGTACGAGGGCAAATATCATGGACTCCGATTTATGTTGACACGTCAAGTAAGTAAAACTTGGAGAGAATTTCACATTCTACGACCTGGATTAATTTAAATATATGTTGCCTAACAAACGCATTGCTGAGTCTTGATAAAATTGAATTTACAGATCGACTAGATTTGTGGACTGTGGAATCTGTGGGATGTATTTGCCCAGATGGAAAATCAACGAATTGTGCATGTTGTGTCAAACCTGGAGGTTGTCTGTGTACGTCAAACCTCAACAAATGCGCCCAATGTGGCCTAGAGGATTCTTGCCAAAGAAGTAAGTTCTCTCATGACCCTTTCACCAATGGATACACATGTAGCGTCACTTTAGAAGGATGAATTGCGCAATGTTGTGCCAAACACGAGTCTTATACACGCAAAAGAAGATTGCCATTTCCATTATTAACTTGCTAAAATTAAAAGAAAATATATTTTAGATTACAGAAATTCAATTTGGTCGCAAAGCCCACTTGAAGCACTGTGTATACAACCTTTCACTTCCAATCCCATTTTTTGTTGTAGTTCTGGAGAGAATAAATATATTCACTGAGAATTATTTATAATGATACTTATTTATGAGACCTTCCATTTCTCAGTTTTTTTCTCGTATTTGAAATAGACAGCTGTCATTCCAACAACTGTGTCCATTTTCTGTTTTTGATCTATATCGATATCACCACTTCACTGCATAATATGAAAAACCCAACGCGAGTGAAAGTCATTTTCAACTGTCATTCCCAGCCCGAAGGAAACTTTGCAAGGCTGTGTTTGTCACCAATTGCTGCTGCTCAAGAAAGTCGCCCGCTATGCACCAACCGAATAAAAAGACATCATCTCCTTTCACTTTCACCCTATTTTGTACATACATAGATTTCTGCGGCGACGTTTGTGGTAATGTGCTGGTCTCACTCACTTTAAAATGCTGTGCGATGGAATACTCATTACTCATGACTGGATCTTTGGTTTATGTACTTTATGGTTTATGTACATACTCCAAGTCTCCAAATTCATTCCGTCCTGAATGTCTAACAAACTTTCATTTCAAGCAGTCGCTGCTCATCAAATATTGACTATATAATTAGAATTCTACAGAGAGAAAGCAAGTGTTCGCATTATATTCTGTCCCAATGTGATTCGGTGTCAGCTTTAACCAGATTTCAAAACGCACACTCATCCACCCAAACGAATGAATGGCATTAAGCGAAAACAGAAAACGGGTGAGGTGAAGGTAGTCCCAGTGTAGTATGCAAAATCCCTTTACCGGACTATTTGTCATTCTTTTTGCACACTTCAGCAGAATTGAACATCAAGAAAGAGATGAATTGTTTGCAAAGCCCTTAGTCCTGGCTGGTCGTGTCATGCGGAGGGATGTTGATCGGTTTCCTCCACCTTATCAATTCGTCAAACTATGTGAAAGGATGAGATGTGTGTACTTTGGTTGGATCTTGTGTGTGTGGGCATGAGGGTAATCCATGCATTATTATGAGGGAAGGGCACTGGGAAGGGCAGCAATGTATTATTCATATCTGCATGTTCGTGTCTGAGGATGAGTGGAACTACTGCGAATAATGTACTGAAACCCGAAATAGGTTTGGTAGCTCATTTTCAATTCTGATTTCTTTTCTGTCTGTGTATTATTGGCAGCGTGTAACGTGACCATATCTGCAAGGACGGTAGCAACGCGCTCAGGTCTATCGTGGATTCACCTTCAATCCCCAGAACTCGAAGGCCCCACGTCCTGTTTCTGGAAATTACATAGCGCTCCAGGACAGAGGATTGAAGTTCAGATTCATCGGATGGTTTCTGTCGGCAGTTTCGACAACTCTTCTCAAACGTAAGAATTAAAATTGAGTGGAAGTTATCCACTTGTATCATTTATTTCTCTATGTATGCTATTTCAACATATTCGAGTAATGTCACCATGTGGTATAGCTCATAGTACATGAAACACAACTACTTATTTCTTAACTGACACCTGGGTAACATTAAACTGGGCATCATAACTACACACGTTGCTGCGGAATGAATTTGATTAGAAAGACACAGCACTTTCACTGTTAGACATTATTATAATTTCAAATAATCCAAATATCAATAAAGACATTTTTCGGAGCATTTTTATACGCTACATGTTCGAGCAAGCATACTTATGAATTTGTAGAAATGAAATAGTTTATCAAAATTCTACATAATGCGAACCATTTCATATATTTTACTACATGAACGAGTAGGATCTAGAACCGTGTAATTGCGTATAACTCGTAAAAAGACATGATTATCATCCACTATGCATAACCATAAAGTTTATTAAATGAGACCAACTTTTCTCGAAGAATTATGACGCGTCTTTCGAGGGTTGTTGAGTTCCAGTGGACCATGAGCACTTTGGCTTACATATTTTGAATCCGACAATTTTCCACTAGGAATGCGCATTACGAGGCTTTCATTTAGTCAGTAGTGTTTTAGATGAAATATGATCATTACATTAGTTAAACTTGGCTATTGCTTCTGGTCCAGTCATTATTATTTACGATTTTACTAAACGTATTTGCAGTAAAACAAATTCACAAAATGTTTGTAGTTTTTTAGTTCAAATGCCAAAACTAACTATTTAAATAAGCGTATTATTACATCGTACACGTAATTAACTTATTAAATATATGTATTCTTAAATATATTCTACAGACATAATTTTTCTGAAAATTTTCAGTGAAAGTATTTTTTCAGAGTTCTTATCTGGCACATGAGCATTCTATACATAGATATGAAATTTAAAAAAGTTGTCCGAAATTTTGGAATAGTAGCGAACAGTACTTACGGTACGAAAAATGCTCATTTCCACATTTACGAGTTCAATTCATTTTCCATGCACATCACCGTGTGCAGATTTCCCTTGAGATTGACGTTTAGAATTGCACATGTGTATACTGTATACACCAGACTTATTATTGCTTTACAGCTAATGTGAGCACATACGAAATGCCCAGGTTTGCAGTAAAATAATTTATCACTGAAGAAATCCCTTGGTAGTTTTTCCTCTTCTCAAGCAAATCTTTCGGTAAAATTTCCTAAGAAAATATTATGTAACCGAAATATTTGTCTGAGATAGAATTCCTACATTTGCAATTTTATTCAATTAAAGAATTAATTCAGTAGAGTAGCACGAAGGATTGAAGAGTTATTTTATACAAATACTATACAACTTAGGAGTAGAAGGTCACTACTTGTCGGGCCCCGATTTCGATCTCCTTTGGATATGTTGTAGTACTATATGAGTGTAGAAAAAGTGAAGGAGGGTTAGACTCCATGAGCCAATTTACGCCCGCCACACCCCCTCAAAGGCGCCCAAACCCCCAGAGTTGCAGCACTAAATCCATCGCCAAAAATCGAGTTTTGGTCAGATTTTCAAAAAAAATTACATTTTTGTGATCCCAGATAGTTGCTCTATCATATCCAATAGCAAACTCAACTTTTTTGAAATTTTCAATATTTTCGAAGATTTTCTGACCAAGGGTAGGTATTGAAAAAATTCGAAATTTTAAAAAAGTTGAGTTTGCTATTGGATATGATAGAGCAACTATCTGGGATCACAAAAATGTAATTTTTTTGAAAATCTGACCAAAACTCGATTTTTGGCGATGGATTTAGTGCTGCAACTCTGGGGGCTTGGGCGCCTTTGAGGGGGTGTGGCGGGCGTAAATTGGCTCATGGAGTCTAACCCTCCTTCACTTTTTCTACACTCATATAGTACTACAACATATCCAAAGGAGATCGAAATCGGGGCCCGACAAGTAGTGACCTTCTACTCCTTAGTTCAAATTGAATAATTTTGAAGTTAGCAATTAAAATGCATGCATTTGTATACTTGGGTAGTTTTAATGAAGCAATGTGTAAATTTGGTAGACGAGCAGAAGAACAACTGACAGGTAATCTGTTGGGATTACAGCCAGATAGGATTTCTGGATCAAACTGCTACAAAAGTGAATCCATTCAACTATTTATAGCAGCTTTATCCTCCACATTACAGGATGAACAGATTTTTCAGCCCACCAATCGTAAAATCTGTAGGTCTCAACGAGATTCATTCATTGGAAATCCATCGAGATTTAACAAACTCCGCTTTCACTTTGAGACCCGATAGGACTTCCAACTGTTTAAGTTATATCATGGCCGAGCAAAGCTGAGGTGGTGCGGACATTGAGATATATTTATATAGCTAAACAGAAGGATTCTCGCAATAACAATCTACTAATCTACACTGAGACGACTTGAATGATTTATTTAGGAACAAGAGCAACTTTTAGGACTATTAATAATTACGAGTAATCAATTTTGATAATTTTGTTCCCTCTGGTGTTTATAAGCGGCAATGGAGATGCAATGACGGCATGACGCAATAAAATTTGAATGTTGAATCCTATTTAGCACTGCTGGTAACCAGTTTTGGTGGGTAACAGAACCAGATTATTTTGTTATTATGACATGACATGGTGCAGGCAGAGGTACCAGATTAGAGGCAGCAGCAGTACTTGTGCATGCAGGAGAAAGTTGCGGCACATATCTACGGAGAGGAAGGAGTCGTAAAACTCTCGGGATCTGGGACGATGAAGAAGGGAATTTGATCCATTTCGATGTGATTTGAACTTCATCCAAGTTCCAAAACTACTCAAGAGGAAAAGATGGAAAGGGTTGGAGGTTGAATGCTCAAGCAAAATCTTGCTACACTTTTCAACTTGCAGTTTTGCTAGTGTATCTGTCTCACTTCACCATTGCAATCAACTCTTTCTCTCTCTTTTCACCATTTCCGAGAAAATACAAACTACTTTTTCATGTTCGTCCAGTTGGCGTTGCCAGAAAGTGCGGCGAGCACAGTCAGCCACACACTTTTCCACATGAACATAACAATGTTGGCTTTCAATTCGGTGAAAACGATGTATTTATTTATATATTTGAGTAGTGTCTCACTCACAGCCAAGCAGACCATCTTCTTAAGTCGTCGATATGCTGTCATTATTTGTTAGTACACACATTGATGAAAGTTGGAAACAAACAGAAAGATTGAGACGAAACTTTTAGACAGATAAAACAAAGGAAAAATGCTAAAAGTTTGTCTTACCTATGGATTTCTGAAAGGAAAACATTTATTGCTTTACTATGTATCACTTTGATGATAATTACAACAAACAGGGGGAAAATGAAGATATACTGGTTGTAATCCCTACGATGTAGGAATTACAACCAGCAGGTATATATGTACATACTTATCTTTAACGTGGTTTACTCTTTGTGATGCACTAATCAGGGTCGCTCGTACCCAGAAAGGTAAATTAGTACTTTGTAGAATAAAAATCAGCAGAGTTTGTTGGTATTTATCAGGCATCTGTATAGTTTCTTACGTATAGTTTCTTTTTTGTTAGTTTTCATTACTCCAACAAAAGTTTTTGGAGAAAAGAACTAACTGACTCATTTGTAATTCGGTTGATTGTTTCCTTTTCCAGATGCAAGGAGGGGTGGCTACAGTTTGCTGATGGAGATATATCAATCCCATCCCAACAGGCAATTCAACTTTGTGGGCAAAACAGCAGATTTTCTCCACCCGTAGGTAAGTAAATGTGTACACCTGCGTTTCATCTTTTAGTTATTGTTCATTACCAGTCAAGCTACCCATTATCCATATGCTTATCTACTTATTATAGTTAATATTAGTTTTATCTTTATTTTTTAAATAACTCATATTATTAGGACACTAGTTTTAAATTATAACACAAATCAAGTTCCAACCAAACATAATGACAATTAAAAGATTTAATGACGGCTTTGAAACCTGGCTTTGTTAAGGGTTTACTTTCTCAAGTAGAAATTGCGGCTCATGTTTCTTCATTTCTGAATGTTGTGTTTTCAGTGCTCTTTGGAGACCAAGGAATGGCAACTTTGTTCCTCAGGTAAGCTTGAGCAAAGTCCTTAGTTCCATAGTGCAATTACCTCGAAGCTTTGTTTATACAAGGGGTTCGTCACTCTCCGTTTAAAAGCAGTAATGTTGACTGGCCGGTGGGTTAGGTTGTGCGGAGATATTTTAGGATATATGTATGTACATACTCCTGAGTGAAAGTTACCCAAGAACTGAAATTTACACGTGGCGTGATGTGATTATGGTCGAGCAAGATCGTGTTGATTGTGTTGAGGAGAGCGAAATTTTGCAGCAGTCTCCCCCCGTTATGTCTTAACAAGCAACACTCAACATCCGGAATATGGATGGGGAGCAAGTAAAGTGAGAAAAAGTTCACCTCATTCAAACAGGCAGGGAAAAAATAAAGCTGACTGAGACTGACTTCAGCATAGACAAAAGAGTTTAACGACCCGAAACATCCGTAAGAAGCAAAGTTTGGCCACTTTTTCTTTGGGTGCGTTGGATGAAGAACGAGGACACAAAAAATCCATGAAAGAAGTCAATCTCATGAAGCTCATGCAACATCAGTGACTTTCTTTTTCCCAGCTCTAACTACACGAATAAAATACTCTCAACCATCCCGTCACTATTTTAACGTAGGCTTCTGAATTACTTTGCATCCCTATTGACATCATCGTAGCCTCATTCATCCATGTGACTGGAACAAAATTCGAACAGCTTTGACGCTTGGATTATGTTATGTTACCTACTTTCCTCTGCATAAAAGGCCGACAGGAAAAATAAATCTGTGCGGGGTTCATGCGTGCGACACTATTTGTTTACTTCATGAGGGTATTAACTTGGTGTAACCTCTTAATGGTGGTCTTACAATAATTTATTGGACACCAGAGATAATTGTGACTGCAATTATTTCTGAATTCTCGATAATTTTCACACGAAAAGTGGAAAACGCTCATCGAAGCAGCAACTCATCCTCAGAACAAGTACGTTATTGACCATTGGTTAAAATTACGGAAGGCAAAGGAGATCAAGACTGATGAGATGGAAGGGAACTCACCACATTGTCCTTCTCCAATAAGAGAACTTTTCACAGAGTTTTAGGCCGACTTCTGGAAATAACCGCAGGACGATAATATCATTATAGGAAATGTAGTGATAAAAGTACTTACTGGTTGAGAACGACTTGTAAATTTTGCACGGGACCCTCCTGTTAACAGCATCTGGATGTAGCAATAATCAGGGCTAAATGCTCTACAGATAATGCATTAGGAGTCATTTTGCTGTTTTACCAACCCTCCTACCGTAGCTGTGATGGCGTATGAACAGCGTATTATAAGTAGTACGTACTTGGTTGGCCATTAGAAGATACAGCCGTTTGTTCGTAATGGTTAGAGTGAAACTGTTAATAGGTCTTTATTCTGTGTAATACTTGCACCTTCCTCCATCCGCTTTCACTGGGCAAGATTAAATTCAGAACAATGGAATGGGGAATGATTTTAGTAAGTGGTTTTAGCTGGATGGAGCAGTAGCTTCCTTGAATGCCGTGTAGAAGAGCAGTGAAAGTGGAGTAAATTATTCAGTCGAGTCGCTCGCGTCTTGTAAAATATTTGTTCGCTTTAGTGTGCAATTTATTTCAGAATCGAAGGAAAGTCAACCCGATCCCAAGTTCTGGCTTACGTGTCGTTCTCATCCATAGATGACCCCACAGTTGGGGACCCCAGCAGAGGTAATGCTATTTCGAAGGGAAAGGCTTCATTTCACCAAATAAAATACGAATTACATAAATTATCATTCTACGAAATCTGACATTTCCGTATGGCTCCGCAAAAATTGTCAATCTGCTTTGTTTTCCTTCAGGTGGGAAATTGCGACCGCATTCAGGTAACATAAGATACTATTTTCAATTAAGTAACATGAGCGTACATGCATATTTGTAATTATGGGGTACTTTTATGCATATACATGTATACATATGCATATATGCTCTAACATTTTACACATATATTAATCTTGATTCGAATTTAGTGGCTGGTGTTTTTCTATTTACGTTGCATATATTATTAGATATCGTTGGAATCATCTGGCCCGATAAATATGTATATTGAATTGATTACGGAGTATGGGGAAAATTGTTATTTCCTTCATAAAGACCCCATTGGGAAGACTTCCAATATTGATTGAGCAAAATGTGCTGCTTCTTTATTGAATTTTCGTGCATACTGATACGTACATACTTACGTTGTGTTATGTATATATACGCTTATGTAATACATGCCAAGTTTTGATTGCAGTATGTTCAAAGTTATCTGAATTTAAGCAATTTTCACAGTGTGTGACTGGACTTATGACAATTGCTGGGCTGAATCGCAAACAAATTGCATTATATCTTCGCCTGGTAAGATCCCGGTTTCATGATTATAGCACTAAAAAATTCCTTGAAATAACCTCTGGTGCATATTTAAACTTTGGCAGGATATCCCGGATTGTTTCCGCCGCATAGACGTTGCCGTTACTTTCTCACTGCCACTGGCAATTCCACCAGCAAAATTCTCATACGGTTTCAGTCATTAAGCATTCCACCACCACCGTGAGTCTGTTATTTATTGAACTTTTCTCCCCAACCTCCCCATCACGTCCCATTCTTGTTGGAGAAAGTTTCATCTTTGTGGAAAGATGGTCCCGCTGAAATGAGACTGTTGAGCGATTTACACGTTATAATGCGATTTTTGACACTGGTTTTCTTGTTCCCAGACTGTGTTCGAGCCACCACATTGCAGTCTGGCGTAAGAACGTGTCCAACTCATACTTGGGTCCCCCATGGAAGGTCCTATGTCAGCAGTCCGAGTCGACAGTTGTAGTCGACGATGGCCAAGCCCTTATTGAATTTAGATCAGGATCCAACACCTCCCCATATCTCTACACTGGATTCCGTGCATCTGTTGAATTTCTGCATTCCACTGCCGTCGTGGTTCCCACAGCCTTCTCTCCAAAACGAACCATTCTCGCAGTGGAACCATCTCGTCATCAGGATGTGGAAGTGGTGGTCGGAAAAAAATCACCCCCAGCGTCTGGTTCAGCTAAGAGTAGATCGAACCAAAAGAAGCACGGCGAAAAGCCATCAGAGGAACCCGCGAGACCAATAAGCAGCACTGGTTAGCATTAAAATAATTGAGTCATATTTAACATATATGAATGTGTGTAATGCACCTGTATGCAATGTGCCTGTGTGACAAAAACTATAAATACCTACAACTGTTTGTGATCTAGATGAGCCAAAAAGTCCCTTAAAACGTCAAGTAGTAACTTGCGATCATGTATTTGATGGGAATGTAGTGCGGGATGAAAGTTTTCGACTTAAAATTCCAACAAAGGACATGTCATCCGCTGGGAATAAGAAAAACTCCAAAGGCAATGCAGGAGAATCGGTACACGGCAATTGGAATTCAAAGCCATCAGGACAATTTCACTGTCTTCTACAGTTCGCTGGAAAGGAAACTGATGTCGTTCAACTGGCCTTATCTAATTATAAATTACGGTATTTTTCCGACATCTAACCTCAACCTTAAAAGTTTTGTAATGAAGTTGCCTTTAAATTCAACAGGGGATCAAATTGCTCTTCGCAAATACAAGTATACGATATGCTTGAGGACGGCTGGGCTCCAAATAAAACCACCTCTGATGGACTTTCAAACAAGACTCTATTGAAGCTATGTGGTCCCATTAGCAATGAAGTTCAGTCAAGATTTACATCCTCTCGCAAAAGAATGGTCATTTCTGTTGTGATGTCGTCAAAAGACAGTCCAGTAGCATCTGAAGTTCTCGAGGGAGCTTTCCGCTTTCATGACGGTAACAGAAAAAACGATCGCTCTATAAAGTTGTGCTGCTGTACCGCCTACAACACTACAGCATTTTCTTGCTTTTACTTGTGTTTTTACTTCTGCAGGCCACACGGTTTATGACATTTCCACATTCCATATTTAAGTAATGAAATTTGTATGACAACACACCACCAAGTGCGTTGTGTGTAAAAGATGGAAAAAGTTTGCATCGTCGTACGACATAAAACTTGGCACGATATTAGTAGTTGGAAACTGAATGTAATTGGTAGTGGAATACATATATATGTATAGACTGCACACTGTGTAGTACATAATAATGTATACATTCATATTTATATTGTACAGATTTGCACCACTTTGACTTTTACCCATCCGCATGAAATGGTGTGGTGGTGAGATTTAATTTAGGTGGTTTGGAATTCTCTTTCACGCAGAAATCTATTTTCCTCATAAATAAGAACTCATCCAATTTTCGAAAAGCACTACACATAACACATTCAAAATGAAACAAAAGAAGAGGCTCCACTCTTATTTCCTTCACTTATTTCATTTCTTTCACCATCCAGGAAAGTTTTTGTGCCTGCCAACTTGAGCATGTTATGATTCCCCTGTTTTCATATAAAATCTTCAATTTGTGCCAAGTAAAGGAAATAAATAAGTACGTGGGATGTGCAAGTGTGGATTTTATTAAGCGAATAGGGTTCGACGTGAAACGAGTAGATATTATTATTTATTTTATGTGTTGTGGTGACACATTCTGAAGAATTCTTTTATTATCTCCTTGTGGCTGGTTCGCATTTATGTGTGTGTGAACTTGTGTTTCTAGAGTCGGCCGGGGGGACACTGAAATCTCAGTCTACGTGTGATGTGGTGGTGTCACAAAGCTCGCACCCTTCAGCAGGTTCCTTGTCTGTGGTTGGACCCTTCAACTCACCTCTCTTGAGACTGGCTAATAGGCTCCCCTTTGTCTGCAGCTATTCAATCCACCCAGCTCAGAATCAGAGTGTCATCTTGACACTTGTAAACACAACCACTGGTCATGACACCTCCACAAATCCCATTTCTGAGGCACACCACGAGAAACACTACGACTCGACGTCTTCGCCTCAGTGCCGAACAGTATGCTCTACTTCCGGTTGCAGTTGCGATTTGTCCAAACTCACACAGATTGACCAAGTAGATCACTTTTCTATTGTGACTGGTAGTGGTGGTTCTACTGAAATTGCCTGCTTTTGTGGATCACTTTCGGTGAGTTTATTTGTAGGAAGCAGGATAACGATGATGTATTGCCTGTTGTTAGTTTTCGCCCAAGCATGCTTAATTTCTATGTGCCCCTGCCAAAAGTAAAAAATCTGTCGAATCTCCTCCATACCACAGAACCTGCCACTACAACTTTTTTTTATTCTTCATGAATTTGAGGCTTACAAATATTACGTCTGTTCCAGAATATACTTCCCATTGTTTTCGAATCTGACAACCCTCTCTCTTTGATTGCTCACTATGCGAGTGGGAAGATGGTGCTTAATCATAATATTTCATACCAATTTACTTCACCAAGAAGATACAATAGTTTTTCCATTTTTCCTCCAAGCGGTAAGAGATGATGCATACATACATGAGAAATGCAGTTACCGGTAAAGAATCACTTTCATAAATTGACAAAATTAAAATTTCCAGGTTGGAAAAGGTGGAGAGAAATTTTACCAGGACAAGCAATAATGCCAAAAGGCTCAAATTCGTACAAAATTTATGATCTTACTTGGCCAGCAATTATCCCAATTCGTAGCAAGCTCAACATTGATCTTTTATCTGAAGAAAACGGTAAGGAAATTTGTCATTATTTGACTTTGACTATTTGATTTTTAGTGTCAGTTTATAACCGTTATGTAACGAACGCGTGTCGCACATACTTCATTCTCAAAGTTAATATCATTTTTACCGTAGAACAAAATCATAAAAAGGTCTTTTTATCACACATGGAAATAATCACACGCTGTTTTTAGAACAAGATTGCAGTACGTGGAACCTGACGGCCTGGGCTGAACATGACAAATTTCCTAACCGTACGTACCTGTTGACCTCCTTCTGTCCTGCTGAAGGGAGAAGAGAACTCAAAGTTCCTGAGTCCATCAGAAATGTATTTATCAAGTAAGCCCTTCATGCACGCTCTGTTTCTTTTTCCCATCTCCCACTTTCGTACACAACTATTTTACAAGTCTTTGCTTTACTCACTTATCCTTTAGTAGTGGGTAACCCAAATAATCCATACAATTTCTAATAGAACAAATATTCTGAACCATATTCCAATGCATACTGATGTCAAGGCACACATTTGGGACGACAGCTGATTAAATGTTTAGTGGGCTTCAGGGAAGGGTGTCCTGTTCGAAAACAGAAAGTTCATTCGCGAGTCGTCCAGCTTAAAGTTTTCAGGAAAAGATTTGTTTTGTTCCGTACTATAGGTATATACATATATATTATATACGTATTTATATGTGTATGCTGTATATTCGATTTCGGGGAAAGTTATGCAACGGCGGAGATGCTTATTGTGATCATGTCTCCTTTCTTTGACTTTACCTAAAGTTGTGCCCTGATTTGAATTGCAGATTACAAGGGGTATCAATTAGAGTACCGCAGTTTGAAATACGGTGGAAATACCACGACACGTCCTTATCCGCCAGCAACCGTTTGCCAGAGAAAATGATGTCAGACTCAGCAAATAAGTCCTCGATTATCCAACAACTTGTGTTCGGTATAATGAGCGTGCTGACCAAATTCCTGCTGTGCAAACTCCTAATTTTCAATTATATTTAAATGACTATTTACTTGACATACATAAACTTATACCCGAGCCAAAACTTTTATATTCAATTGTTCTAACACTAATATATACATTTGTAAGTATACATATACCAATATAAATGTCTTTTTGAGAATATTGTAATAAAATTTCAGAATATTAATATATGCAGAAAATATTAAAAAGCTAACGATTGGAGGCCAGCCAATGTAATATATGTAACATGCAGACTTTATTTTAGATATCAGATTAGATATACATGTTGATTTTCCAATACATTAGTTTGTTAGTAGCAATCATAAACTTTGCAAGACTGGTAACTAATTCATGATTTTTTCTACTTGTTCATAAGCATAATATTTGGTTTCGGTTTAGAAAATTTGAACAATTTTTGGAGACTAGCAATTTAAAACACAAATTAGAGGTTAACGCAGAGATCCTGAAGTTCCTTGCTTTCCATTTTATATCCCATTTCTTCTAGACGTTGAATGATTCGCAACTTTTCTTCCGCATCCGAAGTCAGCAATGAACAACAAGATTCTTTGGGATCAAAAAATTTAAGCAAATAAGTTTTGATCACATGCTTGATGTCATCAACGGTCACGTTCATGCTATCCTTCAGAAGATCTCTGAAAAGTCAAAAGTGAACATACAAATTAAATTAGTTTAGCTTGTTTATTTTAACAACCATTTTTTTCTTGTGACATGTTTATTACCGTCGAACATTCTCTGGCTGTCCTGCCAAGTGCGACAACAGAGCTGAAATAGGTAAGTTGATAGAATTAAAATACAAAAGCTGATTTGGTCACTTTGCTTCACTCATTTTTTGCCCTATTGTTCAGATTTACTACGATTTAGTACACCCGAATTTTCATGGAAGTTCAAATTACCTGATGCAATCGTCCCCTGTGGTCCAAGCTCCATCGTCGCAGGGTCATTTACAACCATGAGTTTTGTTGCCGTCAGAATTGCACTTATCCACTTCCAATCATCCTGATTAGAAAGTTCTGGTTGATTCACTTTCAATTTTGTCAATATGCAATTGGGCCCAAGGAGTATGTACATACCGTCATTAACATCTGCATGGTTTTCAAGCATCCAATTACGTCGTAAGACTCCAGGTTGAGTGTCATCAGATTGGCGTATGAACAAGGCATTCTTAAAACTGGGGAGCAATAGTCATCCAGATCCCAGCAATTCCATATCCACTTTTGAGCCATGGAAAAGAGCTGAGCAGCCATGCACAGCTTTGGGAAATCTTCGCTGTAATTTTAATCATGCGTTCTTAAATGTTAATTATCATCGAGCCTATTTATTTTTAATCTATGTACTTGTGTGGATTGATGGTAATTGCAATGTTCAAGCAAGGCAGTCGAGGCTGGCTGAGAGAAACGGCAATGCCACTTCCTTTGGGGATCTTCATGACCGTCGTTTCCAGAGTCGGCTGAATTTGACTAAAAATACGTAATAAATATGTCATACACATAGAATATTACACCATGAGAGAAACAAAATAATTAAATACGCAACAACGACAATATTATGTAGAACTATGTAAACGATTTATGATTAAGGGCCACTTGTGTATTGAAAATACCTGAATGTTTCTGGCTTATTCACGCCGGTAAAGTATTGCTTCCATGGCTGAACCAAGTCTCCATGAATTTGTTTGACATCCTTCACTTTTGCTGCCAATTGAACAACAATTTTGTTCGCAGCAACAATTGATTTCCACACATCGTTGGTAGTGGATGTGATTTCAGCAGGATTCTTGTCCAGCTCCTGAATGTACTCCATCATGAGATCAAGTCGCCGTCTTCCAACAAACAATCGAGCATTCGCACCTGATGTCGTCAATCAGATTTCAGTTAGGACAGAACATAAGATGGCTACACAATGCAGAGTTCAAGTGCTTATGAAAATAAAAGAAAATGTTACCTTCCTCGTACACTTGTTTGATCAAAGAGTGCAAATTAATCTCAGTAGAATCAAAGCAATCGTAGTTTGGTTTTTCAGCAGTTTGCATTTTGTAATTTGCAGCCAGCCCACGGGCAGCCTCGGTGGCCACGAACTTTAGAAAATTTGGAAAAAATTCGCTTTTGTAGAGGATATAATGCAGCAAACCCACGGCCCAGCAATATTTCTCAGGTCGAACAATAATCGTCAGAAAAATGCTACAAATACATACACAATAATTAGTGTCCTTTCCTTTAACTGGCAAATACGCATCGTTTAATTCTAATTTTTTTTTAATTTGGCAAAAAGTTAGTAATAATCGTACCTCTGCATCATTTCTCCATTCAGCCCAATTGACACTTGAGAGTCTGCAATTTCCAGGGGTGGGTTAAATTCATTTGGGTCCACAATCTCGCAATCGGTGTCTAAGCCTGGTGGGCGTGGGCCTGTCATAATGATTTACATTTGGTTTGTAAACTTCATATTATCGTTAATTTGGTATTATTGGTAAGTAGACTTGTAACTGCAATAAATCGTAGACAATAGATAACTTACATACAAATGCTCCAAGAGCTGCAGTGACGCTGGGGAGAAACTTTCTCATTTCATTGTTCAGGTGGCTAGTGTCGAGCACAGTTGTGATCTGCAATTTTGGAGATTCGAGTATCGTTAATAGAACGCCAATTAAATGATACACGCAAAAACTAGTGGTAGTTGTATTTTTAGCACGACAAAATTATACATAATTTTGTTCTTACATAAACAAAAGAAGTCTCAGTATCCTCCAGAAAAGTGTACATTGGGAGCTCAGTTAGGGGAAACAAAGGATGTTGTATTTCACTTTCAGAATTAAAACTTGTCAATGGCCAGGACTTCAATTCAGCCGTTTTCACGTTTTCCAAAAAGTCGTTAGTCACCTCCAGACCACTTTCGAATTCTTTCCTCTCGTCTTCCTGTCAAAATTTAAAAGAAAACACTTTATAAAGAAAATGCAGACTTTAACAAAGACAATCGCGTGGACACTTACAAAATCCCCGAATGGGAAAGGACTCAATTGCAAGTGCTCTTCTAGCATGCCCAAAGTTGTAGTTTTTTCGGTACTGGGCAAAGCAGGTTCACCCCGCCGATTATCATCTTCAACAGCAATTTCCTGAGCCACTGGGTTTGTTGCCCTTCGAGGACGAGATGCTGCTCGGCGCGATGACGCCGCAAAATCTCCAGTTTGTTCTTCTTTAATCATCGTCTCTTGAACTTGTGGGTTATCCATGCTGACATCCTAAATCAGATTGAGAATAAATTCTAGTATATATACCTAACCTATGCTATTATTTTATTTGCTTAAGTAAATTTGCATGGCTTTTTAAACGATTTCTTACCTTCGGCAAGACTTTGGTGCAAAAAATCGGAGCATCTACGAAATGCTTCTTCATGACATCCAACCAAAACTGGATCGGTTTCTTGAGAAGTTCGTCAAATATTATTCGTGGGCGCATCCTTAGTTTCACTTGTTCCGGAGATCCTTCTCCATATCTTTCAGCTTTGGCGATAGCCGACGCTATCATGAGGAACGGTTCAGACTCAAATTCCCTAATATAATGCCACCCAACACGGTCTGCCATTGCGCGGATTTCATCCAGCTTCAAACCCTTATCCGGAGACTCGGACATTAGTTCATCGATGGTTTCATTTGTCAGATTGACTACGTTTTCTGCTGTTTCCAGATCCCTGAGTCCATGCACGGTAATCAAAGAACAGCTCTCAGAATACTCTAGCTGACACCATGAGATTCGGTGTGCAAGTCCAGTTGTGACAAGTTTTGTCCACATTGGGCCAATCGCAAGATGAGCAGAAAGGACTTTGATAGACATGGATCTGTAAAACAATTTGAAGATTAGTTACTCAAATGGAGAAGTGAATAATTTAAAATCCTTTACGTTTCCAAGTCTGTGGATGAACACCCTCTCCATCCAACGCACACAGTAGGCATTGGTTTCCGCATAGGATTGCGACAGACAAACCATGCTGTATTCGTAACCGGACTTGAGACCATAGGCAAATAGCAGCATCTGCTCCATGGCTTCACAAATGGTGGGATTGATGGACGCTGCAACAATTTAAACAATGTTAACAGTAAATAAACTACGTAAAAATTATAACTTACCCCCTCAGTAAAATCACTTTCATGATCATGCAATACATCCAAAATATGATCCTTGTTCTTCACAATTCCAGTTATAATTACTGGCATAAAAATCCGTACAGTGAATTATATTTTTATAAAAAATTTCAAATTGAAACTTCAAAATTCCATATTCTTCTTACCAGTCAAATTTTCAGGACGATACAGGCGATCATAGCATCTTCTCATCTATAAGGTTAATCAAAAATAGCATTTATTAAAGAGAACCCGAATAGTAAACTAAAAATTACCTTGGACGAGGAACGATTGAATCTTCCATCACTCAACAGGCGATTCCAAAACGCAGGTGTATTGGGGAACATTGACTGTAGCGTTCCTAGATACATATACAATGATTAAAAATGTGGACAAACCTTATAAACTGGTGGTACTCCAAATAGAGGACACATTGAACATGTAAATAAAAAATAGGTTCGTGATGCATAATAAATGAATAAATAGTACCTTCCCAAGCCATGGCACCCTCTCCGGCCTACAATCACAATTGCTCCGAATGCGTTATAAGATTCTACAACTTATTATGAAATACATATTGTTATCCAGGTCATACCTCACTCAAGGCGTAGTACTCCGCCTCTTCCAATCGAGGTCCGGTGTATTCTTCTTCATCACTTTCAAAGCCTTCAGCGGTCGCACTCTCAGCGGCTCCTGCGCCTTCAATGTCCACATTCAGGTTGGCGAGGGCATCAACGACGTCATCTCCTTTGGCATCAGGTGTTTTCGCAACTTCTTCTATAATTTAATGTCGTACACACACAATATTAGCCCAATATTAGACCTTCTTTCTTAATACTTTTAACTATTGTTATAATTTCTGTACCACTTGAACCTTTGGGTTTCTCAACCATTTCTTGCTGTTTGTACGGATACCCATGAAGTTCCATCACAGCCTATGCAACTCAAAAGATATTTTTAATTCAACAAGCACATTAAAATAAACATTTCAATGTCACCTCAATATTTTGCAAGAGATACGTAGAGCACGAAAATGTCCCAAGAAACGCAGGTTCGCCTAAGGCACAGCAAACGTAACAACTTTGGTCTCGGTCAGCCAGAGGATTCTCGGCCCCATGAAATTGCTACAAGTAAGAAGAACGGAAAGGGAAAAATTAAGATATTTTATATCTGATCTATGATGTGCTAATTTTCTGATAAAAATAAAACCTTACCCACGCCGGTCGAAGCATCTCTCCCCTCATTGGACGGGGAAGAAGGCCACCAGAGGAGTCCAGATGATGGATTAGTTGTTCAATCCCACCAGCTTCCGGTTGATCAGATCCTGAGGGAAAGGCGAGGCAAATAAATAAAAAAGCATACTTCATGTTCCCAACAAACGGTGAGAAGCATTGATCATACCCAAGCAAAAGTAACCATTGATAACTGGTGACTCCACTTCCGCAAAATACACCGTCATGCCAGAGTTCTTCGACTTGTACTTTGAAATTCCAACGGAGCCGAGGTCTCCGGGAAGGAAATCGAGGTCACACTCAAAGTTGGAACTCATTTTCAGAACTAAATGCAAGACACACCCTTCGTCAAGAAGCAAAGATTCTTTGGCGTTTTAACTTTTTTGATAAGATGAGGAGAGCGACAAGGACTGGGGAGGAGGTCAGCATAAAAATCACCGAATTGGAAAAAATTCTGGGGTGCATTTCAACTTCATTTTTTGATCGTCTGGTTTCTTTGGTTCCGTTGCCATGACAAAATGCATGCATTTGAATTTTATCAATTTTGCATTTTATCAATGTTTATGTTAATAAATAATTAACTTGCCAAACTTGTTTATCAATGTTTATGTTAATAAAAGTCTTAATTGCATTTGAAAGAAATTATATCTTGTCCATCAGGATAAAGTAGAGAGTAAAATAAATAAGGCCGCACAATAATGCTCACATTATTGGTTAAATTGATGGTTTATGAAATGGAATCATTGCATGAAAAGGGTTATTTTCTGTAGGTCCGTGTTGGATTTTGGATTGCTAATGGGGCTGAAGGAGAAGGATGAAAATTACTTCGGGAGCATATGTGTTGTGTGCCCAGTGAGTTGTCGCTTACGTGTGGGTCTGGGAGCTTCAAAGGTGGTGCAAATCATCATTTTTGATTTGCCAACAACTTGTATTTGCTGGCGTTTATGTATCTTTGAACCTGTCTCTTGCTTGACTTGAAGATCCGCAACCAGGTAGTTCATGGTTAATTCACGTCTCTCTCATCGTGTGCTAAAAAGGAGGCTACGCTACGTGTTGCTGAAGCACAAGTGTAACGGGATTAATTCATGTGTCAAACTCTGACTGAATTCCAAATTCAGGCAAATCAGTAGTACAGAAACTGATTTTGTGTAAGAAAATTAACTGCTCTTCAATTATTGCTAATTTTGAATGGAGACTGTTGTGTTGTTGTATTGTTAAAACATCATCGGTTTATTCGGCTATTAGTTGAGCAAGTTTTATTAATAGCTTACTCATATTTGAGGGCTGAGAAAAAGTAAATTGAATTCTGTAGGATACCTGATAAACAGATTAACTATTTGATTTTAGGATTCTATAAGTATTCAAATATTTTCAGGTTCTTCTACGATTGGAAGATTGCATAGCATCTTTGAATCCCAAATTTTGCATTCTGGGAACAATTACAAAAATCAAGTAAAATGGCTGGACAAAAGTTTCAGTACGATGAAAGTGGCAGCACTTTTATGTACTTTGTTCTGGCATTCCTTGGCTTAATCATGTTCCCAAGCACATACTATTTTTGGCCAAATACGGACAATGAAAGTAAGTTTTTTTTCCTAATTTACTTATAAAAACATGCGAAAATGAGTGAGAACGAGCGGTATTAACTATTTGACTTTATCGTTATTTCAGAAAAGAAATCTGTCGTTCTTTGCAATTGTGAGCCATGTTTAATGAAGGAAGCGGTTCTGAAAAGGACAGAACCAAGCAAGAAAATGAAAAAAATAGCCATCAGATTTGCACTAATGTTTGGATGGATTCTGTTTGCCTTCGTTGCATATGTAAGGCCTTCGAATCTGATTTATGTGTGGATTCTATAATTTTTCCAACTGTCTTTATTTGATGAATTTTTTATGTCTTTTAGAAAATCACACAGGCAGATTACGAATATTCCAATTTTGATCCTTACGAAATTCTTGGAATTGAACCGGTATTTATATTGTGTTAATGATTGCATGCAGTTCACTTGTTCAGAATTTTTACTCCTTTCGCATTTTCTAAAGGGTTCAAATGACCGAGATATAAAGAAGGCTTATCGTAAATTGTCATTGATTTATCATCCTGATAAAGAAACTGGGGATGAGAAACTGTTTATGAAGTTAACCAAAGGTACACACTATCTATTTAATTGGATTAAAAGAACTTTATTTTCATTTTAATCACGTTACATCATTTTCAGCTTACAACGCTTTAACTGATGAGGAAGCGAGAAAAAATTGGGAAAGGTATGGAAATCCGGATGGTCCAGGTAATAATAATCTAATTAATTACTCAACCATAGCTTTATTCGGACATGGATAACTAATTTTCTCATTGATGTCCACAGGAGCAATGAGTTTTGGAATCGCTCTACCGTCTTGGATTGTCGATAAAGAAAATTCAGTGTGGGTTTTGGGTCTTTACGCTTTGGTATTTATGGTGGCTTTACCGACGTCTGTTGGTATGTGGTGGTACAGATCAATTCAGTACTCAAGTGACAAGGTGAGCTTAGAACAGCGGAAATGAACACAAAGTAAATATTGTTTTATAATCTACTGATAAAAATCATTACTTGTTTATCATAGGTTTTACTTAGCACCACACAATTATATTACTACTTCTTCCACAAATCCCCCCAAATGCAACTCAAGAGGGCTTTAATGGTGTTGGCTGCGTCTCTGGAGTTTGAAAGAAGTCACAACAAAGAAGTACAGGAGAGGCAAAGCGACAATGTTGAAATTCCTCAGGTGAGGTTTCACTCATTTAAAATTACATTTAAAAGCGTGAGAAATATTCATGCAACATATGTAAATAACGTTTTCCCGTCTGTTTTGACACACAGTTAATCAAACAACTCCCACACCTCAATGAGAAAAATAAGGAACGGCCACTTTGCTTTTACTATTCTATAAAGGCCAGGGCTTTACTTCATGCGCATCTTTCCAGAATTGCCTTGAACCCAAATACAATTGAGCTGGACAGGCAGTTAGTGGTGAAGAAATCTCCTTACCTCATTCAAGAAATGGTCACATGTGTCTCCCAACTTATCATGTTGGCTCATGCTGGAAGAAGTATGTTTTATTCATTATTAGTTGAATGGTTATGATTATGAAGGCCACGAATGTCTGATAACGTTTAAAACTTTTATGATGATAACCCGATTTGTTTTATTGTACAGTTGGAAAACTACCAACATTGGATACAATTGAGTCGGTTATGAAAATGAGTCCCATGATTGTTCAAGCTCTCTGGGAAATTCGTAGTCCAATGATGCAGGTATAATCACACTACTGCAATATTAGAGCATTGATTGCTATCCTTTGTTACATACCCCTATGCATGGTTAATTCTTGCAGCTACCTCACATTACTGAAGACATGCAAAAGTATTTCATGTCCAAGAAGCGTCAAATCTCTTCAATTCAACAGTTTTGTGAAATGAAAGATGAAGATAGAAAATTGATTCTGAAAAGTTTGACGGCCGACCAATATGCAGATGTCATGAAAGTTTGTTCTACAATGCCATTGATTGATTTCAAAGTTCACGTTGAAGGTTAATAATAATTACGATTATTGTTATATATTCATAATACGCATAACTGATTATTAGGTCTTGATTTGTAATTTTTGAGCATAACTTATATTTTTATTATTTTTCGACAAATTATTTTATAGTGCTGGATGACGAGGAATCAAACGTCGTGACTGCTGGTGCGATTGTTACAGGTACTGAAATATCTTGTTTGTATTACTAGTTTTGTGTTAGACGAGGTTAGGCGTCAGCATTAGAGTCGCTTTGATTTTTGTTTATTTGGTATAAATATATCACAATGCTTATTATACCATTGCAGTGAATGTCACATTGACTCGAAATAGTATGGGCAGTCTAATTAAAGGGGACACAAACGCTTTAAAAACATCGGCAAATGTTAGTACAATCGAACACGACGAAGAAGATGACAAAGAAAATCAGGAAGCAGTTGGAACAGAAGAGCATCCCAGTCAGCCTAAAAAACCTGTCTGGCAAAAGAAAAAAAGTAATAAGAAATCTGGAGGCAATAAAAAACCGCAGGCAAATCAAAAGAAGCCTGCAGCAGTTCTCAAGCGAAATGCCAGTAAGCCTGTTACAGAGACGGAAACGGAAGATCCAGAAAAAGTTGTTGAGAGAACGAAAGAACTGAAAGAATTACCTGACGTCGATGAAAGTGACGATGAAGCGGGTACAGATGGTTCCGGTAGTGATAGTGAAGATAGTAGCGATACTCATGATAAGGTAAAGAAATATATACATATATGAAATTAACTACAATTTTTTATTGGGAATATGATTTACACCTACAATTTAAATTTGTAGGATAAGTTAGCCAGCGCCAACGAAGATGATGATGACGAGTGGGAGAAATGTCAATCCAAATTAGCTAAAAATAAAGAACGTGCTTTAGAAGGAAAGAGTAAAGTATCACACCCTGTGCATTGTCCTTACTTTTCCGACGTATGTTAAAAACTTATTAATGGTTCAATTCATGTGCAAGTAATAATGCTTTGCGTATTTATGACACATATTCCATCACTTACAGGTCAAACAAGAATATTATTGGACATATGTTTGTGACAGAAAGAATAAGCAGCTTATTACTGCACCATATTTTTGTACTGATCTGGTGGATACGCAAGAATGCCAATTGCAGTTTACGGCGCCCAAAAGACCCGGATTTTACAAGTTCACAGTGTGCTTACGGTCAGATTCTTATTTAGGATTTGACCAAATGCGAGAAATCAAGGTAGATTGACTGCAACGCTATTTAAAAGTTTGCCATTTTTATTATTTTTGTAAAGTGCATAATAATCTTTTTTTAATATAGCTCGACGTCCAGGAGGCTAAGAAGATTGAAGAGCATCCACAGTGGGATATTTCTGATGAAGAAGAGGAAAAAGAAGTCGACTCTAATGAATCTGATGAATATGCAACTGAAAGTGATGTTGATGATGAGGACCAGGATGATGATTAACCCTTTACGCTCATTCACGAAATAGGCACTATATATACATATATATTCCAAGATATTAGATATTTTTAAGTACTGATCTATCTTGTACAAATATCGGCAACCCTTATAGTTTATGAATTGAGGACATTGTATTTAACAACGCAATAGTTTCAAAGTTGATAAACTATAAGGTGTTTATCAATACATAAATATCAACAAATGTTGTCAACACTGCTCCTGCTATGCCTAAATATATTTACGACCAATTGTGATCTATCGATTACTAATTCCCAAGTTTATATTTATTCAAGACGGTTTTAGTAACAACCTGTCTTTCTGCTAGGAGGAGATCAGTTTAGATAATGTATAATTAATTAGTAAAAGTCTCAGATATATTTGCTTTATTATTATTACAAGCTGTGTATTGTTAGCTATTATAACATACATTGTTTCATTCATTTTAAATTATAGATAATTATATTGTTCTATATTATGTCCAATTCCGGGATATATGTACGTGTCCTTTTCACCATAAACAGCCAGTAGTGAAAATCTGAAAAATGATGTGCTAATTGAATTATTTTGGTGAGTAATTAAATGGAAATGAAGCTTCTTAAAATTGATAACAAATATGTGGATAAGAGAGTATTTCATGTTGATGCATAGTAAAAAAAATCTCAAAATGGCCTTTCACTTTTGCTTTCAAAACAATCAATAATAAAAATGAACAAGTAGTACATAAATACGACGGCCGGCTAACAAGTAATTTTTACGTTAGTAACAGCTCGGAACAGTTTGTAGTGGTTCAAGTCTTGTTTGTTTTTTCTTTAAGGGAATTTTCACAGGAACTTCACAAAACCCAAGGTCTTCATGAAATACAAATTCTGTTCTCTTTTTTTGGGCAGCAGCTTGTTCCTGGAGGTGTTTCTGCTGTACAGCAAGTTTATGCACAACCTTTAAAAATGCAGATATTCACAAACATTTTAAATATACACATTTTTAAAAATAGATAGAATAATTCTAATTGAATAGCCTTGACCTATATTTAAATACCTTTTGTCCTGCCGTCTTTTGAATTGAATTGTAATAGTGTGGTGTCCAGCATGCACTTGTAAAGTCCGTGCACCCGATATCTTGTAGCAATTTCTGCCTGTAGTAGTTGCAAGATGGCATGAATCCCGTAGTCGAGCTGCACGCCGCAGAATTAATCACTGGAATTTTAGACTTTTCTTTTGTGGGACTCAGCGTTCTGACCACGTCTGGACTACGAGATGGACCATCTCGGTGGCCCTTGTTCATTTTGACCTTTTTTCGTTTGCCAACATCTTCTTGTGTAGTTTCAGTCGCAATCTTTTCAGTCTTTGGGGAACAACTACTTGTTTTAACATTGTTGTCCCTCTGCTTTGGACCATTTGCCTCCTCACCAACAACATCATGATTCAGATATTCTTGTCGACTTTCGCCATCATCCCTTGCAAAATTGTTGTGATTTTGTGCATCTTCTTCAGAGCGAACACTTTTCTCATAATCCATTTTTATTTCGTTAAAATGGTAAACGCTGACTCCGTTCTCGTTCTCCTTCTTGTTGGTTTTGCTGTTTGAGTCTTGCTGTGGTTCTTCAACGTCCGTCGTAGCACAATTTCCACGGCATAACTCTTTCAACTCCAAATATTTGTCTTCGTTCTCCTCACCGTCCAAGTTGACAATAATTTCAGGCAAGTTCTTTTCTTTGTTGTAAGTAAAAGTGATTCTAAAGGTTTGCGGACGACCGTCTTTTGGTGGTGGTAAATAAATTGCAGACTTGGTAGAAAATGCCGAAGTTGGATCCAATAAGTTTGGAGGAACTGGGGAAGGGTTGTTAGAGTCGGAGAAAGTTTCAGCTTGCACAGCGATTCCAATCGTAACCATTCCCCGGCGACCCATGACATGAACAACTAGATATTCACTAATGTGCTGCCCTGTTCAGTTGTGATCGTATGCAGTAGTAGCTCGGGCGAAGGAAGGAGGTTCTCAAGTTGAAGGTTAAGTAATTATCAAGTTAGTCATAACAAACGCAATTCTTTCGTAGATATATACCGTTATGCAAATTGTATGTTTATGTGGCGTGGTACACGAACCGAATTATCTAGACACCAGGTTTGGAACAACCCCGACTGTTCAGTACAGATGCACGAATGTTAATAATGTATGCAATATAGTAATAATTTTATTTTTATCCTAGTCAACCACCATCAGGCATCATTTTATAGAAAGTCGTCTCAACTTTCGCCGGAAACTCTTACGTTCAGTTATCACCTGTCATACAGTTCCTGTGTAACGCTCCGTTATTCATGAATCATGAACATACACGTGTGCATATATGAATTTGCGTATGAACGATTGCGTACATATGCATGTATCTGTATGTTCTATATAGTCTCACCACGAGGCAAATTTGGTCTGTTTGCTCAACCGTTCCTGGGACAAACCCATCATGAAACCAATTCATGAAATGGGGTGGGTGAAAGTGAGGAAATTAGAGCAGTAAATTACAGCGTCAACATCAAAGTCATTCAGGTCGATTCGAACTAAATTTTATACGGTTTTGCAAAAGTTTTTCTTTTGTCAGTTATGTACCAAGGTCACATTGGTCACTAAAACACGAATATCAATTTTGCACAGAACGAAGTACATTATTGATTTTGCGATAAGTGGAAGTCCAGGATAGAATTGATTGAATTGGGTGTTGTGAATTGTTTGGAAAAATATAGGTATTGTCACAATACAATTGTACGTCTTGGGGCTTGTTATCCAAGAAGTTAAATTTTTGGGCTGCACTTGTTATTCACAATAAAGTAATTTTCAGTCAAATATGTAATGTGCATATGTAATTGACACGTGTCAAATTTGTTACACACTTGCAGATACGAGACGACAATTCAAGAGCTCTGAGGATGGTGTTGGTGTACCCAATTTAAATCACTGAGTGAAAGTAGTTTGTCGCTTTCTTCGAAAAATATGCAACGCATGCAAAATATGCAATACATACTGCAGTGTTACGAGAAACTTGAGGTCAACTCAAGGGTATGCAAGAAAACTAACCAAAATATGTGTTTCATATTTAAAGTACATGTTCAAACACTTCCATGCTGCAATCAAATCACAGTTTCTTGTACATATGACATATGTATACTTGGGCGGGGGGTTACATAATGAATGACCAATTCGTCGCAGCATACGAGTAATAATAAAATGAAACGCTTCCATTCTCAATAACACTAGGCTCACTTCTAACGGTTATTATGGTCACCATCACGCAACCTTCCGTCTTCTAAACATGAGTGATGTATCGTTTTTACTTTCTCGCCTCACCTGAAGTGGGTGTTGCTGTTTCAAAGCAAGGTGAAGCACGCTGGATTTTTTTACACAATTAGAATTGTGCATGTCGAGAACTGTTTGTTCTTCTTTTTCCCATAATGGAAGAAAATACAAAAAATGGGATTAGAATGACATTACTAAATGATTCTTATTATATTGTTGTGGGTTATCGGTATTGCATAATGGAATCCAGGGAATCTAAAACACATGACTATTTTTTAAATATGGACGTAGAGTAATTGATATTTCCCTTGACCTGGTTCAAATTATAAACAGCAATTCACCTTGTGCTCCATTTTAATGTTAATAAACAACTCAACTCATGTAAATAGGAATTGGACGGCAAACTATTTATTACATTTCGTCTTGATTCTGCTAGGGACAGGAAATTTGAAATCCCAGAGCAAAATTGAACTTTACCTTATACAGGAACAACAACATTATGTAACAACTATTCATCATCATCTTCGTCATACACGTCTTTGCCACCTCTCTTATCCTCTGGGATATTGCGATCTGTTTTTGTATTTAATATTGAATTTTTATGCAATTTGACTCAATCATAAGCAAAAATAAAATAGAATGAATTTACATCGATGCCACGACCATTCGTAAATTTTTTCCCAATACTCATCTAGCACACTCTGATACAAGGCATTGGTTTCCGACTGAGATTTTTGCAAGGAAATTTCTCCATTTGTTTTTACGTCCACACTTCCGATCCCCTTTTCATTTAGAATATCTTTAATGGTCCAAGATGGTGGGTCACTAGGTTCATTTATTTTCTCATTTTTAGGTGTCGGTGGCCTGTCCCACGGCACTCTTGCCAGCGGTACCCATTCGTACACAAAACAGTCTTGCTTCATAAAAGTTTTCCACTGTCAACCACATGTAAATGGTCAATTACTTATTATTTGCTCTAATTGTCAAAATAAAAACATATAATAATTCTCCATCACATGTATGTTTGAGTTCCCTAAAGTGATCCACTCCATCCACATATAGTGACGAAATTTTATTCCATTCGTGGGGTCATCCAAGAGCCAGTTTCCAATTAGTGGTACATTTGCCCATTGAAAATGACCTTTTAGGTTCAAGTAAATTCCTCCAGCGCAACATAGTGTCCAAATTAACCAGATTGCTGTAGTTTTCAGTGGATTGTTCAATTGCTGCATAAAACCACGAACTTTCCCTTTGGCCAAGATCAATCCTTCGAGCCTCTCCTTCGAACAATCATTTATGCACGCTGTTAATGGACTTACTTCAGCACACGTTTTAGCATCTTTGCCAGAATTGGTAAGGCAGAGAGTCAATAACTCCGAAGTATTGTCCTTCGTGTACAGTGGATCTTAATTGTGAAGATGAGTATGAAATTTGCGTGATGAGTGATAAGATATGAACACAATTCAATAATGCGGGTTCATTACTTGTTTGATCTCCAAACTCGAAAAGTTTCCATTGGGATGGCAAATTGAATCCATCAGCAGCAAGAACCTTCAACGGGTGATCAATAATAGCGACCAACAGAATCAATAATGTCGCATTTCTGATTTTATGAAGCATCTTCCTGACTTCGTGACGGGTTTTATCTGTCGTAATCACATACATTTTTAGAATATACTGTCTGATAGCATAGGCAAGTAAATAAATGGATGCTAGTAGATCGTGTATATAGCAGCAGCTATTATTAATCTATGATTTCTTGTTAGCAACAGAGTTATTATAAATCAATTTAATTGCTTCGTGTTACCACGATTGCTTGACTTTTAGTGCCTAGTTACCCTTAAGGGAGACGCGTTACCTAGATACTTAAGGTCAAGCAATCGTGTCGTGTTACATATGCGTATTTCAATTTCATATGCTGTAATTATTCATGTTACATATGTACATATTTGTATGCAGCATAGAATCATAGAATCATTGATGAAAGTTTCATCATGAAACGCATAATAAATTGTGCTTGGGCCATTCCGTCATTGCCGAACATTTTATTACTCAAATTTTCTAAAAAACGATTCATTTAAATCAGTTTAGGTCAACATACATATAGCATGAATAATGAAATACAAATTTTGATTCATTGCTTGACACCACCATTATGAAGAGAAACCTGAAATGTAACATGAGCTCGTGAACAAATGTGACATGCAATGTGACATTAGCGACTCCGTAAATAAATAAACTCACAGCCGTCCGAGGAATGTCATTAAGTCGACGGTTATTTGTCGTGTAGCAGTTTTTCTTGATCGTAAATTTATCAGAATGATTTGTGCGATGCATTTCCGTTGGTGGCAAAAGTGCCGTTGACATTAAGAGCTCTCCAGTTTTTAGCAACATTTCCATCGGAGGCGGCGACGTCTCAGTTTTAGCAAATCTCAGTCGATTTATCTCCATTTGCAGAGCTTCATTTCTTTCAATCAATGCCTCCCTCAGTCCCGAGTCCCCTTGAAGGGCGGTTCGTAACTCTTGCAGCTTTCGATCTACAACTCGCCTATCAAAATATTTTTACAAATTATACACAATCATGTTCATGCTGTGTATAATAAGTGATCAACAGAACTAAATGTATTCCCAACCTTTCTTCTTCAGCTAAAAGTAACTGTTGAGCCAACTGAACTTTGTCCATTTCGTGTAATTTCAGTCTGTCATGAGCATCCTTAAGTTGTTGGTTGACTTGCTCTAGTTGACACTTAAGCCATTCACAATGTTGTTTACTTTGAGAAGCTTCCTCGCTGCTAATACGAAGACGTTCATTCCATTGAGATTTTTGATCTTTAAGACCAGTACGCAACTGAGAAATTATATCCGCGAGATGGTCCATCTAAGCGTGAGAATTAACATTGCTAAATCGTATTTTTTTTATAGTACCATAAAACGCAATGCAATATCTGCAATGTCATGATTACATTTCCCTTGGACTCTTTGATGTCTTTGATAAGCAGAATATTTGTGTTTTTTAGGTCTTTAAACTTTTTGCAGTGTCGCTTATTCGCTTTTCGCATTCCTTTTAAAAGCTCCTGAAGCTCTTTCAATTCGTCCTCCTTTTCTGACAACTTTTTCTCCACAAGCGTCTAGGTTGTGGGCACGCAGATATCAAATTTGACGGGTTAATTAAAACTAAAACATGAAAATAAAAGGAGGCATTACCTTCGCGGAGACAGATTCATTACAAAGTTCTTGAACTTTATCACATTTTTCTTGCGTTTCTTCTCGCATAATTTTTAGCTTAGCTTCATTTGAATTAAGTTCATCCAAAAACTGGGCAATTTTCTTGTTACAGTTATCCAACTCATTTTCTTGAACTTGATTTCGCATCTCTGACTCGGACAACAAATGCTTAAACCGATAGATTTCTTCCCGTTGGGTGGAATTTTGTTGCTGAAGTGCTTGAACAGCTCCTTCCAACAACGATGTGTGAATCCATGTCCCACCGTCATCCGAAGGTTCTTGCAACTAAAGCAAACAAAGTGGAGAACAAAATTATTAGTATTTGAGCAATTATTACAAGTAGGAAATAGTAAGGTAGTTTCTCTACTCAATGAAACTGATCATACGGCATTGATAATTCCACCCCCACCCCTACCAAAATCCATGGGGTGGCCATGTCGTCTCATAATTAAGATGCATTAGCTAAATTACTGATGAATTGCTTGTAGAAATTACCTTTGCCATTATATGTTGTAGGAGACCTTGCATATTCAAATCCTCATTTCCCTTCTCCTGAATCAACAGCTTGAGCACAAATTCATAATGATCACGTTCCTTCAGAACCGCTTTGTGTTCATTGACAACCTTCACCAGATCTTGAAGCATTTGTTGTTTCTCATCATTGGTCGCATTCAACATTTTCTTCCAATTTTCTAAATGCTCATCATCTAATGGTACAGAATTCAATCTTAAATCATAGAGTAATTTGAATAATTATGAAGAATACAGATTTTAGTCATTAGTAAAAATTATAATTATCTAGGAAAGCCACTGACATATTTGGAATTGTGCGTGCAAGCTGTGGTTATTGGTGTGAAATTTTTCATGAAAATCTCTAATCAGCGAATTCATTTCATTCTCCCGTCTTAAAACTAGCATTTCGTTGTGGCTTCCAGTCGTATTGCTCGCATTATTGTTTGCTATGATACCGCTTGGGAATGAATTTTTGGCATCCGCAACCGCAGACGACTTGGAATCGAAAGAATCAAATTGTTGGTTAGGATTTTTGTAGAATATTTCAGCTTCAGGCGAAGTTCGATCAATTGAAGTTTTCTCAGCGTTTTTTTCTCCTCTCAGCCCACTCGATGCCATTTTATAAGCCATTTCTTTCACTTCCTTGTTTAGTAATGCATTTTCTTTGGAAAAGTATTTCATCTCAGCTTCTAAACAACGGACTTTGTTTTTAGAATTTTTCAGTTCTTCTTCCAGAATATCATTCGCACTCTGCAGATTCTCGAGCCTAATAATATTCAGATTAGAGAACCATGCAGTGCAAACGGTGGGGAATATTAAAATAATTATCTTCTGAACCGATATACACATTCTTCATGCTCATAACTATATATATATACTTAAGTTTAGATGTATGTTTATGCGTACCGATCGTCATGCGTTGAAATAACACAGTTTCGGTACTGGATCGAGAGTTGGTTAGTAATCAAAGAAATTAGGCTCACAGTCTGAAGCAGATTTTTTCTCTCCTGGTAAAAAAATATTTACATGTAATTTATCTGAACTATCTGAAACACATGTAATTTGTTTATGTGTGGGTCTTCGTTCTCTCCTAACAGCTCTGCTTGGTACTCACCAGATTCACATTCTCGCTTGATAGCCCACTATTGTCATTTTCGTGCAAATTTAACCAAAGTCCTTGGAGCTGATTTAAAACTTTTCCAAGTTTTTCTTCTGCTGTTGAAATGATTTCTGATTGATTAGACACAGTGTCAGTAAGTTTCGTGTTGAATACTTCACTCTCAGAGGGCGAAATAGATTCCGAGTCGGATGTGTCGAAATATACCCCAAAAGCCTTGCTGTGTCTCTGATGGGCAGTGTCGCTATCTGAATCTAATAATTGACGAGTCTCAATAGTCCAAATAGTTACATAATTTGACATTAAAAATGCTTGGTCTCTATCAATATTTACCGTCGTTAGCGATTTCATTAGAAGATATCATCATTGGGGCTGAACGATCAAACGTGACAAACTTTTTGAGTTGCTTTCTATAATTCAGCAGTACACATAATTATGTAGATAGGTTCAGGATATGTAAATACTAGGTGCATTATGGTAATTGCATTATGGGACGACTAAATACCCGTCAAGGCTGGTAAGATAGTGATTTTTCTCAAGATTCAGAGGTCGAAGGAGATGTTCTTCTTTCTCAGACATGTCACGCGAAAAGCAAAATTTGGAGTGGGCACATTTAGAAACTTGCTCCTCATCATCCTTTAACTAAAAGCAATTCCTTTTTAGGATATTGTTCAACACATCGAAATATATTTTCTTACGTTTTGAATCAAGTTATTGTTTGCGTCACGATTTTTCAATTTTTCGTCCATGATAAAGTTGAAAGTGTTTAATTAATCATATAACTTTTCTGTTTAAAAGGAAATAATTTAAAACATGAGCGACAAAATATAGACAAAAAGGGATTAAATTGTTCTGCGATTGAAATGAAATGTTGATTTGAGATGCTTCTTCTAATCTTGTTCTCCTAATTCTCAGACCAAAATCAAGTTCTTCACTGTAGAAACGTACTTAAATACACTATCATGAATTTCCAGGAAAATAAATACATAGATGAGGCATTTTTTTACATCATTACTGGTCTTGAAATTTATTATTTTGTTACAAATTTTTCAACAGCAATAGATCTGCAGTATAGACATAATAGACTGTTTTGCATTCACATTCATTTTGCAGGTTTAGATAATAATGGAATAACTTTACGGTACACTGTTTAACATATAAATCTCTATAGTTGCTTGTGGTTATTATTAGATATTTAAGTGAACCATGACATGATGCCATTCAGTTTGTTTTCTCGTATTATTAGATCTACTTGGATATCTTGTGTTGACTATACCAACCACATTGTAACCAGCCACAGATATCACTACACTAGGAAATTATGATTACAATAATATTACTTTCTTCACATACGATAGCAGGATATTATTGGTACTGATATTTATAAGCGAGATTTCCGTTGGAATCAGCGAGATATATGTAGATATATATTTATATATATATATATTGGAGATTACATAGATTAGTACATTGGTAAACAATAAAAGGTAACCTTCATCTCTTAATGATTTTCAGCAAAGCCAAGTATGTTTGATAGATACATTCATCAGGAATAAGTAATTGTCAATGCTTAGTCTATTGATATTAGTATGTACAATTAGCATCGTGGTTTTTAGCATCTTTTGAAGTAACAAAAGTTACAAACGAGAAATTATTAACCGAGTATGAATGATTTGCCCTTTATCAATTATTGATAATACTTGTTTTGGCAGTCCTCATATTATGGCTTTGCCTTGGAGCAAAGCATGTAAACTAGTGATATGGCACACGATCGATCTGACAAATTGTGAGAACAAAATACTTTAAAGAGATCAAAAGAGTATTAAATATTATGCACCGGGCACGTAGAAATTGATTTTTAAGGAAACACAAAAAAAATTATTTTGAGATTAAATATTTGAATCCGCCATTCCATTCCAGCCAATCCCTCATTAAAAAACACAACTTTCTTTGCAATCCTTGATCCCAGAACCAAAGCAAGGCACCTCTTACCTACACTAGCCAAATGAAGAGAACAAGTGTATAAGTAGGTATATTGATAGATAAGTAGTTTGCTGTTTTTGCATTTGAAACCCAATTACAATCTAAAATTAAATATCTTCAAATGAAAACATTAAAAATCCTTTCTGATATCATAAGCATCAAGTATTTTGACATCATATTGCGAAATCGAGTAGTTTACAAGGAATACTTAACACATAGTAAATGTTACTACTTGTATAAACAAAATGAAATGACATACATAGTTGCCAATTTCGCTGGCATAATGTAATGCAATATTACAGATTTACAATACGATATTCGCACACATATTATAATTAAATTTATGAATGTCACACATTGTGGGATAAAGTTTATCCAGGCTGTGATATACGGAATCCGAATAAGCTTGTGACATGCAATAAGTTAGGGATGCTATAAAGTTCCCGAAGAATTTGATCTTGTTTTCTGGCATCATCGTCGTCATTAGCATTGGTTGAATAGTAGATATCTGGACTGGGATAAAATCTAGAATATCACAATTAACATATAAATGATGAATCAATTCAGCAAACATAGTACTAATAATATTACACAATCACTTACATTGTAATATGTTGCACAAAGCGTGGATAACGGCACTTTCTCCAATCAGATGTAGAGAGGATTCTCCTGCCCGGTAAGGAGTCGGAACATAGAAGTCGGCATCGTTTTCATATTGATCTGTAAAAAGTTTAAATTAAAGCTGTTATTTATAAGCTCAAACGCGGCCAATTGTTAAATGTCAATACCTCTCCAACTGAAGTAGCCAACAAATTTACTGTAAAAAAATAGTTCAAAATTGGTTAAGGTTATTGGTTAATTTGAGAAATTATATTTAAACATCTCCTGAAGATCTGTACATATACCTATCTTCTCGTGTGGAACTGCTACTACAGATTGACTATTTATTTCAATTATTCGATGTCCAACTCGGACGCCTCCCCGTTCAGCTATTCCCCCACGTAAAAGGCTGCAAATCTGAATGATTTATAACGATGAGAAATATATATTGATTTTGTGAGATTAAGTACGCAATTTTAGATATAACTCCAACACTTACAACTCCATTCTGCACACTGAACCCAAGTTGGTCTAAAATTCAAAACCAGAGAATACAATATGTACAAACCAATTTACAGAGCTCGCCAAGGTAAAGTTTACTTACATTTAGTGTCAGGCCTTTTGATTTTTACTTCCACAACGGGGGGACATGGCACTAAAGGAAAAATGTTTCGAATTCATTATGTATACGATATGTGTAAACCCATTTCAATGTCCTTTTTCCCCTTCATATTTGCAAGGTGGAAGCAAATGATTATAAGACAAACGATGAAGCTTACCCACAGTGAGTTTGACCACAGTCTGATTCCTCGTGTTCTGAAAAACAGGAATAAAAGCACAAACTTAATTAAACTATTTTTATACGGTGGACATCATTAAGGGGGATCGTCAACCTTCGTTTAGTTGGCTCCAAATAAAACGTTCAATTCAGCCTTACAAGATTTAACTTGGTTTTCAATTGACCCTTTACCTTATCTTATTAAACTTCCATCTATTTGTGTATGCACTTTTATTGCTACTAGAATTCTACTTTGGACATAGTAAAGGCAGTTATGTACGGAAACGACAAAAGTGGCACGGTCTGAACAGCTAAATAGGAACATTAGGTCGTTTTTTGGATCCAATTCCAACACTGTTCACACACGTAAGTACTTAAGGAATTGCTTTGAAAGGGAGCACTAGAGTAAGTGTGCCAGCAACTCAAGAAAATAGCACCACAGGGATTACTTATTTCATTTCTGATGAACTAGCACTGGCCGAACGTACATATGTACGTATAATATCATCACTGTGCCTAACTTGTCCTTTGGACGTAGTGAAATGACTAAAAAAAGTAAATTCAAAATGAAAACAACCACTGTTACTAGTGTAATTTAAAAAGTCGGTGGTAAAACAATTCTTATCATGTTTTGCAATATCCACAAGCCAACAGGTACCGGTCGCATGGAAAATGAAGAATTAGAAATAATATGCAATGTACCTTAATGTAATTTTGGCACGTAGACAGCGGAAGGCCAACAAGACTAACGCCGTTAATAGCTGAAACAAAAACAATTATTTCATATTAACAAGTGCAGAGCAATAATTCCTTCCGGAACAGTTTCTACTGTGGTGCAGTCAATCCTTCGACGCACAACGTTTTTGTTTGTGATAGTTCTTGCACTACATAAATATATAAACGTACCTATGATTTGATCCCCAATGTTAAGCTGACCACATCTTAGCGAGGCTCCTGCTGGCGCAAGATTGGCAATAACAACGGTGGGCAACAAGCTTCCCCACCCTGATTCTACAATTACGACTCCTAAAATCTCGCCCTTGGATTTTGGAACGACAACCTATTTATAAGCAAAAAGTATGTAATTTTTAATCCAATGTCCGAATAAATTATTTATTCGGATACATTTATTTCTAAAACTTTACCTCTTTCTGTAATTCTTTCTTTGCAAACATCTGCAACTCCTGCAATATGTAATTAACTGGTTAGCATTTGTGTTGCTATTATATCAATGGTGTAATAAATCAATCAATGAATTCTTACATCCCCAAATATTTCTTGCGAATTTAACACTTCTTGATAGTCCATTTCCCGAACAAAACTGCTGTCCTCAATACCTGTAAAGTTACGAAAAGTGTTATACTAGGTGTCATTGCAATGAAAATGAATGGGAACATACCGTTTGCTTTTAAAAATTCCATGTACGCAACTTGAAAGGCTTGGCCGATGGACTGGGCAATAAATTGAGCATCGTCACCTAATTCATGGTATGAAATAATATATTAGTAAGTTAGCTCGCTTCTGAACCTAGCTGTGAAATATGTTGATTAATTAATCATAAAACCGGCCTCAAAATTATGATATGTATATACAAAAATATATGAAAGTATGCTCATTTACTTTCAAAAACATGACAAATCATCTTAGGGAGACGAGCAGGTTTCGAGTCGTCGATGGGGTCGGTGGGCACCGGTCGTCTTCTTGCCTATAAATTTGAAATTTAATGAACTTATTATTCAAGTAAATTTTTATTGGATTTCCGATGGGTGCATAAATTAATTAACTTACCATCAATACCACCAAATCTCCGATGTCTGCTATGTATGAAATCGTCCTCAACGCATGATCCATCATTATTTCCTGAAGGAAGAAAATAAGTAATAAATCTGAACCTCTTAAATTTTACTCGTCGTTGGTATGCAGTACCTTCAAGTCAGTATTAAGAACCATGATTTTTTCCGTTGATATAAACAGATCAACTTCAGTGCTAGGCTGTGTTTCTCCTTCAGGAGCCTGTAAATTATTCAGAAACGGCATTAAGTTTACTTACAAGTTGGCGTTATACACAGATATACAGAATTTTAAGAATATTAAAGTAGAGGTAATTAACGATAGCATAAAGCTATTCAAGAGGTAAGCAAAGTAACGAATGCTATTTAATGTGAATGATTTAACCAGTGCAACTAAACATAATTTGCACGGTGATTGGGACATTCTCATGTCCCACGATGAACCAAAAATATAAGTGCTATATCTATTAGGGTTAAACAGCAATTTGAACAGCTAATACTAATCTCAATCTAATTTGAATGTCAGAATACTACAATATTATATGATCCTATTTTCCACAAGTCTATAACGTATTCACACTTATAAAAGACAAAGTTGCAGCAGTAATGTGCTCGCAAGATCTATAATTTTGTGCTACAATTACTATTATTGCCTTCTACAATCACTTTAGGACATGGAAAACCTTATGCATGACTACAACAAAGATTTTACAGATAGTCCTAAGATTAATTAAATAAAACGTACAAAACCATAGTGTAAAATTTGATTGTACATATTTACACTATACTCGTATGCATGTAAATGTGTATAATAAAGTTTGGTCAAAACGATCCTACACAAGTTCGGTATGTATGATTCTTACCATGGACTGTCGATTTACAGCGTCGAGATCATCATGGAAAGTAGCAAGTGAGCGAGCCAACAACGCCCAGCGCAATGCAGAAAAGGGAGACAAGAAACATCCATTATGAGAGACATTCCGGATCAAATACGTATATGTTTGATACATTAAACCGACCGGAGCTATGTGTAAAATCAGCTCAAGGTGCATATATTTATATTTATAGATATATGATCCTTGCATTTCAACCATTTCTTAACCCAGAATGAAATCATAATGGCTGCAAATTTTCGAAACAAAAAGTCAAACTTTTCGAAACGATGCGTGCATGCTGCTTCTACTGCTGCTGCTACTGTGCTTTGGGGGTTTAGTGCTATTTCGACAGATGTCTAACCGCAAAATAAATAGGAGAGCGTACATTTTCAGAATGGTCAAGCAGGCACGGAGGTTCAATGGCCAATCGCGATACCTCGTCAGCCAAACATAATGTGTAAACTAATTTACAAATACATGGACACTTGGATAAATCCCAAAACGGGCATAGTACGAAAAACAGGGCACCTCATCACATCAGGATAAATTGGGTCCAATAAACTGGACTGGAGGACTCTGGAATTTAAAGCAACTAGGAAAAAGTGGAGGAATCCCTTAATGATCCTGACAAGCGAGTGAATTTACGGTTTGCGGGAATGACCATAGCGGGAAGTGAGGTAGAGCGTATCTTAAGGATGAATGAGGAATGAGGAAATCCAGCAGGGCCAGAGAGCAACACCGATACATTTGAAGTATGTAGGAGAGAGGAAGAGTCCGCCCACCTTCATTTTCATGACGGCTTCTTCAACCATGATCTTTTTCGTCGTCGTCTTAGGTCGTTTCCGTCGTCGTTTACCACTGCCAATTTCCTCGTCAACTTCAATAGAGCCCACAAATCTGAGTCGAAACATGGTACCAGGCAGTGCAGTGGTACTAAGGGGACTCAAATTCAGGAAAGTAGTTGGAGGACTCACACCACCGCTTAAGCAAGTTTCCCCATTACTCAATTTTCGAATATGACTCAGCGACAGTGGATGAGAACGATCATCAAGAATCTTGGAGTCATTTGAAGAACCATGAATATCTTCAAATAGCGGCAACCTCGTCCCTTTATTGTCTTGCAACGATACTACTGGGCCACGGGATTCATCAGCTTTATTATCAAACAAGTTCTCATCCACGACGACGCTTTCTCCATCACTGCAACTTGCGTCTTCCTCCTCTGGTCCATAGTCGTAGGCGTCCTCACACCCATTCCCTGCTGAACCTCCGTCTTCCACATTTTTCAACACATTCAAAGAGCAAACCGTTGAGTTTTCTAATTCTTTTGCTACAGAAGGTGGATTGGAAATTGAAGGCGATCCTGAAGCAATCTTACTGGAAATATGAGGAGGAGGAGGAGAGGGACCATGTTTCCATTCGCTTGTGACTTTGCTTTCGGCCTGCACACGACAAGATAACACATACGTCTGACATTTACTATGGATAAATGTAAGGACGGACTAAAGGGGGTAATAATGTAATGCAATGATTTGCATATCCTTTTAAGACACGAAGGAATCGGCGACAATGTGTGTATGTGGACATTAACATTTATGTATTGCTCAACTCTAAACTCAACTTTTTCCTTGCACAGCTACAGAGAATAAACTCTCAATTCATTCGAGTCGTCCGTGCACAGAAAATGGAAATATGAATAGCGCTTGGGTTTAATTGAACTGTCAAGTCAAATGGAAATGGAACTCAATGATGTGAAATCATACAGACAGATATACGGTGTTGACTCTAGAAAAAGGAACACGTTCTTCTCGATAATGTCCTATTTGACTCTATTTTGACTCGATTCAGAAATTTACTTGAGGCAAAATAAATTAAAAAAGCAACAAAACTTGAATTAAATATGTCAAGAATTATGCATGTGCATATTATTTGACCAACATGAATTTATGAAGGTAATTATTTGTATATAATTTTACACTCATAACATATGCGCATAATCAGAATATGTAGGTATTAGTTGTAGAAAAGCGTAATAATGAGCATTCCAATTTTTAAACACACAAATAGGAACGGCAAAATTGAAGGTGTTACGATTTTCATAATAAGGCAAGAGTCAAGCATAGATATGTACATATTTTATATAAATTATCGCGTTTCTGGAATAATTATATTTCAATTGTATCACGAAATATAACGATTATATTTCTGAAACAATAATACTCACTGCAACTTTTTAAATAAATTGGTCTAATTTACAGTTTACACAATACGTGTACAGTATACTTATGTATGCCAACATAGGTAGTTAACACTGAAATCAACGTATGTATAATTACTGAGGAGTATATGTATCTACTTGTTATGAAAAGCTTCGGTTCATTTTCTAGTTTAAATAATCGATCGTCATTTAAATTCTAAATCGTTCTTGTTGTAACCAGTCTGTTTTTGAAGGTTGAAGCCAATTGAACTAGTTAAACGCTTATAAATTTTTTAACCAAGCACTTTTAATGTAAAAGAAATTACATTAATAGAATACGTGATAATTTTTGGTAGTATTAGATGGATAATAAGCAACTTGCAGTAAAAAAAATAATGATAGCAGTTAATGCTAATCCATAAAATTTAAAATAATCCCTGGTTCGGGATAAGACAAGAAAATTAAATAATTTATAAGGATTATCAAAAACAAGACGTATTTACATAACACTTAACCATTCGTTCAATCTAACAAGCAACGGTGTGTAACAGATCATCAGAGAAGAAGCGAAAATCAACCCACAAAAAACTACAAAATTTCACTAATCTGATTAAACTTTTCTGCTTTCGGTGATAAAGAAATGGGAGGCAAGATACATGTTAGTTTAGTAAGTCTGTCTTTGAGAGACGTTATCAGAAATAATTTAATTTCACCCAGAAGTAAAAATCATACCTTAATTCTGGACACGGCCTCTTCTGCCTGCATCATCCTCGTCGCCTTCGTGGGTTGTCCTTCGCATGTCAATTGTGTGGAGCCTAAATATCTCGCACGAAACAGCACTCCTTCAATCAGCACTGATGGTGTTTTAAGAAAATCTGCATAAAAGAAAGTCCATGATTTAGTGACCTTCCTTCTAACCTTTGACCTTTGGAGGGGAGCACCACAACCTTGCACTCAGATATGAATGCCCTTTTGGAACATTGTACTTTCGATTGTCATAGGGTGTTCATATCGGTGAGTGCAAAGGTTTTCTCCCTTCCGATTAGGTGCAGAAAATCACTCACCAGCACGAGTGCAATATTGAGAAGAAAGTTATGTTGCAAGTGACCCCAAAAGGAAACATCAGAAACGCAATGGAAAGTCAGAGTGAAGAAAGATATTGTGAAAGAAGAGGAATCCGCGTGAAATATAGAAACAACAAGTTGTATTAAACATTTGAAAAAAGTTACAATTTTGTTCTAATGTATTTACTATTCATAATTTATTGAGGGGGTTTTCTGTGATCAAATCCAATTGATTCACCCACATAACACTGTCCAAAAAGTCAGAACTATCTTAACAAGTGTAAAATTATATCGACGAGCAGTTTGGTCTGAACTGCAGCAAAATTTATTTTACATATCCTACTTTCATCAACCAAAATCAATTATTATAATTTATTATGTAGATTTACATAATGCATTAAGTGAAGCCATCGTGAGACCTTAATTTAATTTGGCAGATAGTGAAAAATACTCTAAGGCTGCACAGTTACTCTATAATAATATGGGTGTATATATATATCGCTATATCCTCTGTGTAACATCATGCATCTGAACTTATGGTTTGAATCAGAATGTCGGGACAGCTTGGTGTATACGAAACAATAATATATAATCTGCAACTTACAAGGAGAGTTTCAAGATAACTTTACAAATAGGAGAAAGCGGTTTTGGAAAAGTGTAGGATGGCTGAAGAAGAGTCTGTCGAATCGACTCCTGCTGTACTTAAAATGCTTCATGGACGCCTCCTTTCTCTCACACACCAAAGTCTGATAAAGCAGGAGGAGAGCACAATATAATAATGGAGCGAGCCCATTCTTTCTCGGCACAAAACATTACAAGGAATGCAATTGTCTTGGTTTTGGAAAGGGATAGGTGCTGGCCGTGATAAAGAGAGAAAGAGGAATGTATCTCTAATCTTGGGGCAACCACCACAATGCAATTCAACTTTATATTATTATCAACTCCACCACCACCACCACTGCCTGCCGGCTGCAAGAACTCAAGAACTGCTGCTTCCCGAACATTCAACATTCTTTCCATCACCACTGCCAGTGTAAACCACCAACCATGATGTAGTTAGTGTGGAGAAAGTGAGCAGGGTCTGGTTAGGACGATGGAGGTGGCAGACTTACGTACCGAGAAAAGCACTAGCACACCCATAGACTATTTCCTGAGTGAGAATGAAGTGGATTGGACTGGTTGATAGAGTAGGAAACAAGAGTGGAAGAAGTGTATGGCTCTTATACATATTACGTCAGGTTAAGGATAATATTTTACTTTACCTTCCTTGCTCCGTTTTTTCTTGGCTCCGTCCTTCTCCTGCTGCAGCACCATCCAGCACATAAAACAGAAAAAAAGCAAGTCCACATTATTTATGCACATCTGGGATCAAACCATTGGGAATAGTGTAAAACAGAACAACAGGGGTGGGCAAGATAGTTTGGTCGTAAGATACAAGATACAAGATAAGATACTTTCTAGGATAAGATATAAGATACAAGATAAAAGATACATTTTGTTCAAGTACACAAGATACAAGATACAAGATACTTTCCTAAAGATTGAGTAGTCAAGATACAAGATACAAGATATGTATCTTAAGATACTTTTATACTAGATAAGATACTTTCTTTTTCTAGCTTGGTATTCATGCCCAATTGGTCATGTTTAATAATTTAAACGAAAAAATCTAGTGAGTACAAAATTTAAAATCATTCTATAATCATCCTACAAATTTTGTAGCCAGTGCTTATACTTCGAAAAATTTCGAAAAACTAGAACTCTACCTAACATACATATTTTGAAGAAGTTGGTATTATTTTTACAATATTCCCTGCTTATCTAAACCCTATAAGATATATACACTAGTTCAGCGTAGGTACATATCATGTAATGTGCATGTATGTGTACAAATGTACTAGTACACATGAACATATATACATATACATATATATATGAATATATGTACATATGTATGTAGAAGTTTTTTACAAATTGGCAAAACATAAACTAAAATTCACCAAATTCTGGTTACGACAAATTCATGGTCAAATTGACTGCCAGTAGTACGAAATTGACTTTGACTTAAGAATTTTACGGAATTTTTAGAAAAAGTATCTTGTATCTTAACAAAACTATCTTAAGATACTTTTCTGCCAGGCATATCTAGATAAGATACTTACACAAGATACTATCCGACTTTCTAAAAGATAGAAGATACAAGATACAAGATACTTCTCTGATCAGGCGACCAAGATACAAGATAAAGATACTATCTTGTATCTTTTATCTTGTATCTTGACCAAGTATCTTGCCCACCCCTGAGAACAACCACCATTTTCTTCTTATCAAACAAAACCTGTGACTCTTTTCAGCTGCTCCTCCTTCACTCTAATCTAAACGTTCCCTACGAGTTGAATACGAATGCACTGCATTACGCCAAAGCTACGACTTTCCCTCCATGCAATCCATTGCTGTCCCTCCCAAAAGTGTACAGCATAGTTTTTAATACATTCTAATGTTCTTCGTACGATATACACCAACAAGTGTGTGTATTTTCTCCAGGATTATGGTTCTACTTTCACCCCACTTTTATCGTGGTGCTCCCTCCCACCCATTGTTGGCTTGGATGGGTTTCGACTCGAATGTTCATGCATACTGCATGTAATATTAAAACCGTTGTAGAGCAGTGACAGCGTCAAGCGGAAACATGAACCTTTTACAATACACACTCACAACCAAATTATGTATGTACATACTTCAAATCCAATCACTTTTACTCACACAAACCATAAATCTAAAAGTATCGATTTAAAAATTATGGGTGTCAACTAAAAGTAAATTTTATGATCATGGGGGAGATGGAGAAACCAAGCTAAGATGGATTGCAATTTGATTCAAAAACAGTAATTGAAAAGTCATCAAACTGGTGAAGAATATAAAGCATTGAGTTATATCTGTTCGGCTGAGAGAAAATTAGTGAGTAAGACAAGATACGTTTAAATATACATAAATATGTAGATAGGGGAATGCTGTTTGATGACAAAAAGTATTAAATAAATGCTGAAAACGTTAGTGAAATTAAGTAAAGATGACACACAAAGAAGGAGAAATGGAATTGAAATAGAAATGAGATTGACCTTTTTGGACTTATTGGAGCCAATTGAAGGGGCCAATTGCACTTGAGAGTCGTCGAAGGAGGTCGAAGGAGAGAGAGGGTGGATCAAATGCTGGGATGAGGAGTTGATGGTCGCTGTCGAAGAGACATTGTTGGCATTGGCGAAAGAGTTATTAATGGCAGTCGTGTTAAAAGAATTAGACGAGATTGAGTTGCTCCCTCCACCGGCGATGGAGGCTGAGGTCGACAAAAGTGGAGCTTGGGAGGGAGATGTTGCTGACTTGACAACTCCTTTGCTCAGCGATGGCAAGAGAGTCCTTGACTTTGGCTTTTTCCAGTCCTTCTGCCACCATCACAGTACAAACTAATTAACTATTCCCCATTCACTCACTCTCCATTCCATGTAAATCATTGTATCGCAACATTAGAAACATTTTAATTTACCAAAGCTCTGACGAACACATTTAAAACATAATAAACAGTTATTTCCAAAGACAAAGACAATTATACTCGTAATAAAAAAATCAATTTAATCAATCAAAATAAAGCACATTATAATTTGAGATATGCCACACACATAAATCGCAATTAGAAAGTTATACAGTATTGACGTCAAAAGAAAATAAGCTGGAACTTCAGAGCAAAAAATAGCGTGCCGAGAATAAATAGTGCCGAAGAATACAAAGGAAAAACAATTGCCACCATAAGCATCCAATTGATTGCACTCCCCGCTTCATTAATCCGATATTCTGTGACTCCAATAATAGTCAGTAGTCAGTCGGATTGGAGTTAGCACAATTTCATTCACTGTGCATCCCTGTACAATTTATCCGTGTAGTATAATGCATATATAATAATAATAGCCATAACTGTCGCTCCTGCTGTGGATGCAAAATAACCACAACATTGTTGTTTCTATTCCTCGACCATTCCCTCACAATGGATTGAATAAACATTGTAAATGGCATGAATCCTCAGAAAGGTGTACAAATATTTGCCACCCTAAGCTGTACCATTTGTGGAGACCAAAAGGAGAAGGAGTGCTAGGGAAATCGAGAGTGGAATCCAGAAAATCTCCACACAATTAGTTTTTCTGTCTCGGCCATCCTGCAGTTGTTGTAAATTGTAAGCGAGGGCTGAAGGGGCTCAGCAGAGGAAAACAAACAGCTCAACCCTTGATGACATTTTGCATCATAGAGGACAGAAACGAAGAGAAAGTAATTTATCAGTGTACGTTCCGGGACGAGTCTACGTATTCAATCGACGAAAATGGAACTCTACACAATACTCGATCCTTTCCATTCTATTGGTCTATTCCACTTCCTACCCTCCTGCTGCATACCGCATGAGCTAGCAATGTACATCTCACAAGTACAAAACACAACAGTCTATAACCCTTCAGCATACGACCATCTTTGTCACTTTTCAGTCCACCAACAAGGAAACTAATGCAATTGCTTTCTTGATCACAATCCTGCGAGTGAAAGAATGTCAACCTGATTTGGTCTGTCGGACTTGTGGCCTAGACGATAAAAATGAACTACCACACACGCCGACGACGTCAGCTTTCGATTTCCCACCCTGCACTTTACACCGTTTTCATTGTATTAACATTTTGTTGGGCAGTGAGGCACAACAGCTACATACATCACCACACCATGCATGGTTTGAAATTCGTTGGTTTGATCATGTAGACTAACCAATACATGGAGAAAGTCAGTGCATGTGTGTATACGGGACCCAAATCATATCATTTAGAAACGAAAACAAACAAAATCGTAATCACATCATGTAACAATCTGTTGTTCTAAATATGAGAATTCGCGAGTTCTACAGATTGCAAGAAGTTATTTCCGATCTACTGAACAAAGTTCGCATTTCAAGTTTACAGTTCATATCACAATGATCTGTGTCTCAACAGAACGTTTCGTTTGTCATTAGTGTCAAGAACAGGAAAAATTTTCCCCTGCATTAATTTTTGAGTGGTGCAATAAATGTCAGATAATATTAAGAGTGGAGCCAATAACAGTTGATCAACCAGATCAACGAATTAGTTCCACAACAACTATATAAATATATTTACTTATACATAGATTTGACCACGCAAACGTAAATATTTACTAAATGACGAATTAGGAATTTTTATCAAACTTTGTCCTAAAAATTAAAAAAAAATCAGGCTAGTGCAGAAATGTGGAGGGAGGAAAGGGAGGAAACGTAAAGACGAATTCAAAATACATATGGACGGAATATCGATTTTTGCTTATTATGTATCGGCAACAAATGTTGCTTCCACTCAATTTGTTTGGTTTGGTTCTTGGTTTGGTGTGCAACATGCTCACGCCAAGCGGCCAGACCTGAGCAAAGTCCAAAGTGTTCACCTTTTGCTGTGTGTACGTTGTAGATAAGTGTGTACACGGAGGAAGAGAGCGAGGGTTGTCAGAAGGCAAGGAAACTTAGGGCAGGATGAATTGATATTCAAGAAGTTTGATGCGAGAACTACAGAGTTAAATCAAGATAAGAAAAGTCGAAAATTCAATTCAATTCATGGAGAAAATGCGGAAGAAATGGCTTAAATTTTGAAATTAAAATGTGGTGGTAATTTATATTAACCAAAATATAAATCAAGTTAATAGTCAAAGTAAGACACGTCGGGGTTGCAGCTACTGCATGGCGCGCGTTGTTTACGCATTCCCTACCAAGCAGCTGAAACGTTTTGCCTTCGACCAACTCGAGTAGGGAAGCCTGCGTAGTGCGATGCCAGCGGATATTTCATTTCTCTCTCTCACTCGCTCGCTTATTGATATCTCTGTGCGCATAGTTTTTCTTATCCCTTGATTTTCGTGAAAATTATTGTTTACTTGGGCCTAGCCCCCACCCCCCACTTGATAATGGGTGTGCCTGGCGCCTTCCCCCACTTGAAAATGAGAAAAAGACGAGTCCACATTTCGAATTTTAAGGGTGCGGCTATTGCTATCGATATTATGGGGTAAGTTTTATTCATTTTATTTTTAAAAAGATTAAATTATTAATCAGGCAATGCCTTCAAATAAATAATTCTCTTGATCAACACAGATATGTAGTAAAAGGACATTACAGAGTGCTGAAATCTGCAGGACTTGCCGATGATAATACCCTTCCAGAATCAACTGCGGGAATAATTTCTTCGGTCGAGGACATTGTCCGAACTATTGTGGATGCTGGATGCACAGTCTACCTAGTCGCAGATGGCAAGAAACTTCCCAAAAAGGCCAAAGAGCATTTAGCAAGGGCGGCACAGAGGGAGAATGACATTGTCAAAGCCGACTACTGCTTCCGACTTGGAAGGAAGGATGAGGCGAAAAAGTATCTCGCCCGCAGCACCGTCATCTCTCCAGCTGTGGTGGATGGATTAAAGGGCATTGCACAGAAGTTCCCCAACAAGTGCTTCTATTTCGGAGCCCTCTTTGAAGCCGACTCCCAGCTGGGGTACTTGGCGCAGCGGAATTTGGTTGACATTGTCATCTCCCACGACTCTGACATGTTGCTGTTTGGATGTTCCAAGGTAAGAATTTAAACATAAATGAGAAGTTATGAATATTTATGTATATACTTTGTTGACATTGTCAGGTGCTGTTCTCTATGAACAGCAAAGGCTGGGGGAATTACTACAAGACGTCGGACATCCCCACCGCCCTGGGATGGGAGGAATACCATCACGAGAAATTTGTCAAAATGATGATCCTCGCTAAATGCGACTACGTCAAGAACATTCCTGGTATTGGCATAGCCAAGGCGCAGAAGATTATCGAGGCGACGCTTGACCTCTCAACTAAATCGGTAATAATAGTATGACATGAACTGAAAATTAAAGTGGTGCAATGTCTGACAATGTCAATTTTATTATACAAATATAATTTTCTAGATTTTGGCAACTGTTGTAAAACTCTTCCCCGAATCCGTCATTCCAGCTGAGTACGCCAAGGATTTTGACGAGGCGTACCTCACGTACCTCTACTCTGCCGTCGTGAATCCCATCAAAATGGAGTCAACACGAATCAACACACCTCCACCCACGCTCAGTGATGATTATCTCCGTTTTGCCGGCCGATTTCACAACAAAGTGGACACGACGGACATTGTCCTCGGAAATATATACCTCAACAAAGGGACACCATCTCCACATGTGACCCTCGCCTCCAACCTGGACAAACCTCTTTCCTCCAACTTGCTTCTTCCATTCCGAATTCGAGGAGAAGAAACAAGTAATGGAATTCCATGTTGAAGAGGGAGAAGGACCTTGTCCGGATGAGGACGACCAAGAGGAAGAGCACCCTAAGGAGTATCCCTGTTTGGACTGCGACAAAATTTTTTTCTCTCTCTCTAAATTTGTCCGCCACGCGGTGGTGCACACAAAGAAGAGGCATTTCTCCTGTGAATTGTGTCTACGGTCCTTCGCCTTCGAGGCTTCACTTGTGCCACACATGCGCATCCATGAGGACGCCAGAAAATTTAAGTGTGGTGTGTGTGGCAATGCCTTTAACCAACAAGTATTTCTGGACAACCACGTTGCTGCCATTCACGGCGAAGCCAGGCCTTTCCAATGCGACGAATGTGAAAAATCATTCAAGACAAATGCCGGCCTATTTCTTCATATAGGAACTCACTCTGAACAAAGACCCCACCAATGTGACGAGTGCGATCTTTCCTTCAAACGGACCGGCCAACTTCAACAGCATATTAAATCAATCCACACAAAAGACAAGACATATGTCTGTGATGTGTGCAAGAAGGCCTTCAGTGACCCATCCGCTCTTCGCAACCACAAAGCTACTCACAGCGACGCTAGGCCTTTTAAGTGTACAATATGCCCCAACAAGACGTACAAGACTAATAACGGTCTTTGGATACACATGAGAAACTCTCACCCTGGCCATGTCAACAAATCAAAGGTATTAAATATTTAACTTAACTGAATAGATTATTAATCGGCAAAGCCGGGGTATAAGATGTTAATTGTTGTAGGGGAATGCCACAAAACGCCCAACCACGGCCAAGAACCCAATGGTGTCCCCCAAAAAGACCAAGAACGTGCTGACGCCCAGCGCTGATACGAATAAGATCGTCACATTGAGTCCACAGTTGGCCAAGGTATTTATAAACATAATCACATTTGTTCAAGACAATGTCTCATAATTAGCATGACCGCGTATTATTTGTTTGTACAGCTTCTTGGACAAAAGATGATGACTCGTGATGACATTGTCAAAAGTTTTGTACAAATGATTGAAGCGCAGCATCTATATGACCCACACAACCCTCTCTACGCAATTGGAAATCCTGACATTGTCAATATTCTTGGTAAAATAATTTGCATCATAAATATCCAATTTTGAAGTATATATATTTCACAATGTCATTTTCCAATCTTGTTTAGGCGTGCAACGCTTCCGGATCTCTGGACTTTCCGCCCTCCTTCAAAATCATTTTAATTGAACTATTTTTTTTACTTTCTTGTGTCCACTAACTTTATGCTTGAGCGTTGTGTTGCTCGTTTAGAACAAGCCTTTTTGCTCACATAATTAAAGGTGTCATTAATTAAGGAAAGTATTAAAAAGTTGCGTTATTTCTACTACATATATACATACATCCTAACTATATGTATAGCTAAATATCATTATTATGCTTACAGATAAATTTAAACACGTAAAAATTGCCGACTGTTCATAACGAAAAAGTTTTCATATTTTATCTGAATTTGTAAATGTTCCATTTATTTTGACCTTATTATTAATTGAAAGGGGTTGGTTGGGCGTGCAGGGTTTGGAAAGGAAGGAGAGCAATAAATGAGTTTAGATAGTTTCCTACTTTGGAGAACAACAGTGAAAGCAACTCTCATGAGAGCCACCGAGCTAATGAGCATTGATTATTTGGAGCTTCTGCTACATACAGCAGCACATCCCTCCAGCAGCAGCAGCAACCCGTATACAATCATGATGATGGTAGGCAATTGGTAACCATATATATGTGCACCTTTCCCGGAATCCACTACCAGCGTTTACCCGAAAACTAACTTTCTAGAAAACTCTAAAGTTTTATTAGTTGGAAGTTTACGAACAAAAATGTGGAAAAACATTGACTTGGACTTAGATGGAGCGTTGTGTTGCTCGTTTAGAACAAGCCTCATTGTTCATATAATTAAAGGTGCTGAGGCGCCATTAATTAAGGCAACATTTAAAAGTTGCGTCATTTGTACAACATCCGCACAGGTATAACTATTATGCAGACAATTAAATCTAAACACATAAAAATGGCCCTCCATCCTGATGGTGGAAAGTTTTCATATTTTGTCAGAATTTGCAAATGAATGACTATGCATCACTTTTGAAACTTTGTAAATAAGTCATGCAGCTGAAAACTTTATTAAATTCGTTTTACTCCTATATAAAATATTGCTTGTGATATGTCATGTAACTAAATATATACATATCCATATTTTGTACATAAATATAAACTTTGTGAAAATAAGAGGTTCATATTAAAACAATTATTCAATTTAATCGGCTGAAATTAAATCAACGAAAATGACAACATAACTTGTGCATATGTAGGTAAAATAACATCTAGGCCAACTTAGGATTACATAGTTCATGAGCTTATTAGGAAATTGAAATGAAACGTGTACACGTTCCCATTTAAGTAATTTTACAAGTCAGGTCTTAATACCTTGATATGAAAATGTCCTAAATGCGGTGTGAAAACGTGCAAGTCTCCTGTTTGAAAAATTTTTGATGGTAGATATTCAAATAGTTTGCTCAAAGTTTGTTCGATCATATCATATAACCGTGAAAACTTGTTAACTGGAACGAGGGGCATCAATTTCCTCTTGGTTCTAAGCTTTCATCATGAAGTAGACAAGACTCATGACATGCTACCATTCAGAAAAGGAATAAGTGACTTTTGTCTACATATGCTGCGAAATACATGAAAATAACTTTCCCCTTTTCTAGAAAAAAGTATCAGTAACAGCTAAGATATATGTATACTCGTCTCAAGAGAAAGGTCCTATCCATATACTTACGTGGGATTATTTTATAATACGAATGTACAGCACGTTGGTTGCATAAAAATGAAACTCATGGACATTCTGAGAATGTTTATTCTCAAGTATGTGGCTGACGATACTTTGGGTCTGATCACATAAATTCTATGAAACAGCACACTTTTAGTGTGAGGGAAAGCTAACACCCTTTCAAGAGTGAAAACAATTACTTGTATCGGTGTTAAATGTCAACATTCTCTTTACTCGGAAATAGGACGAGTAAAATGTAAATTCCGCCCAATAAATTGCTCCCAATTTGCATATCGGGCAAGAAACGAGATCAAAATGCATGTAGTATGTATCAAGGATACATTTTATAATGCACCTTGTGAGAACGAATGATGCATAATCTAGTTTTCTTCGTGTGGCTCGAAATCCTTACTTGAAGGGGGAGAAGCAAGTATTGCAGATTCATAGCACCACACCACCCTGGATTGTGTGTACGTATTTATATGTGTAAGTGAGTCTTAGCAAACAGGAAAGTGAAATGCTATTACGATATCGTTTTTATAGAGTAAACAAATAGCAAACTCCCCACAGCCAAATACATTTTGGTAAGTCAACAAAATTACGGCGTCGAATGGATATTTCTTGGCACTTACGGCGGATTTACCAACCATGCTACCTGAGGAATTCTACCCTAATTTTGGATCGCAAAGCCTGCTTGTGTGGCGCTAGTTTATCTCTGACAGCATCCTCAAAACCATTTCACCTCCAGCATTGAGCATTAAAATGCTGGAGTCAGCCTCACTAACTCGATTTATTATACTTTTACGGGAAGAAAAGTAGTCACCACCACACATTCTCTCAATAAATAATTCACGGTTTAAAGGTTCTCACTTAACCAAGAGTTCTTATCCGAGGTGCCGACCATTTTTTAAAAATAAATTAATGTTAAGATCACACACAATTTGCGACGTACACAATTCAATCTTGAGCGATTTTATTTATTTCCCATGGAATAAAGGTTCTAAGCTGAAATTTAAACTTTGCATCAAACTATGAACGTAATAGCGATGATATGTTAGTACCTGTTGTTCCGAAATAAGGACTCGCTATATATTTCTCGCATAAGATGGTGTTTGGCAATTAATATTTATCACGCCCTTCAGATTACTAATATTTATAAGAAAACTTTTTTACCAAGAAAACCCAAACATCCAAGTGTTATTAGATATGCAAGTCATACTTATGTGTGCAATGTACAAGAAGCGTTTAAGATGTCACAAGCGTTCACAATATTAATTAGGCAAACTATCCAACATTGTGCAGAGACCAACAAAGCTGTGAATTTATAACAGAACATTAAATGAAGGAAATGGTCGTTGAGTTTGAAAGGACACATTTTCTCTCAAGCGTCGCTCAAGCTGAAGACGACGCTAAGCTAAGCAATAACTTTGTGTGCTTTCTTCTTGCTCCTGCACCCAAGCGGTGAAAGCTCATCATGAATTCAGCATTAGTCTGCCGGAAACTATGTTCATTTGATCAACAGCTGAACGCGGTATGCATTTAAAAAATTTTCGGTGGGTGGGGAAAGCCCAATAAATTAGATTCCACCTACCATGCACTGCACGCTACACTTTCTTTATAGATAATTGGCTTAACAGAGGGTAACTTGGTTAAAAACGATAAAAATAAATACGCTGCTTTCACTTTTCCTACTAATTATGCAATTGATTCAATTCATATACTAATTTTTTTCTGGTTATGATTATTGACTGCTTCTAACTGCTGGTTTTCACCAAAATGGCACATTATGCACGTTACATTAACGATCCAACGGATTACAAAATGTGCGCACAATCAATCAATTTTCACTTTGTTGGTAAAAAGATAAGCATATTAAAACTATTACGATTCACGCTATGTGCACACGTCTTACAAAAGGTGTAAGATTTATGTATGCATCATCATCATCATCATCATCGCGCCGGGTTCTACTTTCCTAAAACTTTCTACCGCAGTACTTAAAAACGCTTCGTATTTGTTTTATGAGACCAGAAATGAGCAACATTCAGGAATCTGGAGCCATTCTGTGATCTATAACATGAGGGTAACATATGTAGCATGGCGAACATAAGAATCCGTTCTCCAAATCCGGAGGATGGTAGAAAAGCCATCATTGTAAATTAGTATTCAGCTCACTCACAAATCCCACGCTTCGTTTATGCTACTTTTCAACAGCAGGCAGCGCAAGAACACACTACCGTCCAAACCGTCTATTTGTTCCCCCTGCTCCACAAATGAACATCTTTCATAAGAATACGCTGATGTAATGATGATTATTACAAATTCTTGCTTTTCGTTGGCTTTCTCAATTTTGTATTTAGAATAAACTTGGACTACATATATGCATCCATATGATGGCTACTGACTTGTAGATACACATGTATATCCACCCTATATTCACATGTTGTTAGCACATTTTATGTCCCTGGAACATTAAACTAACGCCATTGAGAATTGAGACACACTTTCACTCACTTATTATAGAGTGCGTTCGTGAACTGCTGCCACCGAAGAGGAAAACCTCCAATCTCATTTCCACGAAATACTACGGATATTAGCAGAGCTACGGCGACAGGATATTAGCATGCCAAATGAAAACGAAATGAAATACCTGCATGCATACGAGTCATTTACATCTCCACCGCCTTCCCACAGCCGTGGTACAATAACAACTGCTCACCTTTTAATCATCGTCAGTATATATTAAAGTGTCCGCATTGTTCAACTCTTCTTTACGCAATCACTAATGCATGGAAATTGAAAATTCAAAACTGAGCCAAGTTAATGCGAAAATCGGATGGAGATAATCTGCCCCGTACATTTGTTTTTAGCCCTGTCTACACATATACCTTTATGCATATACAACCGAAGCTACATATTTAGATGAACCTTGGCTTACGTTAATGAGATATACAAAAGTACAACTCAAAACGGTCTCTTCAGAACAGCAGAGGACGACTGACTGTAGATTGGGATGCGTGACAATTTGTGTGTTGTACTTTGCAACAAAAGCAAAATCAAGAGAACGTGAACAACAACTGCAGTCGTCCAACAATAGTAAACATGCTTTGCTTCGAGCCTTGGGAAATTCCTTAATGACAGATTTAATGAAGTGAAAGCGATTAGTGTGAGGAAATATTCACCCACCTTTTCATCAAAGAATCCACAGTCGTCTTCGGTCCTGGTTTGTCCTAACAATCTGTCCGTCTCCGTATCGGTATCCGTGTTTGCATCTGCATAACAAGAGTGTAATGAGCATTGAGGGTAATGAACTGTAATCAGTGTAACGATTGTTCTAACTACTTTGGTAACTATACTGTGGAGCTGAGCGATCCTAAAAGCTCCCACTTTCATATGAACAGGCTCAGTCTGCACCATTCTTACCAAACTTTCTCCTCATCAAGTTCATCTCTCTTTCGCTCTTTCTCGCTTTCTCTCTCACACTCGAGTTGAGAAAGCCATTTCAATTGCCGGGGTTATAAAATGCCAAGTTGAATATTATATTGTATTGAATATTGGTCAATTTAGCCAACTGCAAATCCCATCCACTCGACTTTATTGCTAGCAGATGGTCAAGTTCTGAAACCAGCTTGGAACCTTGTCGGGAATTATTGCCCTTACATATAAACAACTACATTAGTGCATGGAATGAGTGGTGGGTGATATAACGAACATTAAATTCCGCGAAACTATAGCTCTCTAATAGTTTCTAGAAATATGTTAAGCAAACAAAACAAAAACTATTACAATTCGTTCCAACGATATTACCTTTCCATTTTGTTTCGATACTTGGTTCCGTCTTAACACTAATTAAAAAGCCATGCTGCTTTGAGAACCGTACCAAATTCTACCATATTGCAACCCTGCTAAAAGGTACCTACAAGAGTTTGCTCACAAAACATATCCCTGGCACTTGCACTTCTAAATCAGCACGACGATGGTAGTGAAAAGGAAAGTAAGTAGGAAAGGCTAGTTTCCAACAATGGTAAGAATTTTCTTTTGTTACAGCAACATCTGTTAAATCTAAGACTGAATTTCGCTGGGCACTTCATTGACCGTGTGAACGGTGGATGGATACACTGACTCTTTTCCGTCTGTTCGTGGCTGGTAAACTCGGGCGCTAGATACGTATGAGGAAGGAAAAGAAAGATATGTGAGAACAACAAGGGAAAGAACTCGGGATTTTGAACGTGAGCTGCCAGTAAACTTTTGGTCTATTTCCTTCATTTTGGAGCATGGAGCAGCGTAGCGTGACGCGGACCGTTTCTAAAGAAAGTAATTTCACTCCTACTACCCAACCGACCATGGCATAAATGAAGCACATACGTACGAAGCGGACAATAATAATATAATCTTCAGTTGGAATCGTGATCGTAAGAGTGGGGAACAATGCCACCGGTGTATATCCATACATACACTCATACGCGCATGGGGTATACACCCTCTAAAACTCGCAGCTTGTATGTGGACCCTGCACCAGATTTATATGTAATGCGATTTTATAATGCTACTTCCCATAATAGAATGCCAAAACTTTCCCACCCCATGAGACTAAATGCATTATAGCAGTGCGATACCTTGAAAAATAGAGTCAATAACAATTTTTAGACCTGCTTTCACACTTCACCTTCCACATTTTGTAAAGAAAAGGGAGCCATAAATTTGTATTTAGTTTGACTCTGTCTTTCCCAAGTCATGTCGTAATCAGTCTCTTTCCCAATTTCAACAGAATTCTAACACAAAAGAAGTCCATTTTATGTGCATGTACCACAGGAGAGACTGGAATAAAAGTATATTTTATTTTTTCGGCCACTCGTAAATATGTAGCTGAAACAAAAGTGAGTATATTTATGTATCTCGAATTAATTAGCGAAAATAAAGTTTGCTTTTGGACGAAACAAAATATGAACGTAGTGTTTTCAAATATGAAATTCTAGATTACTGGTCATATTTCTGGGTTTGGTAACATTGGTTCAACCAACTTCAAAAATATAATGTGTATATATCAAACTTTCCCTGGTTCAGCTCCGGCACATGTGTATGTAGTGCACTGATTGCTGTCAGCCAGTGGTGCTCACTCCATTTATCTAACTCTCTCTTCGTGATCACCTTCACTTCGCTCCCTATTTCGCTAAAACGGAAATCCATGTTGCTCACCATCATCCGCATCCACCCATTTTAATCCCATATTAAGCAAAGTAAGTATGTTGTTCGCCTGGCTGGTTATGTACAGCCTCCGTTTTTGAGATACTTGAAAACAACTACCCTCTTCTCGTTGAAATCTCTTTCGCAGTTCTGCATTTCCGATCTCGAAACCAACACTTGAAACATACGTGGATGATATCACTTCCAATCATACTTGTATTTGGTAAAAAAAACAACCTCATTCACATGGCTCTTAGTGGTTGGTCAGCAGTTCATCCAACCACGCTATAAACTATAAACTACAATACAGAACAATGAAGGAAGGATAGAATGGAAAAATAAATTGTGGTTCCCAGAACCAATTTTTCATCATGATCCAAAAAAGCAACCCGTGCAGCTCGTAAAAATTATTGCCCACAGCATTTTCTTCAATCCTCTATATTTCTATAAAATATTGTGTTCAATGTATTTCCCGAATTTCAAATGCAACCTTGTTCTTATTGAATTTCTGTTCATAACAATATTTCACACACAACTACCCTCTTTCTGAACCCTCTCATTATTTTGATGCGATGCCATGCAAGTTTCCAATTCACTCAAAGCGTAATACATTCATCGAATATTATGTACAATGAAGTAAAGCATGCATGTATGGTGGCGAGATATGCGAAGAAACCTGCAACCACTGCACGCCTCTTCTGATGCTAACGGGAATACTAGATATGTAGGGACGGAGACCCTGGTATGTGTTTCATTATGTATTACTCGCGAGCCTTTATTTCTAACCAAGCGAAATATTTTCGCTTTTCATTTCAACGAGTTCCTCTTTTGGAATTTCAATATTCTCAGCGACAACGGTTCAATCCGTCACTTTTTATTCCACATTTTTTCAACACATTCTGATCTCAACTCTGGACGAGTGAATCCACTCTAATGGATCTGGACGAGTGAAAGTTAATGCACTCCTAACGAAACAGCATTATTCCATTTATCTTACCATCCTCAGGAGCGTCATATCGCTGCTTCTTAAGCAGAGGGTCCTTTGCACCTTGCGAGTCTACCCTGGGATCCCGATTACGACCGGATCTAGGATTCCTAACAACCGGGAAGAAAATTAAATAATAGTCTTACACTATTTTTATGGCGAAATACGCATAACAAACGTGTTTCTCCAAAAGCTTTAAAGTAATTCGATTTCTTACCGAGGAACCCAAACAGGCGATGAATCACAGATTAGAGGCACACGTTCTTGAGGCCCAGGAGATTGTTGGACATCTATAAGACCAGATCTCGAATAAGAGCTACTACAAGGTGTGGAGACCGCAATTGGGGTGGAGGTGCTGGCAGATGAATGTCTCGGTTGGGGCAAAGGTTTCGCCTTCTGAATCGCTTCTTTGATGTCCTGGATGACTGCGGTGACGGAGGAAGCTGAAGGGGGTGAGCTTGATGTCGATGGCTGCATTCCTCCACTTGAGGAAGATACGTTCCCGGCTATACAAATAGATTCGGCTCTGTTTTCAGTGTGGGTGCAGGAGGACGACTGATGATCAAAGTTTGTGACATTCTTTCCAGCCTCTGGGTTTGTATTCCACGAACTACTAGGATAGTGATTGTTGTCTCTTATCATTGAGCCAGGTGCTGGCGAGGGTGGCGGTGTTGGTCCTGTTGAACGCAGGTAAAAATGTCACATTAATTGGTGAATGATCAAATAATTCATACTGGTTTACACAAATATGCATTATATCATATATTTATTATTTAAAAAAACATACGCATTGGGTCTAAGGCATCCAACTCTGGATCATGATTGGCTGGAACGGTCTCTTGTCCTCCATCGTTCATTGAATCCTCTGGCTGTGAAAACGGATTTTTTCGTGAAACCGCCGTTGTTAATTGGTATGGTCCATTCAGCCTTCCACTGCTGCTACCTCCGACAATATTGTTGAGACCGTGTGAATTATTTGACGCAGTTTCTGGTAACTCGGTTTGATCATTCATTTCAATTTCGGTATCGACTAGAGTTGCACCCCCTCCGTTTGGTTGACTTTTATGACTTTGTTGTGAAGCTCGCATTTGGATTTCTTTTTCAATTTCAGAGATTTGTTTTTTCATTAGCATAAGTGTTGGGTTTGGATCTACAGAGTTAATTTTGTTCTCATCTTGGTGGATATTCGCAATCAAATCGTCAGAATTTGACCATGAGAGAATGTCGCTGGCACCATTGTCTGGTTTCACAATATCAAGAATGTTTTCCTTGTTGTCCTCACGATACAATTTGGCATCGGGTAGCGTATCAGCTTGTCTCTTTGTGAAGCCAGACTTAATGTTACTGCCACCCATCAAGTAACAGTGGTCCTCCTGAAATTCAACATCCACTTCAATTATATCTTCATTCTCGGACTCATTTCCTGATGACAGTCCATGTTGTTGCATCACAACGGGTCTGGACACGGGTCCACCAGTACGACAAGATGAATGGAGTGAGGCTTCGTAATCCAGTGAAAGTTCACTTTCCAGCTCATTGGAATCACAGTCGTCTGTGGTTTCTGGAGAGAGAGCAAAGTTTCGACCACCGCCACGTCCAACCTAAAACAAACCAAAAAATGCCCATGAAGCAATCAGACTCATCACGTATAAATACTACGCCACATGCCATGCCATCCACATCAATGTGCGGGGTGTGCGTGACGACGCGACTTTGCTGGTGAGGCTAATTATTATTGGTAATTAGTACTTTGGTAGATTTATACATGCATACTTACAATGATATAAAAACAATAATAAAAAATACTAAATGTGCATGTAGATAATATTAGAGATATAATAACACTAGTTAATGTGCATACGTGCTATGCTACGTAGATATATGAGAAATTAAAAGTTGGATAGGCAGAAACTAGGAATAAAAACAGCAAAGTATGGCAGCAAGCATAATATGATTTGGAAGCCGTGTGTGGGTTGTGCAGAGTGGTGATAAATGACATGGAGCAGATGGGTGAAAGTCGTTGTCGTAATTAGACAACATGAGGAGCAAGGAGCGACTGACTCTACATATGTGTGGAGAAACTTACTTGGAGACCCACTTCAGTTTCCCCAAGATCTGTTTCCGTGTTAGTGGAAGCAGTTTCAGCTTCAATATCATTATCATTTATATCTCTTCCGGGATCCCCTTGAGGTGGAGGAGATTGAGATTGAGACCGAGAATGAGTTTTATTAAGAGAGGAGCGAGGAGAGCGTGCGGAGGAGGAGGAACAAGTTGTGAGAGATTGAGACGTTCTGCTGCTGTGATATTGTTGGTGTGGGGAATGCAGCTGTGGTAGCGAAATTTCTTGAAATGAAATCAGCTTGGGTGAGCCTTTTTCATCACTTCCGTCCCCATCACTGCTCCCCAAAAGGAGAACCCCCCGTCGCGGAGGCTTCTTGGGCGAACTTTCTGTAAGCAAATTTCCAGCAATGTCACTGGCCAATCTGGAGCCAACGTACGAATTCCCAGTCTGTCTCTTCAACATATAGTCCAATTCATCAAAACTCGCTTTATCGGAAAGAAAATGGCCACTGCCACCGCGGCAAATGCTCTGGTTCTCTCCTCCACCCACGTTGAAAAACTCTTCGAGAACCTTCCTTGTTTCACTAAATTCATAGAGAAAGTCTTGATTACGTGGGTTGGTTGCAGAGGATTGCACCACTTGAGTTGGATTTGTCATGAAATTATCCTCCAGCAAGTTGCAATGCAGAGAAGAGGAAGAAGCGTGTTGTTGTTGGTCTAAGGACGAGGAGTGGGGTTGGCTGTAGGCAGTCGTGCTGGTGACACAAAGGGATCCACCTGGTCGACTAGGTGATGACGATGACGCCTCGATTCGAACCAGTTGATCAGTGTTGCTGGAGGTGGTGGTCGTGGAAATATTTGCTGTCATGGATGGCATGTAACCCAAGTAGGATGCTTCGCTTAACATTTCCCCATTCTTCTTATTACTGCTAATAGAGTGAGATTCAGAGTTGCTGATCGTGGGTAAGTCGACATGTACTGATGATAATAATTCATGATTAGTTCCAGCCACTAAGTTTGATTCCGAGTAGTCTCGGAATGGGCAATGTTGTTGTGGTTGTTGCTGCTGAGATCGAGTATTTTCTTGACTGGGTGTTGAAGACGAGGAGGAATTGACACGTTGTGGGAATCCGGGAAATCGAGCAGAGAAAGATGAGACTGGTTGAGAAGGCGACAAACTTGGGCTGATACGGTTATTAGTTCTGCTGCTAGAATTTGAGCAATCGTTAGTGTTTGTGTTATCAAGGGAAGAAGAAGACGATGAGGTTGCAGCAGCGATGGTTTGATCCAGAAGGGTTTGTGGATTGGAATCATTAATTACTTGATCATTCTCCCGACTTACTGCAACTCCCAGGTCAACGTCAATCAGATCGAAATGCGTAGTCACTGGTTGCACTGATTGCTTTAGGCCGTACCGTTTTGGTGACATGTCGTACTCTGCAATTGGAATATTTCCAATGAGTCTCCTCGTACCACAATTCGGACTAATGGTCTTAAAATTTGTGGTGGAGAGAATTGACGTGTTGGTGCAAACAGACGCGGAACATTCATCACTTTCATAACCGCTTGGAGTGGTATTTCCATCTCTGTGAGATGCACAAGGAGAGCATTCTGAGGGATCCATTACATTATTCGAACCGAATATTGTGGATCTTTTATTATTGGATCGTTGGATTGTATGCGCTGCTGCTGCAGAGGCACCTAAATGATCCTTCTTGTCTTTTGAGACGACAGAAGAAGCTGCTGCTGCTGCTACTTCTGCTTGGATTTGTCTTTTCTTGGAGCTTTGAGATTCTACGCTGGTGTCATGCTCGTCCCCACCGTCGTAGCCACCAGTGTCAGCAACCACTTGCTCTTGCCACTCTCCAATATCGTCAAATACCACTTTCCCGTCCCCAACCACAGCTTCATAAATGACGGGCTGGGTTCGACACGGACTTTCCAATTCACCATGTAACAGGCTACTACATTTTTTGTCTGCTACTGCTGCTACTCCTGATGCTGCCTGGGGCCCCCGAGCGGTCAACTTTTCAATGGATCTTACTTCAGAAGCAAAAACAGTTTCTCTCAGAGTCAGCGGCGAAGTTGGCGAACTGTTGTTAAGTTTTGGAATGTTTCTACATATTCGATGGTTTTCATCAAACTCGGAACTTGTGGACACCACTTTTGGGTAGTCAAAATTGCCATGAGCATGTCCACAACATCCACATGACGTTGCTCCCCCTGTGCAATTGATGTGAGCCGTGGTACCTCCAAAGGATTGACTATGACTGAGATATTGTTGTCGGCTCCCTGCAAGCACCTCTGTCGCTCTTCGACATGTCGTGTGGTTATTGGGTTCCCAAACCAAACCATGGGGTGGCAAAACAACTTCTGTGCAATTGTTGCTGCTGGCGGTGGGGGTGGTGTTGTTGGAGCTACCACAACACTGGTTATTCGAGTGGTGGGGACAACAGTGGTGGTGCTGCTGTTGGTGTTGATAATAGGGGGTGTGCGAATGAAGAGATTTTTTGCGCATTTTGGTGGCCACGACGGGTAAAACAGAGGGAGCAGTTTCAGCAGCCATCATTTCGGCCGCAGAAATTGTATGTGAAGAGCCTCGATGTCTGCGATTGGCTCTTATTCGATTTTGCGAGTAGACTTCACGACCACCAGCAATTTCTATTCGAGAATCACGGAGACTTCCCATGGAGGGCGATGGGAGAATTTGGGATGATAAATTTGTGTGCCCCTTAATTCCACCAGTAGTGCCGGAAGCTACACGATCACGGATATTTGCTACTGGAGACACGAGACTGAAATCACTCGTGCTGTGAGTACTTTCACCACTACTTCTACTACACCCACTCCCTATCCCATTGTCAAAATTATCCTCAACCGAGTTGTGCTCCATCTTTCGCGATGGTCCTAATAATATAGGCTCGTGTGCTGCTGCAGTCACAGGTTTTGCACTACATAGCCCAACGTTGTCGTTCGGCGGTGGTTTATGCGATGATATCACAGAAGACAAGTTTGACTCTGAAACTCCACACGAAGCCTTGCTTGTCTGACTGGTGGAACTGCGACACTCGGAAACACTCCGAGGCTGATAGTTTGGAAGAATACTGCTGGATATATTCCCACTTTTATTTCTATCACATTTATGGTAAACCTTTGTCGACGTTTTTTGGTGATTGTTTGTGTGACTTTCACAGTTGTTGTTTTTCGAAGGGGTAAATCCAGGTGTGGTTGGTGGATCCGGATCCGTGGTCGAATGAGAGAATAAAGCGTGCTCGGAATGATTTAAAGTTTGGAAACTGTTTGTCCACGAATAATTGTCACTGTTGGCTGCCGGATTATTATTTTCATTAATAAGCTGTGTCTGGTGAGAAGAAAATACGGTAAACTCTTCTGGATTCCACAGGCTTTGCTGAGAAGATGATGCGGAGCTTACTCCATCGTTAAACTGGTTCGAGTTGGAAGAATGTCTCCTGTTTGAGTATTGGATTAGACTGTTGTTCGCGTTCTGCGGGGATAAATTGTTCGAGTTATTCACTACTTTAAGGTTCGAGTTGGGAGAAGGCGAGTAGTTGGTGGACGTCAGACAAAGGTCTGAAGCATAGGTGGTTGAGTAGGATGAAGGAGAGCCAACGAGAGTGGTGACGTGTTGAAGGGAAGGGGACAGTGACAGCGAGGATGCTCTGGGCTTGCACTTGGGAAAAATTCGATTGATGTGATCATCTTCACTCCGATTGTTGTCTATGTGGTTTAGCAGATAACTCATGGCGCTTTCACTCGCACTCGCTTTTCTTCTTGTAAGTCACCACACTTACTCACTGCTAGTCCTCCACTTTTTCGCTGGCAAAATCAAACTCAACCACGACAATGATGATGCGAGTGAAACTGTACATGTTAGATTTACAAGTCTCAACATTTAAAAAAACTATCATGTTCCTCAGTTTCTTTCAATCTATAATTTTACATGATGAATTATTTTTTAAGCTTGATTCACCACGATCAATATACTGATATAGGTTCAAGGTGTAAAATCCCAACAAATCCCATTTTCACTTGAGAACAGCCCAGATAAACTTCTCCCAACAGAACTTTTACCATTGCGCAATTAGTGGATGAAGAGAGGAGTGGATGAGTGTCAAGCAGTTCAGTACTTGTTTTGGATGAGGAGAATGGACGTGGAAAACAACTTCAAAGACTTCTCGTCTGTCCGATCGAGAGCTCTTGTGATGGAAGGATATAGTAGCAACGTCCTACAAAATTACACTCGTTTTTCTCATCCTAAAAATGGAAACAACGGTTTAGACATTAAATGAAGGCATCTTTGAATACTTGTTTTCCAACTAAATACAAATTTTTCTCCATTGTTTTGGAACCGTCATTTATATTCCAGCCATCCTAACTAATGTCTTTGGGTATTTACGAGTATTTAAGATGTCCATTTTATTTATGTGAGCATTATTGTTTCACTTGATTGATTTAAAGGACGTGCATGGATTTACTTTTTTTTTTTTGGAATCAGTCAATTTGTCTACCGCTAGCCTGAAGGAGCTGTCTTTCTCAGGGTATATAATTTTTAAACATGTCCAAAAAGAAAACCTGAAAGGATTTCCGAACCATCTGGGGCTTCGTGAGCTTACGTACTTGCAAACAATTAGGCCCACCTGGTGCAATACCCATACTTTAAGTTTTTATAACACTTGTAATGGGAGCGGCATTAGAGTTTCGTAAAATCTCGCCGATTTCCCATTTTCTTCATTATTTTCATTTTCTCCATTACTCCTAGAAATTGCTCCTAGAAAGACTTGGGCATAATCGCATCCAATCATGAAACAGGACGAGTCGCTCGTCGACTGTTTCGCTCAAATTCCACAAACATATTCTCCAAGAGCACTTGTGCAGTGAGGAAATCAGTGAAGCTGCCAGAGTGAATTTCATTTTTGTTCTCCTCTTATTAGGGAGCAACCTTCAGCGAAGCATGCTTTCCCTCAGCTATTGAATATTAGTGAAGCAATGCATTGAATTAGAATTTGCCTTCCCTTCTTCTTTCAGACATTTGCCTAGTCGGCAGAGATTTCGCTTCGTTGGACGGACTGCCTCCGTGATCGCTTCATTTGGGTTGGAGAAAATTCATGGCTTAACAACCTCACCCGTTGATAATGATAAACCTCTTTTCTTTGGTGAACTATGAGTGAAGGACACAGTTATATCCCTTTTATGTTCCATCCGAATCATCATAAAGGCTCGTTACACTTCAAAGAAACTTGACTGGAACAATATCCCATCCACTTTCCTGTCCTTCATATCCTCCGTTGTCTCGACTCTTGATTGTGTATCGCAGGGTCGCCGTCGCCATTTCTCCCTCACAACATCCCTATTTATAGTATGCATGTACGTATCTACCATCATTCTCCAGCTAGATAGCTGCTCGTCATCCCCATTACAGACAAGAGACAATGCCCACCACCAGCAGAAACAGTACGCGGTTGGCAAAACAGCTTCTGGCCGTCCACTTTAGGTGTCCTTTGTATATTCGTCATTTCAATTACTTTCTTTATAAAGGGAAAGGATAGTGCCCACTACGCCGTATGTCATCCCTGCCTGCCGCAGAGCAAACAGAGCGCATCAAGTTAAACTCAATCTTGTAATCTACAAATGCATGCACGCATCATGAACGTCGGGAACTCATGTTTTATCATGTCAGAACTATGTATGGGTTACTCTCGTCTAGGTATGATACTGCCAAGCAGTTTCAAAATGGTGTGTATACGACCAATTGTAGAAGGAAATGCCGAATTAATTATGCTAATCTTATTTTCATTGTGGTTTTGGTAAATGACTAGTTGAAATTGTAGAAAAGCGTCAGACAATAAATATGTCTTGTAAAGTTCCACCTTAGGTATTTCAATACCGCAATAAGTATATCTAATTATTAGGTGTAATTATTATCAAAGCTAGTGAATAGAAATATTGTACATAATATATATATTTACTGTACCACCTGAATACTAAATACTGATATTTCTCGAACAAATCACTCTGGAGAGTGGAACAGCTTTTTGTTAATTAAAATATCCACCACCAAAATAATTCTTCATGCGAGGTTCTCTTCAATTAAACAGAGCACAAGAAAACCACTTATTTGAAACATTAGCTAAAGAACCAAGTCGGCTCAGACCACCTGTCCCCAACCCACCAACTTTCTCTCTCGTTCACTTTGAGCATTCCTTAGCTGGCATTGAGCCGAGTCAAATGAAGGGGAAAAGTAAAATATACTGGTGCCATTTTAAAAATAAGTCCCACACTGTTGGGCATGGGAGGGTGAGAGCGGTGGTGCATGGTGGTATCGTCGTGGTAGCATTTCAGGAGAAATCATTCCCAAGAGACTGAGAACGACAGGACAACAAACGAAGGAACAAAATCTACTGCTCAACTTCATATAATATTTTCTGCATATTGTAGCAACTTTGCCTGGAACAGTTTTATTTGTACAAAACGGATCAACTTGTAGCTCGTTGGATGGCATATTATTTTCGTGCACCTTGCACGAAAAGGATGTGATACGGCGTAAATGGAAAACCAATGGAGAAAGTAAATATATTTTCTTTATGTCATACGTACTAAATTTGCATCGTTTAAGGTGCAAAGCTTTTTTATACTTTTCTTGTTGCCCGAATGGACGCACACACATATTATTTTAACATATAAGGAAAGCGAGGTTATCATTAAGTTCGAATTAAGTATGAACATAAAAATGGAGGCGTAGTATGAAGTGCCCATCTCATTATTACATGCTTGCTTTTAAGAAAATCAAAAAGAACCAAGTAGAGACTGACTCCAACGTGAAAATTGAAACCATTTAACAATTTAGTTATGCAGGAACTGCATAACTAAAATGCACGCAAAGGGATTCGCCCTCCATCACAAAAGAAATGTTTTACGGTAATGAAGAGAGCAAACTTATTTGATCCGTCTTTCATTATAAGTCATGAACATTCGCCACAGGTCGGGAGAGTGAAATTCCCTGCGCTCCGATTCAGGAGAGAGTTGTTCGCTCAAAGAAACGGAGGCAGCTACGACAGAGAACAGGTATAAATGTCACGGAATACATCCAGTAATCCTAAAAGTACAGGGAAAGTAGTAAAGGTAATAGCATATTTGCAAACGAACATCCTCAATAAACATCATCTCCCTCCCCGCCGACGGAAGGATTTCGGTAAAGGTGAAGAAGAATAGGCCATATGGACACAAGTCAGCGGGATAATGCTACGGTCCGTAAAAGCAAATTAGAGTTGCATTACCTGCTCCCTGAAAGTTCTCAACGCTGTCTTTGCTATCCAATTTCACTTCTTCTTCTTCTTCAACTTGCTTACAATATCCCAATGTCCCACCACGCCACCACATTCGACCCGACCAACCAGCAGCCAGCAATGAACCAGAACACGCAATCATCAGCAGCAGTACGAAGGAAAATAAGCAAGGTACACTTTCCTTCTCGTTCCAGCAGCCTTGCCTCACTCACACCACTCACTACCATCCATTTGCTGGGCCATAGGTGTGGTGGTGAAATATAGAAAATCACAAAAGAAAACGAGACGGAGGCTTAGCTTACGGCTGGTTAAAGTGTAAAGCTGACTTAAGCCGATACGCCACGAAGAAAAATGGAACCAAGGGTTAAGATCGACAAGGTGGTCGTAGATTTCCACTTTCTTTTTTACACCTACAATATGAAAAACCTTGCTCAAATTCCCACTATTTTGCGCTGGAGTGCAGCCTCCTTAATACCTTCGACAATGAACATGAAATCGTACTGTTAACTGAATACACGTCGTGCCAGTATATTATTACCAGTACCAGTACCTGCTACATACTTTCGTACAATCCTGTTTTACTTTTCCAAAATTTATCCGATTGATTAATGAAATTCAACTCACTGCTGGTCTCTCCAATTAGATAGGCAAACGAAATTATGTTCTCCTGACATTTAATCAGACGAAACATTAAATTGATTAATTATTGATTTAGCACTTGTGTACTAATTTTTGGGGTACGCATTTATTACTTTGAAACTTTCACATTTGAAATTGTCGATTTGTCAGCATCCATATGTACTCTGCTGCACTTTATTTTGAGATTCCATATTTTTATCAATTGAAAATGAGCCACTTTTTAACTTGTGCTGGTGTGGGATAGTATGACGCAGGTTGTTGAGAAGAGTGAAAGTAGGCGAAAAAATCAATTCCCAGGGCATATTGTGCATATGCATGTTCTAAAAAGAGAAACCCAAATAATTATACTAATGATCGGAACATTTTTCTGAACAAATTTCAAAACACTTAAGGAATCCGTGACTCGGATACTCCTTAAGAATTGAATTGAATTGAACTCTTGAACCTCTGCGAGTGGAAAATCTGGGGATTTATTTGTGGCACTAGTGGTGTAGATTGAGAAGGGCAAGAGAAGGTAGTGAAATATTGAACAGGGATGAAAGTGTAGTCCTCGTTTTCATTCATCTCCGTTAAGTGTCGTGCTCTTTTCGAGCATTGGTGGTGCCTTAAGTATACGACTCAAACAACCCAACTAATTGCTTTCATTTGAATGCATCTTTAGGCTTTATTACAGAGTATTCCTACTTTTGCCTCATTATTAAAACCTCGGCTATTTTCTAATGCTTGGTAATAGAGAGAAAGGTTTTTTACTTGAATAATTGAATTCACATCATTGCTATAATTAACTAATTGGAATCCTGTCATGGAAAACAATCGGTACATACATACATACGAACATGGGCTGTTCCTGCTGCAAAATCAATCAGAGAATTGACTGTGAAATTTAATCGAATAGGAGTTGAGTGTTAATTATGTAAAACCGTCGAATCAGAAACAAATGCGAAGATGAGTGAATTATCGATCGTGATGTGGTATGGACTCCAAATCCAGCCAATTTTCTGGTACAACGACTCACTGAAGAGTAGTGAAGAGATTTTGCTAATCGCACACTACCAGATGAAATGCCCTTTCTAAGATCATTCACAGTGTGTACAAGTGCGAATAGCACAGCCCTTATATTGGCAGCCAGGCTCAGTTTCAACTTTCACTGTAAATAATAATTCTTTCCATGCTTCAAAGGTATGTATGAGGCATGTACGTTGGGAGAAGAAGAAAGAAACCGCATGATTGAGCTTCGTGTTTACTTTAAGGGCTAATCCGTCAAGATTAACTTTCATGTTTTGAATTCACGATGAAAGAAAATCACTTTGCGACAAATAAATACTTAAGGACAAAGTCTGATGGAGAAAACCAAGTGCATGTACACCAAGAAAATAACAAAGTTTTGCACCCTCAGAATCACAGGTTATGTATAGTTACCGATTTACGTCATCATTTCTCGTGTATTACAAAATATGCGTTGCGTTTCAAGTGTCTATTTCAAATCACTGCAGTAATGATGTTCTTCTCAGTAAGCGAAGTAGAACAGCAGTGTGTATAGTTTTGTAAACAAAAGATGAGTAGAAGGCTACTCCTAAAACTCGGATTCATGGTCTGTTATTCCCGTGATATTTGAATCTTTCAACTTTGATCTGACATTCTTTTGTGTTGGCTATCGTTTCATGCACTAATTCACATGCTACCTTATCCATCATTCAACCCTACATATATTCCCGATTCAAATGTCATCCTTCATTTAACAAGCTTATGATTGCACCATCTAAATCCTTGCTCGTCAAAAGGAAACTTTGTAAGTTTCATAATTTAAACTCTTAGGCATATAAGTAAACGTATAATATAGATTGATACAATTTGTTATATGCAATCGCAACAAAACACTCCTTCAAGATCTATCTCAAAGACACAAACGACAAAAGATTCCGATTACTAGAATTTCTTATCAGGTTTCGAGCTTCCGAATATCCACTCAGGATTAATTTGTTCATATTCAATTATGTGAATAACAAGGCAGACTGATTTCAAACTTTCGAAGAATCTTACAATCAACTCATGAATGCCCAAAGACAATGGTGGATTTAATTAAGCTATTGCTGGCGTCAAACGCTCCAAAAATAAACAAGTATGGTATCGAACTTACCATTGCAATGTAAGTTCTTTTTCTGCCGTGCAGTTCAAATTAAAACAATCTCACCATAAGCAATGCACTTGTCCCGTTGTGTGTTCCGATAATGAACAGCCCGCATGGACGTCCAACTAATGCATGTGGCGTTCAGGAAAGAGAAAATTAAAATCACGAATGCTGAAGAGTTTAGTGTCTTTCCGTAGAATTTAATTAGATTAAGTCACGTGTCACTTAAATTAATTTAACTTGTGCCTGTCGAAGCAAACAGGAGTTGACGACGACGACGATGAAAGTCTTCTACGTCAGCCATCCAGCTCAATGAAGTGAATGTACATATGTATATGTACGTGTGTAAGTAAGTGGACCACGGTGGTGTGTGAGTCAGTTGGTGGGGGAAAGCGATGTTGGAAGTGAGTTTTGTTTTCTTTGAGAAATAGCCATGATGATGCATAAACTCGGAACGGAGAGTGAGTCAGGAAAGAGTTGGGGAGAGAGAGAGCAGCAGTAAAAGCAGACCAAATCGTGCTCCCGTGGCTGGCTGGCTGATGGGGAGCGAGAGAATGAGAGTGGATTTTACACAGTCGCAGTGGAGAAAGTCACTCTCTGTGCGCCCCACCACAGTCTCCGTAAAACTTGTCAGTCCGCCGAGGATGGTGCGGAAGTACCCGAATTATTAGCTTCAGACCTTTCCCCGGCTCCTCAACCAAATAGGCATTTGTCGTCCTAAGCTCCAGCCCAGATAGTTGTAGCATCAACTCAACCATGGAGGATCCATGATACGCGTGGTTCATTTTTTAGCAGAAGGTCGGAAATTCAGGTAATAATATCCATCGCATGAAACCAAGGTGGACAAGTGCAAAGTCAACCATTGTACCTAAGGATCATAATAAATGTGTGTTTTCTCCATGGTATAATCACACGAAGGACGGTAATACCCTCAACACTGGTGCAGCTGAATTCTCCTCAGACCCAAGAAAATCGAAGGAAAATCAGTTAAATCCTACAAGTAGGTACCGACCGACGACTGACTGCTGTCCTTTCGTTTAGCTAAACTTGGATCTACGTCAACTGCACCGTTACTAAATTCAGACGAAACCAACACACACATAACAGGCATACGCAAAACTAACGTCAATATGTACCAGAACTACTGCACAGCGTATATATATCTTTTACAACTGCATGCACTTTTATGAGCTTTTATGAGATTGGGCAAAACCCTACATATGTAAAAAGCGATGATTATAACTTGCATATTAGCCATAGAGCAATTGTTTTAGTACTTCATAGTTCGTACCGGATTTAAATCAAAATACTTTATTGTAAAGTAAATCCATCTTTGAATAATTTCGTGCTTATGTAACGTACATGTACAACGAATGCCATGTAATGAGCGACGTGTGTAGGAAATTGGAATTCGTAATACACTCAATAATAAGCCCATACGATGGTTAATCCTGTATGTATGAATCTAAGGGCATTGTCTACACCTGAATAAATTCCACTTTCCTCGCTTGTGTTTTGAGTGCGTTGCTTTTGCTTTACGGAGAAGTGAAAGCTAAAGGGTCCACCATAATTGGCTGTGGTTGGTGCAGCCTGGACTAGAAGATTCGATTTGACACATCCCGCAACAAAGAGAAAGGGATCAACTTTTGCTTTTCCACCGCAAAGTTAGCACTCACTCGACGATCATTCCTTCCTGGAATCGCTTTTGGTGGATGTAATCTAGATCGGATCGAAAACCGCAGGAGACACGGCATATACAAGATATATGTGTATGTATGTAAGTCGATACTTGTTAGGAATTGGGCTCGACAAATTCTGTATATTTGGACTCAAAGTAAAAAGTCCATCAAAGACACAGAAACTGTCATTAAAAGAATTCTAGCCGTCAGTGTCCATTAGGTAAAGACTTATTCCACGTACTACCACAACATATCTCGTGTCAGACGGTGCTATCCAAGTAAAAAATCATCCACGCTACTGCCACACAACCCACTGATAGTGCCACCAAGAGCAAAACATGTCATCGCAACTATGTATGAACAGTGGACGATCGAGAGAGCTGCAGAGGGAGCAGGATTGGCTGCGACTTGAAGGACCTTCTTGAAATTTAAGCCTAAATTTTTTGTTGCTTTAGACTGGTCGTACTTTCTCCTCTGTCTCACTTGATCCAACATGCGGGCTGAATGGGTGATGGAAAGCAATGGTGTGGCTGGATGAAATACCACATCACACAATACATATCAGTTTACTCACACACAGCCAAGTCACGATGTGAAGTTGTCGTCCAAACTTTCGAATCGAATCCCAACGACATAGCATAGATATCCTCCTCTCATCCTCTTATTTTCCACCCCGTCAATCTAATCCTCATTCCATGCTACACAACAACCACGCTCATAGAGAGTCCGGTTGGACACCATAATGGACAGTCAATTCGACACTTCAAACTTACCCCAACAACACCAAAATTCTTCCATGTGCCATCACCAAACTATCCAATACCATTTTCCATACAACCAACCCATCTGAATACTAACTACCAAGTTGGCACCCAGATAGGAGGAGGGAGAGAGATTGACTTTTACAAAAGAGGAAAAAAAACTTTTTAAACTCTGGTCCACATATGTAATGGCGATTTTTTCAGTAGTTGAAGTATTCAGTCAAAAAACATACGCAAATTCACGAACTTCATGAAAAATTTAGAGGATTTATGTCGACTGCTTTCCACCCGGTCTTCACCCCCGGTCAGGAATTTGCTGTCCATTCCATTTTCTCATTCGCTTTGTAAGGCCAGGCATTTTTTCTCAAATTGTTTAGATGAGAAAGCAAAGAAATCTAAATATTTTAACTTTAAGGCTCCATATATGCAGCGATAGCAGGAAAATAAAAAAGAATCGATTCCACAGTGGTGCACTATTAGTCTTCTTCTCCTACTTCGGACCGGAACAACACTGGTGAATTTATTTATGGATGTACCACTACCGTATCTAGTACATACATCACCGAGGAGAAACTTTTCACTCTGGGCTTCAAATTGTTTTCACCCGATTGTGTGCCAATGTCTTAAACGTTAAACCTTTTCTCGCTCACCAAGAGCAAACCCCGTCGCTATCTGCAAGAATCGTTACTTATTTCCATTCTTTGTTCTATTTGTGAATCACACATATGTAACACGACCAATTCGTTGATCCCTTGCTTTCTCCTTCTATCGCTTCAGTACAGCCAACAGACTTATAAATTACTTACGCAGACCGCGTTCGGCCAAATTGTTCCGCACTCGATTAATCAGAAATCTTGCATAAAGTGGAATTGTGGATGGAAATATTGGTGTAAAAATTTATACTGATGGAAATACTCATTCAGGGGACGACGACAGTGTAAACATTGCTGACAGCAACAATGGTAATTTCATAAACAATCCCGAGTTCGACTATCAACCAACCAGTAACTGTCTCGTTATTATTATTATGGTGTTTCTCATCTCCTCTCTCTTCAAACAAAGTATGAGATTTTTGTGCAGAATGAAACCAAAGATGAATAGCCGTGATGGAGCAGCAGTTACTCTTGTCCTTGTTCTTGGTTGGTATGTATTTATACGGCGAGGGCGAGATAACTAGACGTACACGAATGGGATAACATAACGAACATTTTATTCATGCATATTATTCCATAAAGAAATTCTTCCATTCTCATTTCCTCTTATCTCTGCTGGGATATTTTTATGGAAAAGGAACAGAGAATGTCGTCGAGCGAGATACTAGATGCTTACTGGCTGAATTATACAAGGCAAGATGGATCTTTCCAACGCGCACTGTTCGAGTTTGTCGCCCTGAGTGCAGTGGAATGAGATGTAGAAAATGAATGTATAAGTAAGACTGGAAAAATTATCGAATTTTTATACGACACCTCTTTCCATGCCAAGTCAAACTCTTGTGCCGTTTGTATTGCAGTCTTTGGAATGAATAGTTTAAATGTCACGGTGGTGCGGAATTGAATCAATACATGTTCAATCTACAGTACGTACCATTTCAATTTCAGATGAGAGAAATTCTTGAGCAAAATCCTACAAATTTTCATTGCTTTTTTATTACTGAGGTCTAATATTTAGAATATTAACAATATGCGAATCTCCATTCCAGAATCTGAATTCAAGATTTATGTACCCAACGATGACGCCAGACCAAAAGTCATCACTAAATTTACCAGAAAAGAAATTGTAGTTCACATACTATATATAGTTATAAAATCATGCCTGACAGTGGAGTGAGTAACCTCGCTTATCGTTTACTCACTGGGTTGATTGATTTGGTAAAAATGAAAATGAAGCATTCGAACAGGATAGTAATACCCAGCAAGACTGATTCAGGTATTCAGTCATTCGGTTGAATTGAAGTTAAAGGTTAAAGTTGAATTGAAATTAAATTCCAGCAAACTGCACTTTAAAGTGTTATCAGAAAACGAGGGTTCCGCATGACGCATTCAATTTATTAATTTCACTAATTGGATGAAACCCTCAGGGACTTTCACATGACGTGGTTGTCTCGTGGTCCACGTGAGTGAACAATCTTTTATCGTACTGGGATTGATGGGGAATGTCACGCAATGCTACAATCACAATTAACACTTAATTCTGAGTCAGAATTTCTGGCTTAGAAGAGATGTGAAATAGCAAAGGCATCCTTTCGTGGACGCCAAATTCCATGGTCCAAAGGGAAATCTTGCTACTCAATCACTGCAGAACTTTTAGCTTTATCAATCCTTAAATATATAACTTTTGATTGCGTTTTTTGCTTGCTTCCAACTTAATTGCATACAAAGCGTATTAATTGAATTATTCTGAATTAGTGTTTAGTAAAGACATATGCAGTATGATAGATAGATGCATGTAGCTCTAGGCAAATGACATGAAGATGTTCACAGATTTCAGCAGTATTATTATTAGAGCGACACAAAGGAGATGAGGAAATATGTATAGCTTACCGATCTCATGTCCACTATAATGAGCAACAGGAGCCATCGAAAGGAGAATTAGTCATTGGTAGATCCTCTGACGAGACTTTTTTTTGATATCGCTCCGGTTTTTTACTTTAATATACAAAATTGTAAATTAGTAATGTTACCTGAATTAATTGGCGAGATGGATTAGTTTTAACAACGAAAGTTGTGCAAAGTGGATATGCAATCAGACCGATCGAATTCTTATATGTTGTATCAGTATCTATGAATATAAGACAAACGATCACAAACAAACCTACACGCTAAAAACTCTGTAGTTGCATAATGCATAGCTCATATATCTGACCAAAATAAGAGGGGGAGAGTTCATAAAGGAACAGCTGGAGTAGAATAATTTTTCCTCATTTCTTATAGTAAAGCAACAACAATGTTTAGTAAACAGGATGATTATAGCATCCTAATAGTTATCCGTAAAACTACAAAAATATGTACAAAAATACAAGCTATGACAAGTATCTTCCTGACACCTGACATCCGCCATCATAATGAAATTAATATCATATGGTCTTGTCATGATATGCAATATGTAGCTTATTTTATAGCTTTTTAGCATAATAAGTCACACTACAAAATCATCACACGACAGTCCTGTGAGAATTGATAGTAAGCACATGAATGAACAAAAGTAAATAAAGCAATTACTGCATGTAGCATACCTGTCAATCAAAACGACTGATATGATTGCACTTGTTCCCAATTCTTGTTTACCGATAACAACAAAGTTCAGCCATATCACTGCACTAATGCACTAACCGTATTTATCGGCACACTTCTGCAAATCATAACTTCATCCGGCATTTGTTTTCACGTTTTATACGTTATATGTTTGTTAATATTCAATTGGCTCCTGTTCAAGTTTATCTATTAATTACCCGGCGAATAATGAATACAAATAAGTCTGTTGTAATTAATTAAAGTCACGTTAACGTGCACTTTCATGAGACAGCTCGATATTGATATGATCAGGTTTTTGCTGGATTAATTCACTGTTTGTCACTGCAGCTATGAAATCACATTTTTTGTTATCTGGAAAACAGATGTGCAGATGATGGGTTGATGAACGTCGGAGACTGCGAGCGAGGAGTGAGATGAGACGAGACTTCATGAAACGATTCGTAAATTCCATCTTCCAGCACATTCAAGTGGGCGAAGTGGAGAAAGTCGTCGCAACTTGCCAAGTTTTTGTTGGATGCAGGAAACACGAGATGGCAAACACGGGACATTTATTTCACGCGTATTTAACAAATACCTCTGCAGTATCTGGTTCAGTTTGGGGAAAGTGAAGCGACATTTTCAATCCAGAGGTTACATGTAGATACAATTTGTACGTATGCATATATGAACTTGGTATCGAGATGTGTACGGGTATGTATTCACTATTATTTACGTTATGATCCAGAAAATACAAACAATAGTCCACACTGGGCATACGGTGTTGGTTTTCGTGATAGTATATCATGCAAATATTATATGCATTATAGTATGCATACCACCAAACAAATTGGATTACACTAGAGACAAAATATAATTTTGGAAGGTGGATCTCATCACGGGGTGAGTGGTCCATTGAAAATGTGCGGAACAGAGCAAGCCGTGGTGTGGTAGAAATTGTGTATGTAATTCATTTATAGTGTGATGAATATGCCACAGACGATAAAAACGTCAGTTAATCTGATTTTGGAACATAAAAGGAAACTCCCCAGGACAATTTGGCAAAGGAGAGATCACTATCCTTGCAAGCTATAAGGAGGAGGAGAGAATATGTAGGTGTCATCCAAATATATTTAGAATGTGCCATACCACTTTCGACAATATAATTTAAGCTTTCGGAGTTTACTCACAAAATATTCTATCATACATCAAATGTTGGATAATGAGAAGAAATGAAAATTGATATGGTGCTATACTGCTCAACTCTTTATATTGTCATGATATTTTCATATTACGCCAAAAAACATGATGATATTTATTTGCCAAAGTTCATTCCTCCATGACCTTCACTGTTGAAGGAAATTGCACAAGAAAGCAAAAAGACACGTTTGCTGCCAAGCTATACGTTCCGTTGTGAGTCTGTTGTATGACTAGGTACACCGTTGACCTGTCATTTTTCTCGTTTGAGTGTCGTTTGAGTTTGGACCTGTTTAAGGGTCTAATCATACTTCCTTCTGAAACTCGTATCTGGTGCAATGACTGGATTTTCTTGGATTTATTATAAAATGATAAGAGTTAAATTTTAGTAATTTAAAAACTTGACAATTTCATATTTTTAAACATTTCTAAATTTTAGTCGGTTGAAGAAAAATTTAAAAAAATAAGTTTTCAAATTTTCTTATACTTCAGAAGAAAAATCTATGATAATTTTAAGCTTTTGGAAATCCATTCAGCACTACTAGAGGACAATATGGTGGGTGTCCCTCGCCTCACCGACAGGCCTACAGCTTACCTACTGAGATACACATCTTTATGTAACTTTGACGGAATAATTCAGTAACTTTGTTCGGTGTTTCGAATCAAATTTTATTGATTGAACAGAATCCTAACTAGAATTTAGAAAACGTTTTTGAGATGTAATTCCATACCATCTAGTCAACACATTATCATGTTCAAATATGTAGTGATGCCCGATAGTTCCAAATGCATGGAGTTAACCATAGCGTCATAGATTTATCAATAGCCCATTACATTTATACGTAAGCGTTCTCAATTACTGTGCCAGACAAACTGCAATTCAATTTAACGATTTCCTTCGAGTTTCAATATGTGTGCCATATTTACTGGCATCATCACTGTAAGTTACAATCTGTAACGGAATTTGCTATCATCAACCATAATGTTTAGCTTGAGTTCCAAAATGCTGAAGGATAGACGTTCGATCTGATAAATCTAAAAAATATATATATTTATCTAGCGGTTATAAGAAGAGCACCCATCTTTTCTGGTTATCATGACTCATTTTATGCTTAATGTGGGAATCCCAAAATTCGATTGTACCTCGACCTGAGAAAAAAAAAGTGGATGGAAAGTGGCCAGTATAGCTTCACAATTACTTGTATGCATACATTCATAGATGCATGATACCATTTTGCATAGCTGGAACAATTCCTGGCTCAAATGCATGACCTCCGGGGAGTGTGGTGAATGGAGTTGAGCTCGATCCTCGCCGGCAGCAGCCTTATTGTGAAGCGCCTCGCAAAGTGTCCATGATCTGTGCAGTCCTTGTTCAGAGGTCTTACACTGCAGTTGTTGAGGTGGCGACGGCCGTGGTACCAGAACCTTCCCAGTACTCCAACAACCCACCCACACTCGCCACGCTCCACATTTGCCATAATATGCTCAACGCTTTCACGTCTGTAGCCGTGGAAGGAACTACAACTTATTTACAATGGTTGCTCTGCTCCACATCCATTGTGTGCAGAGTATTGATTAAGCGAAACTGTTAAGTACATATGCCCACGTTTGCATCTGCTATGTGTACAATGCATGCTACTGAACAAGTGGTCTCCTCAAGTATTGCTCAACAATCCTCCGTAGGAATCTGGCAGAGTTATCGTGGTTTTACGTAGTTGAGGAATTTTAATCCATATTTCTTTTCATGGACGATATTGCTTTTTTACGACATTTTTAAACAAGAGACAAGTTGAACATTGCTGAACTATTAAATCCTTTCTCGTTGGAAATATCGGATAAATTCCAAATTCTGTCACGACTAAGCGACGTTTTGGATGTGAGGAAACGTACCGCAATCAGAGAAAGTGTGGAGGATTGGAGAAAGTCAAAAGTAGTGAAGTGGGTAATGCGACCAAGTAAGTGTGGCAAAGTTGGTTGGAGTGATCAATGACGAAAAGTGTGACGTCAATGAAGCAGCAGCAGCAGCAGCAGCTTTTCCATATATTTCTCGACGCGAGTCAGCAAGTCCGCCGCCTCCTCGACTCCCATCCAGACTCTGCTTACTCAACTTCTCTCTCTGGCCTGGTCCGTTTTTGGTAACGGAGGGATCGGGATTAAAGGTGGAGCTGACTTTCTCCTCACTTTTCCTACGAAGGACTCGCTCGAAAAACGGATCATCGGGACTTGACCACGTCTCCAATTGTGTTGGACAACGGGAAATACCTGGCTCATAATAACACAAGAGGAAACAGATGAAAAGGAATCGATGTGCTACACACAAGTATGAGTGAAATGATGGGAAAATAAAATGTTAAATGAAATTCAGCGATAGTGAGAGAATTCCTCTTGAGTCCAAGATTTTGGTCAGAAAGTCTTTGTGATCCATGAAAAGGATGTTACAGCCTTGTGCTGTCTGTGGAGGAGATTCATAGTTTCTGGGAGTAAGGTCGGGGGGAATGGAGAAAGCTGACGGAGAAATCCGAGTCGCCTCGGTCTTGCAGAAACCTTTACTTCGGAGCGAAAGCCAAATCTCTCACAAAATTGGGTTGAGTATTGGACTACTACTACATTCGTGAGGTGTTCTTACTTCACAGGCAAAAGTGAAAGTAGTGACAATGCTCGACAACACTAGTTATCTGGTCAGTGTTTGGCTAAGAAACATCTCACATCCTCCACTTCGATAAAAAAGAGAGGTTTCATCCAGAGCCGTTAAGACCAGTGACATCTTAAGTGATTGCATCTTACAAATTTTAAATTTTAGTAATTTTTGTTACTACCGATAATACTCGTCGCATTATTTGAAATAAATATTATTTCATTGAAAGTGATCTTCCAGTTACAGTTCAACCATAAACATGTGAATATCATAGAATCACATTTGTTTATTTACGTTATGTAAGAACAGGCTTCCTGGATCTGGCAGTTGAATAAAATTAAAATTATGATAATAGCAAAGCAGGCAGAAAATTGCAGACAACATTCGTTGCAATTTTGCTTATTATCACTAGGCTTCTGTAGTACATATATAAAATATCATTAATTAAAACATGAAAATTATATTATGCAATTTAAAAGTCAACTGAAGAATGTTGGATACAATAATTTAATTGTAATGTAAACCACTTTTTAAGCAAGATTACATAATAAGCATTTTTAGTAAAAATTGCGATTTTCATGGAAGAACTTATGAGTGAAAGTACCCGGACAATTCGAGGACTTTGTCCTCATCCTCTAATTATAAAGTAGTAAATTAAACGTGTTTAAATACACACTTTCCCTTAACGATACTACAAATTAAGAGTAGGAAGTTGGAAAAACACGTCAACGACAATACACGTCTAGATTAGATTATTATTGTGTCTTCATAGTTTATCTTGCCTCAACCTTTTGCGTCCATTTAATAGATACAAATCTGGTTAATCTCAACCAACCACGTCGGTACATCAGTCAGTCAATATCACCTTTTAATTACACATATATAATAACGCAATTAGTGTACTACATTATTTAAACACCGCCCAATAACTACTGATCGGAATATCCAAGAAAAATAATTGGAGAGAAGTTCAAGAAATACGAAAATGTATTTGTAATCCTGCTTACTGTTCGACTTCACTAGCGAAGTGAAAGTTGAGCATTGGAAGAATGTCATTACTAAGCGTAACTGGTAAGTACGAAAATACATAAGGAGCGATTACTTGCAGAATTATGAGCAAAATCTTGATTAGGTATAATTTGATTTTCAGTTAAGAAAGCTCAATTTTCTGGAGCACAAGGTAAGAAATTATGATTTCGTCTATTCATAGCACTGTTATTATTATTGCCTTTGGCGGTCAATAGCATGAATTAGTTAATAGTTATGTCTGATTTAACTCAAGATGTCATGTCATGTGATGTTAGATACAAAAATTTCTCTAATATGACACTTAACGTAGCTGCTGCCCACCAATGGAATTCTTATGTTACGCTAAAGTTGCAACACGTCAAATCAACAACGATCCCGGTGAAGGGAGCTAATCCAAGTTGGGAACAGGACTTTCTTTTGTAAGTGCTTTTTATTATTTCTTGTCATGCTCATTATACATCAACCACCGTCTTGTGGTCCAATTGATCAGGCTGTCACCACACAAGTTGTACACCGTCAGCGGAGGATAGGAACTAATAACAATTAGTTTAAGTGCCCTTATTTTTTATCAATACCACCAGATATTTGAGCCTGGTATGTTTATTGGCAAGTAAATCCCGCGTGGGAAGATGGTTCACAATGTTACAATTAAATATTAACCTTTATAAAGGATAAAGGATACCATGTATTTTTTATGTTGTGTGATCTATTTGCTTGGGAACAGTGGACATATTATGCGTTGGCCTTGAATATTTGTACATCAAAGAACTGTGATGTATTTATGGAAAAATGTTGTTAAATTAAAAAATACAATATCCATCCTGCATGGAGGACGATTGTCAGTTTAAGCTCAACAGATACTTTGGCTGGGAGTGAAAGAACGCCTCTAGGAAAAAGGATGGCATGAATTGTTATTAACCAAGATTTTCTTTGAAGTATTTACCCCTGCTACTCATTGATGTTATCGAGGTTTCAGTCTCCTCCATGTTATCTTGGAATTGACGTAAACAGTAGTTCTCCCTTCCGGCAACCCGAGCACTCCAACCTTTGCGTTGAATTGTAATCTTGGAGAAGGGCAAAAGAAACATACTTGAAAGAGGATTTTCTCTGAATCACCTTCCACCTTGGGAAAAATAATATTTTATACTTGTAGATACGAATAGAAGTGGAGCCTCCTCCTACATACATAATATTCATCTCGCTCATGTTTCCAAATCCAGCCTGCTTGTGCTCGCAAATCACGTATCCCTCTCGTTGACTCTGCAAACTAATCTGATATATGTCTCATTTACTCATCTCTAGACAAAATGAAACAAGAGGAAAATATATCCTTATCAGATTATGGGTCGAATTGGCTGACGAATATTTTGACGTGGTTCAACCAAAGGGTTTTTGGTTATGTATACTTATTTAGTAATTGGAATACACCAAGGTTTACTGGAAATTTGAAAAACAAAGGTTTGCCTTTATATATCGAGCTTTATAGTATGAATCTACGCTCATTTTTAAGATATAATTTTAGAAGTAATTTATGTATATTTAAGGTGGCATAAAAATAATCTTCATTTTGATTACATCCCGACATATATGACCCGTTATATGTTTGTTAATATTCAATTGGCTCCTGTTCAAGTTTATCTATTAATTACCCGGCGAATAATGAATACAAATAAGTCTGTTGTAATTAATTAAAGTCACGTTAACGTGCACTTTCATGAGACAGCTCGATATTGATATGATCAGGTTTTTGCTGGATTAATTCACTGTTTGTCACTGCAGCTATGAAATCACATTTTTTGTTATCTGGAAAACAGATGTGCAGATGATGGGTTGATGAACGTCGGAGATTACATCCCGACATAAAGCTTATGCATTTCGATGTAATACTACCACAGGAAAGGTAGTTATTTAATAATGTAAATGAGAAAGTAGGTGAGAAAAGTGATCAGAGTTCGTACACGGAGTCCATGCATAATTCCTGATTTCTTTCCCGTACTTTTTGATACTCGCCTCATTTCTTTACCAGCATTTGCATATTTGTGTTCCTTCCGTCTTAATATCAAAATGATACTGTGACCTGATGCGTAACATTCGTACATAAATTTTTATTTACAAGGACATACAATCAAGGTTGTTGATCAGACAAACCTTGGTTGTATGTTACAATACTCAAACACGTACGTTAATGTAGGCTGATATTTTTTACGGTAGGGTACACAGTGTATAGTGAAGCGTCCCAGAGCATTTCAGTTAGACTTTCTATAAGTGGGATTTTGTAAGTGGGACTTTTCTTTATTACCTGTGATTGATATTCACCGGAATCGAGTTTCTGATTCCCAAACTTATCAGCTGATGTTTTCAACAGGTAATAATATCCATCCAAGGCAAGAATATAATCGTAGCCATATTTACAACGACAGAGCGAGCATACTTCTGTATGTATATTGCTAGCACGGATGGATAAAATAGAATTCAATGTCATCACAATCAATCATGTTGAATATGTAAAGAACATTTACGTTTTTTTATTCATCAAGGCCAATAGTGCCCTCAATTATAAGCAGTCCCATCGTCCTTGCAATGCAGAAACTATGGTAAAAGATAATTTTGTAGAGATAATGTTAAATTAGACTTCAGATGCGGATGTGATACGATGTCAAACTTATTGCTGCTTGAAATAAGTACATATTATGTACGACACGAACAAGTTTTTAGGTAAACTTACGGTTCTGCGTGTGGTATGGTTTGGTTAGTGTGGTGTCTCGGCTTTGAATATTTACTTTGTTCTGAAATGCGGTTACTCCTCCAGAGTAAAGTTTAGCATACAACGAGCAAATGGGATCAATACTCATTGTATTATTTGCCTCACGAGGCTTTTCCTGCTTCCAGACCAATATTTGTTTTTTCCGTGTGTGTGAGTTATTACGGTGTTGAAACTTTACCGTGTTCACCACACCTGCATATTTAGCAACACCACATCTTAAGTGTCTCACTATACACCTTTCAACTACTACCAAAAAGCTGTGAAAATCTATTCAAGTTATAATGGTGAGGATCGGAAGAAGATATACATATTACCCGTTATTAGAATCTGTATGCCAAAGTTACAAGTTTCAAGATTACATTTTACATTATACATATCTAAGATTGCAAGTGGGAAGGGCTCAAGATGAGGAAAAAATGAATTTTGAAAGATTGTTTTAAAAATTTCCAACCCGCATTTGTATTTATTTATTACATTTTTAGTATCATATGCACCCTGGGAATCCTGAAATTCTTCGAAATTAATTTTTTAAACAAGGTAGTTCTTTTTTTCCTTTGTCAGTTTAAGCTCAACAGCCGGCAAGTCCTGCTAATGTATTCCACCTTATTTACAGTTTGTTGGAAACTCTAATGAGCATAGTACAAAGTTTTACGTAAGCATGTACTTTGGACAGGAATTCGTTTCTCAACAATTCTATGAAGATCAAATTTATTCAATTTAAAATCATTCTTTTTACTAGATCACAGCCTGTAAAGTAAAGTTTAAGTTAGTTGTAAGCAACTTTCTTGCGAGCTAAAATTGGATTTGCATTGTAGTTAATTAGTGAAAGCTTGACAATGCTTTACGAGCTTCGAATTTTGTATATAACAAAGTTTTGTAGAATCGATATCCAGATCCTTTTGGGATTAGCAGTTTTTAGCTGAAATTCCGAAAAGCAAGATACACATAAGTGAAAGGTATAATGATTTAATAAAAGAAAGTACTCTAAATTAAAGTAGTCTAGTTTTAGTATAAATAAGTACGTAAATGCATATACGTTATTGTATGTTCCACATTCGGTTACACAGCATTTCTTGACATGAAGAATTATAACTTAAATTCTAGTGGTCGAATTATGATTACTTTACGTTTGATCATTTCATGTTTATAAAGTGACATGATCTTTGTGATTCAATCAATTCCGTTGAATGCACTGCGAATACGCGGGGAAGAATGAAGTGAAAGTTGTGGGAACTTAGGGAACAACAATAACCCGCTGTCAGGACGTTAGATTTGGATCGTTGACTCACGAGAACAAGATTCATCCCTCACTCGACTTTCTCTCGTTGGTCGAGATGTAATCCTTTTCTTTCAAGGTTCTGCAGATACAACTTTTCTCCAAAGTGATTTTCGTGACGAGATACCCAACCATGTATCCCGGCCTGAAAATATATATGTATGTGCATATGTACCTACGCAACTCCCTCGACTTTGAAGTTTGAACTCAACCTCTAAAGGTCATGACGATTAAAATTCGTAAGATGAAATCTCAATCCGCTGTCCCCTTTCTCCTCTCTTTGCGAGCTCTTGCTGACAACAACGAAACCAAAGTGTTTGGTAACGATGAATCTCCAAAGCTTGTGGATTTGTAAAGACTTTATTCGTTGCGGTTTTGATAATGCTAATGCTTGGCTTTTACCTTCAACGAGAAAAAGTTGAAGTTTCTTTGTCCATCGATGGTTTTACATGTGACTCTGACTTCTGATTTGGACGTAGAAAAACATGCAAATGATTGATGACTGCAGATTTGCGGACATACGTTTCACATTGATTCACGTTGTCGTCCTTTTAGTTTATGAACTGAAAATTATCTAACTGTGGCTTTTCCCAGCTTTTCCCAACGTTTAACCACTTCATCAAATTAGTTCAGAGTTGAGCCGTTAACTCTCTGCTTAGATTGCGATTGGAGGGTCTACATAATTTGCATTCCGTCTTTGACTAAGCACACATTCCTTCGAAAATTTTGGTTTGGGTAATGGTGAGACATTTGATGAAAGTGAAGGTCTTATTAAAATGAAGTGATTTTATTCAAACCTGATAAATGTATGCAAAGCATTACATGAAACCTATTGTACATAGGGATAAACTTGTGTTCAAAATATATATGAACACGGGATATAAAAGCTTGGTCATCAGATTTTCTAGTGTCTATTGGATATTTCTTCAATAAGTGGAATTATTTAGGCTTCGTTAAGAAATTTGAAATTTCAACCATCGGAACACGTACACACACCACATACATTCCTTTTACAGGGAAATATAAGCCACAAAATACCAGAGCACTGATCTTGCACCTAGAACTTAAAAAGATAAACTGCGTAACTATGCATAGAGCATTAATACTCAAAGGAAACGTTTAACCAAAATAATATCGACGACCTCCTTTCAGAGCAAAAGTCACCCCAAGGATCTTTCTCCCAACTTGAGTCAATTTACATGTTAAGCACACCACAGAGTTACCATCTTATATCTAACATCCGTTAATTCTGGAAGTCTTGGGAGTTGGAAGTGTAGCTGCAACTTGGTAATATCCAGGTTAGAATGTAAAAGAGTGAGTGGCATGACGCTTCGTTATCCATTTTCTCATCCGTTTCCCCAGTTTGAGCTTTTCGTAACATTTAATAGAGATTCAAGTTACATATGCGCATAAAATTCTGTATTCACATTTTTATATATTTATACTATCAGCTGAGTCGAATGTGCACAGGTTTACCAGTCAAATGATTTGCTTAATTTTTTCATGGACTCGCTGGTCACCATTTTTATGTCCAAAGTTGACAAGTTATGGCTTAAATTAAATACATTGCACAAACAATAATGCTAAATATATATATATATACAGATGAAAATTAAGCATGCTCAGGCCTTGCCTCGAATGTTATAATACGGTTTCCACCACTAGCAAAAGTTTCAAAAGCATATAATGACAAAAGAAAACTTGTCCTGAAAGTGTATGTCAATCTAAAAGTTGTGTAGGAGTGAAGCACTTAAAAGTGCAAAATGCTGACATATTCTCGAGATAATGAGAATTTCGGACGAATGGCTTTTTCTTTTGCGCAAATGCTGTGCGGCCAAGTGCAGATGGTGGAAATCAGATTGGAGAACAATTATGGCTTCCTACAGAACGTAACTTAATTACACCAAGGTCAACATTTGAAGTAAAATTAGGTCAGCGAAGCGTTAGTGTAAAAGACATTTTGTCACAGATGAACTTGCCATGTCAGAGAGAAGGAAGTCTTCTACATGTACCATGGAAAATTGAGAACATTTCTGTGCAAATTAATTTTGTTCTTCACATTAACTTCAATAAGTTATAATTGTAGCAATTTTCAAAATTAATAGTGTCAATTAATTCTCACATACGCATATGTATCGACTAAAAATAATTGTATTTTAGTATTCAAATCGACATCAAATGATTCTTCATTGTAAGATAACTTTTGTGACAAGCTTTATTCCGATTTCCGATATGTAAGTAAAATGGTAGAAGAAACTCGAGTTAAACATTATTTCCTTGAGCTTTTGAGCAATGAGGAAGGTGTCATTATGTCCACGTCATGTATGTGGCTTACCTTTTTTAGTAGTTGAACTTCAAGGTGGTAATTTTTTAAGCACAATCTCAATTCAAAATTTAGCAACTGAACCTTCTAGAGAAAGCTATTAGATTCATATAAAAAGTGTCCCAAAAGGTAATCCTACAGGACTTTATGATTTTCCGAACAAGCTTTTCATTCCGATCGACTATAGAATCAACTTGTAGGTGAATACTTCAAACGTGTTGGTATATGCATTTCATATACATTATGAAATATAAAGCTTACACTGGAAATCTAAATTATAATCACACAGTTTGACATTTTGTACAAAGTTTATTTCTGTCGGCTTTGCAGTCGAGTTCCTTTTCATGCAACAAAGCGCTTTCAAATCTCTGTGAATACAGGCATTTACTGGATTGAATGTGATAAAAAACCTGAAACATGTCCATTAATTTCCTAACTTCTAGAGTCAGTGGCATTCATGCTTTGATGGTGCAAAAAATGAGCAGTGGTTTGTCCATCATTCAGGATTAACAAATTATTTGTATTATTGGTTGAGAAAGCTTAGAAATGGAAGGGTATCTACAAAAGCAGGAGCGCCTTGGAAATTTTGAAGCCTAATGATTCCTAAACGATCAAGTACCTAAACGTATAGTATGAGATGACGGTATTATTTTTTTCGAAAACGATGTTTCTGCAAAATATCAGTCATAAGTATATCGTCTGTCAGAGTTGATCGACCATCCATTTGGTTGTATAGTGTAATCCCTATTTAGACATGTATGTTCGTGCTTATAAATCACCAATAGTCTTTCATCTACATACGTAACACCATTCAATTTATGCCGAGTTCTGGCATTTTTCCTTGCAATAATGTTTTCCTTTTTGCTTGATGTCATGCACTTGTACTTTCTTAACTATTATGAATTTACTTTTGGTATTGATATTTTCCACACAACGAACTTTTGAAAGCATTTGTTAGATATTTTTAGTCTACAAGCATCTAAAAGTTGAAAGACTGCATTTAAACTATAAAATTGTCAGTTGGCATTAAGAAGTATTTTTCATATTGTTTAACGTCACATCTGTTTGGTGTCGAAGTAATCAATAGTCCTTTCAAACAAGTACATTATCATTGTCAATTAGAGGGTGGTTGATGTTGCCTTAATTCACACAATGTAATTTTTTAATGGGTTTGAATTTATGTTACAGCGAAGTAAACAACTTGGACGCCGGGTTGCTGATCGAGGTATGTATGGAAAACATTTGTTTATATTTATACGTTAGCTAATAATAAACTTGATTGTAATACAATAATACAAAACGGGGACAAATAATTAGTTAAAAACAGTAAATGCTAATAATATTGTCCCAAATAGTTCTTGTTTATGAATCCCACACATGACCATTTAAAACTCGACTCACCTTGTTCAGAATTCCCTTAATTCTGTTATAGAAGGTTGAGTTCAAAAGGTGCATCTGCGTCAGTAGTGACAGCGAGACATTGAAAATGGATGAATTGGACTCTTACTTAATATTGATGAAATCAGGAATGTCTCCTCTAATCCTAAGCGTTAAGCAACCTCAGTTTCAGAGAAATTGAGGAATCCATTTGGCGTCCTTTACGGTTAGATTTCCATTAATAATTATTACGTTCTCTTATAAGGTATGGAGCAAAGGAGTCATCTGGGATCGGGGTAAGTACGACAAAATATTCATCCTCAAAGTTTTCGTGTAGGATTTTTTCCTCTTTTGTCATTCAATACCGAAAAAAGTTTGCTAGCCTTATGTACTTTTTGAGTAAAGCTTGGATATTTCTTATGAATATGATCAATGATCATCCAAGATCTGTAGTAATGCCATATAATGCCATTTATAATCATATCTCTGCACACGTCGTTGTTCTCATCACGTCGTTAGATTGGTTTGATCTCCATAATTAATAACCTTATATTTGAATTTTTATAGCCGTTGGGTACCATTGGCTTCATCTGAGAGACATTCAGCACTCAAACATGGTATGTAATTCAACATTAAAAGCCACGGCCCAGGCATACAGTTAGCAGTAAATACTGGGAGAAAGCACACAATACGTGACTCTACCACTCTTGCTAACAGTTATGTAGTAATTGTATGGTAGTCATGTACAGATAGTCACTAGTAAAAAAGCGTCCGTCTTTGCTGAATTAGATCATATTTATTAATAAATATTCGTTTAATTGATTTGCGCATTCGTGACTTGTTGTAAAAGGATGCGTTATCTGTTCCATGACCACTTGTTAAAAATCCTATTTGAATATAATTCAGGAGGGAAGTGGCCAATGGCTACCCTTGGAAGCGGATCTTGTGATGAGAGATGGCGAAGGTAAGCCACATTCGCGTATTTTTTTAAATAAATACTATAAATAGTCACTAACTTTTATGTTGAGCAATAATAATCCGATAAAAATGTGTTCATATTTTTCTATGGCGAAGTCGTAGGGACCAAAACACCAACTGAACATGCAGTTCTAATCGATGCGAGATTTGAACTCCCATACGGTAAGCTTGAAATTACGTATTTAAGGGTCCATGAGACAGATTGTGCATGATATTTATTTTATGCAGTTTAACGTTAGAATAAAACCACAAACTGGACACAAAAATAAGACGTCAAATGTTAATGCATAGCTCATTCAAACATGAACTAATCGGACATCTTCGTCTGTCAAATGCGGAAAGTACTCAATTTAGAAAATTGGAAACACAATCATTTCTTTTTTGAAATCAAATATAACCATGTTCATTTCCAAGTATTCATAAATTTAATAAATGGTTGCGAAGGTCATGGTGCACACGCTAATATTTACAACATATCAGGCACGAAATCCTCTCATTTCTTGAGATGCTATTACTTCGTCCAATACCAGTTCTTTCTTTCAAGATTGAACCATAAGCCACGGTTCCGATATAAATATTTCTGCATTTGATAGTCTGCTACGTACGTTAATGTGTTAAAAGAGTGGAAAGCGAGTTAATACAAAACAGACCAAGACATGAACCGACTGCAGCTGAAGGGCGGATCGTCGTTCGTGGTTGCAATATGCATTTTAAAGCGTGAGAATTGAAGTGGGCCGGTCTCTGACATGGTTAAACTAAAAATCATGACGCAAGAAACTGCATTTCCCGTTCTCCAGCTTTCTCCCAAACTTTCTCACCTCATAATCACAGGTTTTGTTCGAACTTAGTATAACTCCACTTTCTCTTTTCGCAAACCATTTATAATACGTGTTTTCTCAGACGCGTGTAACACAAGCATTAATCTTCTCTTAGAGCTAGCTTGGAAGTGCACAAAAGATTTAAAACATGCTGTCCTTAATGTACATGTGACAGACAATCTGTACAGATTGATACATACTTAATTCATGATAAATATTATTGGTAATGCTGTGTGCTACATCTGAAAAGCTTAGGTAAACGAACTGAAATTATTTTAAATTCCTCCGGAATAAAAATAGTGATAAAATTATTATCCTACGTGTTAATATTTTGATATTAGATTATTCCGGCCTGGTGCAATATTAATAGTATTGTGGGCACGTGCTTGGATTTTGGTTTAGCACAATTTGAAACGGCAGAGAAGCAGAGAATGGGGCTGCAAATTTGAGATTTCAATTTGCATCTCACTTCATGCATGTTCACATCTTTAATTCCGGATGAGAACTTAATATGAGGAATTCCACTGGTCTGAATGAGTGAATGAGTGAGTATGTATGCATGCAGATAGTAATGTAATTACGTGGTGGGAGGAATACCTACATAAAGCAGTCATTCTTTAAACCACTTTGCATTTTCATTAAAATGATGCTTGCGTCGGCGTAAAGAAAGTGATTTCAATACTTAAAGAATGCTTTTATTTTGTCTATTCTCGGTCAACTCTATGGATTTGACGCTACCATCAAACGAACCTAAATTTTATCATTTATCGACCGGAAATCTATTGTGCATGTCAACCATCCGTTGATCTTTATGCATCCCATGCAGCTAACGACGTGGAATGTGACGAGGCTGTGGAGTTACAGCGAAAATTAGAAATGCTCAATTCAATGCTGGACCAAGAGGCAAGGGTTGAACAGGCCAGGAAACAACACCAGTACTACATCCAATGTGAGTGTGAGTGCAAACTCCTTACCTTTTATATTCCATATTCAATTCGATTGACGACGACATTTCCCACTCACGGACGGATGTGAAACTTGGCAACTTCATTTGCGTCATGGCAAGCATATATTCTGAGCTATTTTAAGGAGTTAATTAAAATGGTAGGTTTCGGTCCTGACAAAGAAACCCTATTTCAAATCAGAAATGTCGAAACCAACAGACGATGATGCTAATGATTTCCAGATAAACATAAATACATTGCATACAAATGAAAGAATTTCTTTGTTGTCATTTGTTAGTTGATGCATAGTTATATTCAAGTCAAAGTGAAAACAATTTATGCAAATTCGGAATTTCCAATTCAGTATTTCAGATCTCTTGTTAAACCTAAACAATTATTTAGTCTGTTCTACCAAGTATTCTATAAAAATCATCATAATATCAGCGCAAATAAATTGTATAATAAAGGCCAGGACCTTGAAATCTGAACTGAATGCGCACGATGATGAAACGCTAAACAAGTTCTCATTTCCATATTGTGAAATGGGTCTCAATTTTATTTATTGTGAAAGTTCCCTGGGAAAGGACTCACAACTATGTAGCAGTTAATTTCATTGGTGTCAATCAAACTGTGAAATTGACACCATATCGCGCACTCCAAATCTCAATGTATTTGCATAACATTTGAAGGACACTGTTGGGCTTTTTATTAGTTTGTGATAAACAACAAAATCAACTATTTTTTGACAGGAGACTTATCAATTCTAAAATCCTGTCAAATGATAAAACAACAAATATACAAATATAAGCATATATTTAGGTTTGACTTATAAAATGTAGCCTATAAAGTAGAGAGTTATTAACTTTCTTTTATCATTGTACTTACTGCTTGCCTGCACATGTGCATACATAATTCAGGATTGTACATATTTTTATCAGAAACCCAATTCCGCAATGTTCATCATACTCAACAAGATAACGTTTATCAACCATGTAGTAGTGCAGATGTTCAGGGTTAATACAATTTTATATAATTCTTTGTACAAGTATGTACAGGATTTTAAGAGGTCTTACGATCCCCGATATATGTATGCACATAAATCTAAGCATAAAAAGGAAAACACTTTCTCTGACATTGTCAGGCTCGGGTTGTACTGTAAACATTTTTTGTTTGGGTTTGACGAGATTATGAGTTGAATGGTTTATGAGTAAATGCCGCTGAATTATTTATGAAACTCTGCATGTAGGTGAAATAAGTTTTCATCCTTAGCAAGTGACGGTATGTACAAACGAAAGACTATGCATTTTCTAAAAATCTGCCAACTTTTAACATGGTCATAAAAATATAGACAAACACTTTAGAAAAGTGAACCTCATACGCGCATATCATATATAAATAAGTCTTCATACGAGAAAGTATGCTTTCGCGACTGCTTATAACAATTAGCTTTTGGCACATCTGCAAGAAGTCTAGCTAAGTTATGTCAAACACATAAAAGGATCTCTGGACTTTTTCTGACGTCATGCTGAATGTCAATTTGATTTTCCACTAAGGAGTCCACTTTTCTGGTAATAGCTGAAAAAATCCAGCAATAGATGCGATAATCGCACATGTTTTGTACTTGATGCTAAGCACATGCACTACAATTGGTGCTGCAGCAAAATAATTTACACTACCAACCAGCCACTTTGCTGTGTTACAAAGGCATTCTAACAGGAGTTTAGTTTCAGGCTTGACGAAAGTTTTTTGATCCGGAAATGTTTACAAAAGCAATCAAAAAATGTTTCACTGGTATTTTCTGTTGTGGTTTTAACAATTCAGAAGTAGAATACTACAGTCTACAAGCTGGTAAGGCTTAATTAACTATCAAGCACGTATAAATTCAAGAAGTTTCATCAAATCCCACAACGTCGTGTAATTTGAAACTCTATTATAATTAGTAATTTAATTTCTGAATGAACAACTAGTGCATTCGTTGAATAAAATCACAGCAGTACCCACGGTGGGTCACTAAATTTTTCAGAATTCTACGAACAGACAAACCAATCAAGGAAAACCTAACAGAAATCTAGACTGGATATGCATGATTTTCTTTCTGTAGGATGAAATCAAACAGTAAATTTAATTTTCTCAAATCCAGGTTGAATATACACCAAATAAGTATATTTACTTGCAAAAAAGCACACTTCAAATTTATTAATTTAAAATTGATACGGAATAAAACAAAATTACGTAGATTTTCATACTTGTAATAAAGTTTGAACCTTTACTACTTTTACAGCTGGGGTTTCGGAGGACAGCGACTACACTTCAGATGTCAACTATCCAATCGGACAACATCCAAATTCGTCAGCTTCCCAATTTTTATCCGCAGCTAACCAACTAACCACCCCTCAAAGATCTTTGAACTCAAGCAGGGAAAATTCATATGAAAAGGACGATGATTATTATCACCGCACCGCAAACGGATCTAACCAGCAGCAGCAAGGTCCTTACTACCACCCTCAATATCCACAATCCCACGGGAGAAAGCAACTCCCCACAATCCCTTCGCAGCAGAATGTACCTGGGAACCGCAATCCCAGTCGGCGAGGATACTGGGAGGAACCCAGAGACGCAGAGACTGATCAACCTTTGTACTACAATAGCAGGCCTCAATCAAACTACAAATCGTACGGGTACTTGTCTTCCTAATAATATGCTCCATTTCTCCATCACTCACTCTGTAAATCTGCTCCTCTCTATCTTTGCAGGAGATATCGGAGGAGAGGTTCTTGGGAGGATGAGTAAGATGAGGAGTTTCATGGTTAAAAAATAATGCTTCTTGCTCATTCTTTCTTGATTTTTTTTAGGTTTAACCAAAAGAGACCAGAATATGCCAGTCAACAATACAATGAAGATTATGACAATGCTCAAGACTACTCGCAGCCTTCCCATAACTATGCTAAACGCCTAAGTGAGCTTTGTACACACTTAAAACGGACACGTTAATTAGTTTGCCAAGTACTTCATGATAAAACTAAATGTTTGCTGATTCCTCGCAGAAAATAATCGTCGAACGAACTCAAGTCTTGAACGACAATACACACTGTACGATGGAACCGGAGATTATGCAGCCGACGAAGAAAGCCACGAAGTAAATTCTAAAGCGATTTCCTATGACGAGCCGTCGTCATATTCGTCTTACGCTCAGCCTGACAAGAATTCCGTCTACAATGATTATAATCAAGACTATAGGTAACTATTTTTTTGTAATTTTTTGTGTGATACCGTCATCGTCCCATAATTCTTAAACTGAAATTTATATTCATAGAATAATTGCTGCACAAATTATCAAATGAATTAATATTTGCATAAAGTCAGTATACCGAATGGTGCAGATTGTAATGGCTAAATCGCGTGCATGAAATACGAAACAGCTTTCTAGTTTTGATACTTTCTGAAGTTACGTCAGGGAAAAATATGCAAACTTCCGAAGCCGATTCGTCTCTGGGCAAGAGAGAAAAACTGAATTGACATTGAATAAATCATGACTTATGTGCATATAGGTAACCAGCAAGACAATCAATCATTATTACGATTTTTTATTTATGTTGTTGCAGTGAATACTCTACCGAGTTGAATTATAATGACGGATACACGGACAACAAAATCTCAGCATATGACCCCTACACCAAGGACACTAGGTAAATTGGTACATTTAAGTATTAAATCTCATCAGAACCACAATTTCTATTTGTGAATTTGTGTTTATTAGTTACGGCTACGATGTGGGAGGAGATACTCGGGACCATTATTCCGCGTCCTCAAAGTCTATCAAAGAGCTACCGACCCAAATTTCAAGTCATTATAATGAAAAGAGTCAATTGTCCTCCCAAGCCCCTTCTCCTTACACTTCACAGTCAACAGTGAAGGAAATGTCCATCGCACCCAATACCGTCCAGTCTTCTGTTTCCAATATTCCACAAGAATATCCTTCATCGAATTTCATAATCAATTCTGGCGATTATGGAAATGCAGAGGACAGTTTTTACGATGCCTCCTCAAATTACAACAATCATGTCCACGTAGATCACTTGACCACAAGTGGAGGAACTAACACAATCACTAACGTCGCTACTACCATTGCTACTAATGAAAATAATGATCCTTCCGAACAATATATGGATGCGTATGACAAGCAGACAGGTTACGAAGATTGGGAGAACTATGGTTATTACGACGAAGCTGGAAATTATATTGAATATGATCAAAATTCTGCATACTATTCGGAGGAACCTGGTAGCTCCACCCAGCCAGCCCACACTCAAGTCCAACAAGCATCAGATATTACAGAAGAACCGTATTCTTTGTACTATGATCACAATCAAGATAGTTCCGTAACTCAATACGATACCCAATACGACCAGACTGTGCCATCCACCGCCACATCCGTCGCCCCCGCTGCCGTAACCACCACTACTACAAAAGTTACCATTCATCAAGAGCCAAGTAATTACAACAAACAGTATGATTCAAACTTTTATCAAAGTTCCGCTGTAGTTGGAGATGATAAAAATCAGGATTATGACGATCAGCCAATTATTCAAGAGGAATATGGCACGTATGATCAAGATGGGTATTGGTATGATGCGACCGAAGATGCAAACTATCCGATTGCACAAGCGGAACATGGGTTACCAGACGTAGCCCCTTTATCAAGTAAAGGGCCATCCAACGACGAGTACAATTATGCATATCAAAGTGCCGAGAATTTGACGAGCTATGAACCAAGTGTGCACCCTAAGCTGGACCATGCTGAATCTGTATCTAGAAGAGCAAGCTTCCGACGTCAGGCCTCAACTCGAAGTGATTACACTCCTCATGACGGAACCCCAACTTCCGCTTCGCAACCGTTTATCAAGGATGCAAATCATGTCCCAACAGCAGCGCCTCACGCGGTTCCGACCACGTCAGCACCACCCACAACCACCGCCACCGCCACAGCAGCTGCTGCTGTTGTGGCAAGTAAATTCGCCTCAGAAATGAAATCTGCCTTACCACAACTTTCTTCATTAACAAAAGGAAAATCTGATTTGTTTTCGAGTGGATTCTCCAAACTTGGAAACTTTGTTTCAAATGCTGCAGCAAAATCTGGAGTTTCCGTCCCTCTCATGAATCAGAATAAAGATGTCAATAAAGAAAGCCAAAAAATATTACCGAGCCAACCCACAGCAATACAACCCGCTCAACAGGTACCTGAAATATCAGTTGACCAAGGCTTTGGTTATCCATTCGATGACCAACAGCAATATCAGCAATACGACAACTGGGAGGAGCATCCTTACAATGACGAGAACTACAACCAGTATCAAGACAACACGAATCAAAACAATGAGGAGGGTTATGAATATTATGAAGGGGTCGAAGGAGAAGGCGATTTCAACAAGCAGGGTCCAGTGCATATGGACTCATTAGAGTCAAATCCGTCCGAGGGGGCAAGAGATGCTGAGGATCTCGAAGCCGAATATTGGCAAAAGCAACAAGAGAGAATTGCAAAACAATCTGCACTTCAAACACAAGAGTCTCACGACATTTATCCAAAGTCCAACGTCCTACAATCAATGGACTCAACGGACGACAAAGGCTTTCTCTTTAGTCAAAATTCGCTCGACACTGAAGAATTCCTTGAGCGACTTGAGCAACAAAGTGGTGGACAGGCGCGTCCAATGTTAAGCAAAAAAGACACTATGAGCATGAGCCTTGACCGATCTGAGAGTATAGATCAGCAGACTGATTACGGTGATGAATATGACCGTCAAGACAGACAAGGGTCATTGGAATCTGGCGAAGGGGGTTACCCGATGTCACCCCCTCCACATCCGATGATATCAGAAGAAGACGAGATTATAGAGGATGGTCACAGGAAATCCTCCTTGGAGATTCATGGGAAAGAGAAAGGCAGCAAAAGTGTGTCCTTTGAAGAGGAGCCACCCAAGGCGGTGCCCGAGAGACAAACCAAAGGGATGAAGCCCAGAGAAAAGTGGCTCTGGGCAATCAATAGGATCTGCGCCAAACTAGCGGTAAGAACATAACTTTTTTTTTAAATACCTTTCATTTGGCTTTTGCTTCCGCGGTCAACGGTAATGCAAGTTGACTGCAAATACGCCCCTTGAAGATCTTGACTTTTACACATCTGTTCCATGACATAATAATAATAAAAGTTTTAAACAATGGTGACATATCTGTCTGCGAACTACTGGCAAACATTCTGCTACCATCAACAAAGTGATATTGGCAGATATGTGCACACAGAATGGTTGTTCTTAATTTTATCCAACTGGTGGTGGCGGTGGTGGTGGTGTTGAAAGCTAATCGTCACATAAACATAAACCTTTCTCCTCTATATGGTCGGGAATAGCACCATTTCCCGGATGCACGAAGAGCTGCTACTGCTGAAAGATAGTGTTTTGCAACCTAGGCGATCTCATTTTTCTCCGAACTGTAATCTCCTCCTGCTGAGCCTCGACACTAAAGCTAAGCCATTTCCACCGGAAAATTACATTAGGCCACCTCTTCATTCGATTCTATTTGATGCCATGCTGCTACTTCGTCTGCGAAAACGTCATGCTTTAATAAGCTTTCAGCCCCGCGTTAACTGGAGCAGTAAGGATACAGAAGTAATTTAAGACCAACACAGTCACACAGCTCTTCTCTTGGATGCATATTATGCCGCGTCATATTGTATTGTATTCCTATTATACGGGAGCTGAGTAGAAATTGTACGTCTTGTCATCAACACTTGCGAATATTGTGATATTATCACATCACGCTATACAAATGCTACGAACACACAAGTGATACATAACAAAACCAACTTTCTCATCTTCTGTATATGTATGTAATACTTGCAGAAATAAATCATTACAAGTTGGTACTATGTATGCGCATCTCTTAAGCATGCATAATATGAACGCTGTTGCCCACTCTTTGTGGGTTTGCTTGTCAAGCTTTCCTACCAATATGCAGTACTTGCAGATTTGAACATCTATAAAGAAATGGGTAGCTGTTCTGCCGTTGGTTTGCAAACTGTGCTTTGCGGCGATATGGTTAATAGTTATAGTAACTCTGTAGTACGCGAAATATGTTGCGATCCCTTATTGACACTTAATTCGACCGCATTCATGCTGGCAGTAAACCTTATCGAATCCCAGTGATATGTCTCCATGTGGCGTATCCGTAGTGAGGAGATTCCAAAAAATGCTGCAAATGACCTCGTAAATCTCAACGGGATAGCATTGGCAAATGTGATGGATATCTCTGAGGACATGAGAACTCCATAAAAGCCCTTATTATTCGGTGTAAATGCAACAGTTTTGTTCTGGCAGCACGATTTCGAATTTGGTCACTGTTCACAAACATACAATCACAAGCAGTAGGAAAATTGCGCATTTATTTTTAATTTGAGAATTAAAAATAATCATTCTGCAGACTAGCGGTGCATAGTTGAGCAAAACAGAAGTGTATAATCCTCTTGACCGCATGATAAGTATGCGTGGGTGCAGAATAAATAAATTTAATAACTTTGCGGTCGCGTTTGCGGTTACCAAATGCATGTTGAATAGTGCGATAACATGTGTGAAATTTATAATAACTCTCAAGTCAGTAATACTGACTCAGTATGTTAGCAAGTCTTTAGAAGTTGTTGCCTATAATTGGGCATTACAAAAACATAACAGATGTGCCCTCGGCACTTTCAACCCGTACGTTATAAAATCTGAATTATTCTCAAAAGTGCTGAATAATTTACGTCAAACTTGTTATTTTATGAATATAATAAGTGCATACACCTAGATACGTAAGTGCATTGTGTTGTATTTAATACAAAAAGTGTTTTACCGACAAAATATTTTATATACAATAAGTATGGGTTCAAAGTTGACGAATTGTTTCAATTGTCCAGCTACATATGCGTAATATGTTGAAAACGTGAAAGAATAAATACATCATTGGAACTTGTAAGTCTGGGATCAAGCAGTGAGATAGAAATATTAAAAATCATGGAGAAACGAAAGTCACAATCAGATGAGAAACTGACAGCGTCCAAGTTCAGCCTGGATGAAGAAGTCCCAGACATGTATCGGCTGGACTTTGCTCTGCTCTCTCCCTTAAAAGTTTCACTCTTTCCAGCAAAATCTTTCCCTTCAGTTACTGAGTGTGGGAACCGAGATTCCATTTTGCGTTTAGAGATGAACGAAATTGATTTAGGGAAGAGTTTTCCCTCTCACGACCAAGTAAGTCCCCCTTTCGAGGAAAGAACGATGATGCAGCAAAAGGAAATGACAAGTCGTCTTGGATCAAGTGAAAAAATACGTCTTGGGCAAAACCATGAGACGGTATTTGGGCATATCAATTCACCACCAAATCAAGAGCCAAAAGTGGAGGCTTTGGTGATAAAACGAGTAAAACAAGGCAGCCTCATACGACGCCGTTCCAGCAGCTTACCTGATATCGATCGGATTAACTTGCCCCAGCAGATAATGATGGGAGCAGATGTAGATGCTGACTTTATAAAATCAGAATTAGACATTTTCAGCCACATTGAGGATGAAACAAGGAGCACATTGCCAAATAATGGGAAAAACAGTAAACCTCTTGATTCTCTCTTCAAAAGTAATACGATTTGTGCAAAAACGTACAGCAGCAGCAGCGCTAGTTTGTCCTTTTCCAAGAGAAATGAGAATTACATGTATTTGCACGGAAAACCATTAGCAGGCGTTCAATCTTTGCCAAGAATCAACAGGAGTCCAACGCCAAATGACACATACAGCAGAAAAGGCGGTTCATCTCCCCTCAACATTCCTTCAAGTCCTAATAAAAGTCCAAGCAAATTAGGAATGTCAGGAGCTGAAAGCACGGGTGCCGGAAGTTTTGGTGATCTCATGAATTTGTTGCAGTTTGGAAGCTGTAGAAATTCGCCTACTAATTCTGAAATTTTGGCAGCTGCGGTACCACTTGAGACGGTGACAACAAGAAGCCCAATCACTTCACACCGAGTGCTCGGAGAAGCTCCCTCAACCTCCTCAAATTCTTCATCCCAAATCTCCATCACTGGCTCCTTCTTCCAATCTACGCCTCCTTGGATAAGCAACAGCAGTTGTGCAAGCACTTTGTACAATGGGGCCGTGCCCAGATTGAATATTTGTTCGGCCGAGGATGAAAATGATGTGGAGGGCTCCCTCCAAAATCCCCTCAAACAAGGGACTTATGTTTATGAAGAGCAGCATGAGAAACGAAGCAGGACAAACAAAAGTCTTCGCCACCGACTGTGTGCGGTTCAAGGAGTTGATGAGAAGGATGGAATAATTATTACGACGCGCGAGTCATTATCAAGACCATCATCCCAATCCAGCCCATCTCCATCTTTATGTCACTCTTCCTCTGAAACTTCCATCGAGTCGGCAGCATCGTTTCGAATCCATTCATCACATTCTGAAGCTAATCTTGGCACAATTCCAATGTCCAGCAGTTGCTGTGGTGTGAATTTGAGAAATACTCCAACCCCTACAAGTCCGCCATATGAAACCAGCCCATCGTTGCTTTCAAAGGTTGGGACTCCTGAGGCGCTGGATTTGCAGCAGCCATGTCAAAGTCCTAAATGTCCTCCTCATTTCTTGGGGGCAGCAACGGAAATTGAACGAAATCGTAGTCGTAAACCTGAAAAGAGTCCCAAGAGCCCTCAGAGGATTGATCGCTCTTATCTGGCCAGAAAGAACGGCGTACAGAATAATAACATAAATACGATTGCTGGTAAAGATTCATCCAAGAGCGGCTCCAACGAGTCTTTCCCAAAAGTGAAAGCAAGCCGTTCAACTTTTTCACCAGGTAAACGACTTGGAAAAATTTTGAAGACTCGGACTCCCAATTGTCAAGAGCATGTCAAATCTTACGACACTGAAAATAACTCGCAAGATTCATTTCGTTTTGATGGGAAAAACTCGGGAAGAAATCAGAAAGTTCTGCCAACCGTGGAGAGAGCTAAGCGGTTGTCGAAACTCATTCAACAAAGGCAACACACGCAACTTCAGTTTTCACTCAACATTGCGATGGTGAGAGGGCTCAATTATATTTCATTCCAGATTCGTTGTCTTTCTCAAAGATTATTCAAATTGGATTTTATACTATCATGGGAAATCAAAAAAGCATGGCAGAATTGCATTTGCCCCAAATTTCGACTCAATCATCCTCAGCTCATACTCAAACACATACACACATATGACTACCTAAATATGTATGAAATGTATAATATGAAGCTCACATGTGCCCTTATTAAGTATTCAACTCACATAACATTAATGACAGCATGTTATGCTTATGTATGTATAATTATACTGCTGCCCTAATGTGGTCAGATTTTGAAAACGGAAAAAGTAGAAACCCATGTTTTAATGTCACAAAATAATATTAACTGTCATTTTAATCATCAATTTGAAAAATATCACGAGCAAAATACTAGTGAAAGCGGTGGAAACTAGTTAATTCCACTACATTTTGATCTACACCATATTTTACACTTAGGATTAATAGGTATTTGCAGTACTTGTTACATATTCCCCTCTGACAGCCTGTTCATTTACTTGTCGTCCGTGCTGAGGAACAATTGAGTTTTGTATATTGTAATTGATGGCTGACCCACATATTTTACCAGGTCTGTAACGGCATGTGTACATGGCTGGGACTAGTTCATATTCTCATCGGAAGGCGAATTTGAAATAAACTTGACATGTTTTCTGATTTATGTAGAGTTGTTTAGTTAAAATGAAATTCTGACATTGTATTAAGATTGCAAGATTCAAAAGTAGGCATTTTTGGAAAACAACATTTGGAATAATTTAGGTACATAACTACATAGAAATGGTGAACTTGTTTGCCTATTTATTTTAGCAAAATTTTTACCAAGTTTTTGAAAATCGGCAAAAAGCATTATGCTTCTGCAACCTAAATATGAGTTGTCTATTATATCACTAATACTTGTCATTCGTTATTTGTTCCTTGTTGTTTTATAAGTGAATGTCGGCTCTTAGTGACAACTACG